TTATTGAATTATCACGTGATTAGTGCACCGACGTTTTTTGTATGGGCTGGGGGGGTGGTCAGGTCAATTGGGTGGCCAGGTCAAGTGGGAGATGCGTTAATATATACTAATTAATATTTAATATTAAAAATTTTATACTAATTAGTATTTAGTACAGCTTAGTATATACTAATTAGTATTTAGTATTGCTTTTTAAATACTAAATACTAAATACTAAGCTTAGTATTGACTTTAGTATACTAATTCCCAACCCTGCCTACCGGTACAACTCGAACTCGAGATGCACTGTGGAGCTGTGGCTAGGTAACGATTTCGTATCGAATGGATTGGCTGCCCGGGGCTTAGTTGCTCGGGATGCCGACGCTAAATTCCAAGGCCAAAAATATTCAAAAAAGAAAAGAAAAGATAAGATAAAAAAAAAGTTGATACAAGCTGCCTGCCCCACGTTCCATCTAGGTATTCATTCCATCAGCTACCCGGCCACTTGTATCCCATCCTCCCATATTTCTGTACGCCGTGGTAAAACTCACCTCCATACGCAACACCATGGCTACCGCAACCCTCGTCTCGAGGCCTTTGCCTTCGCTTCCTGAAGGCTGGTCTGCCGACAAAGACTTCAAACCCATCGGCACCATCACCGCTTCCACACAGCGAACCATTGAGCCTGTCGGACCTCACTTCCTCGCTCACGCCCGCCGAGCCCGTCACAAGCGAACCTTTTCCGAAGATGACCGCATCCAGGCCCAGGAACGTGCCCAGAAGGTTGAGAAGGATGACGAGAGCGACGAGAGCGAGCCTGAGGACCCCATGATGCTGCAGCGCGAGGCCAAGGACTGGAAGGTAACATACAGACCCCCCCGCCAATATCAGCAAACACCTATCTAACTGCTTTCACCGTAGTCGCAAGACCACTACCAAGTCCTCGGTTTGTCCAAGTACCGATGGAAGGCCACAGAGGACCAGATCAAGCGTGCTCATCGCAAGAAGGTCCTGAAGCACCACCCTGACAAGAAGGCTGCCCAAGGCAGTACCGAAGACGACAACTTCTTCAAGTGCATCCAGAAAGCCACTGAGGTGCTTCTCGACCCCGTCAAGCGCAGGCAATTTGACTCGGTCGACGAGAAGGCCGATGTTGACCCGCCGACGAAGAAGGAAGCAGCCAAGGGTAACTACTATAAGCTCTGGAGCAGAGTGTTCAAGTCCGAAGCCCGTTTCTCCAAGACACAGCCCGTGCCCATGTTCGGCGACGACAACTCCACTAAGGAAGACGTCGACAACTTCTACAACTTCTGGTACAACTTCGACTCATGGCGCTCCTTCGAGTACCTCGACGAGGACGTCCCCGACGACAACGAGAACCGCGACCAGAAGCGCCACATGGAGCGCAAGAACGCCAACGCCCGCAAAAAGAAGAAGGCCGAGGACAACACGCGCCTGAGGAAGATGCTGGACGAGTGCTCCACCAATGATGAGCGTATCAAGAAGTTCAGGCAAGAGGCCAACGCCTCCAAGAACAAGAAGAAGCTCGAGAAGGAAGCCGCTGAGAAGAAGGCCAAGGAAGACGCCCGCCTGAAGAAGGAGGCTGAGGAGAAGGCTGCTAAGGAAGCCGAGGAAAAGGCCAAGGCTGACCGCGAGGCCAACAAGAAGGCTAAAGAAGCTGCCAAGAACGCTGTGAAGAAGAACAAGCGTGTGCTGCGTGGCTCTGTCAAGGACGCGAACTACTTTGCTGCCGGCGATGCCGCGCCCGCTCAGATCGATGCTGTACTGAACGACGTCGAGCTCGTGCAGGGTAAGATCGATGCTGATGAGATCGCCGCCCTTGCTGGAAAGCTTAATGGTCTTACTATTGCCGATGATATCAAGGCCGTGTGGAGCGGCGAGGTCAAGAGGCTTGTAGAGGCTGGCAAGCTCAAGGAGGGAGAGGCGAAGACCTTCGTTTAAGGTATAGATAGAGCTAGGTAATGGCTGATGGCTGATGCGCGGTAAATAGAGAAAATGGGTATGATAGATGAGATCAGCAGCACGAGCTGTATATGACTACATAGACTTTGCTGAAGATATGCCATGCTGAGTGATTGTTTCTATTCCATTTCGATGATGCCAAGTGTGTGTTGTTCCACCTTCAAGACACTATTCATCCTGGTGGAGGTATGAAGGTGGTCTGTCTTCTTGTCTTCTCCTTATTTTATAGGTACCTATCTATGTCTCTCTGGGCTTGGAACATGATGCTATTCATGATATCATGATAAACTAGGGCTGCATGAGTCCTTGACCAACCAACTCCTTCTCAGCTGTTGATGGCCTGACTCGACTCTCTATACAACTGGTCTGCCAGCCCAGATCGCCTAGGTCTCGTTGGCTTGTTTCAAGAAGCGAAGTCTGAATAACCTCACTTTCCAATATTGCCCAATATCCCAATAAGAAGCGATGGACCATTATTTGCGCGGATTCTTGAATCTGTGGTCTTTTCAAATCACATATACTCCATTTCAACTGCTCGTTCCATTAGGTGGAAGCCGTATACATGGGTCGTTCTTGAGGTGTAGGTTCCAGGCTACCTATATCTAGCGTTTTCTTATTCACAAGCCTGATATGAGATTAGTTTAAGCTACATAGGTATAATCACGTTAGAATTATATTGGCTTCTATAATGAATCAACTTGAAGTAGTTCGATCCCATGTGCAGCTACGGTAGGTAGCTTTCTCTTGTAAACACATTCTAGTCACTCTGTTTTGATTGGCTCTAGTCTGTGGCTTAGAGCACTTGGCACTCTAGACGAGCCGCTGTCTTAGAGGGGGTAAATCCCCTCTCCTCTTCCAGCGGGCTGCCTGAAATCCCCTCATCCAGAGCCTACGTTCGTGCCTCACGATCTGAACGCCCAAAAATCCCCTCAACCTGCCAAACCCTACAGCCCCGAAGGCCCCAAACCCCCTCAATTGTGTCTGCTATGTCTTTACATGTACGCACTGGTATGTCGCTAGTGGCCACTTCGTGTAACAAGTAACAAGTGGGTAGCGCTGCTAACTAAGCTTCTCCTAGCTGCCGCTTTTCCTGGGGATGTGGAAGCTCTAAGTACGCATGGTCGAACTGTATTTCTTGCCCTAGCCTCGAGTATCTCTAGGTACCTAGGTAGATACCGATCATTGAGATACCGATCATGTGGGTTATACTATAGAAATACTTAGCTTACATGTATAATAGACACAGGTGATCGTCCTAGCGTTCCTCCTGCATCTGCTTCTGTTCCTCTTCAACAGCAAGCTGCCAACACGTCTGCAAATGATGGAGCAGGCACCGTAGCTCAGAACCATCCACTCCCAGCTCAAGCTCAGGAAACAGTCTTAGCTCAGGGCCAGGGCGATCTGGTCGCAGCTCAGGCTAGAGATGTAGAGCTCAACCACCACCTCAAACGACGTAAGCCTTTCTTCCCCAATAGCAGGTTATTATCTGCCGCTACTTGTATTGTCCATTGGTTCACGAGCTCATAACCGTGTCGACCAGTCCGTGTCATTATTGGTATCGGAGCAGCTGTCATCTTGATCACGGCTTCGGCCATGAAAGCTGCTGGCTGCACCTACGAAGACATCAAATGGCCCGTTACCATTGAGATTACGATTCTTACCGCTTTCCTTTCGCCGACATATGCTAGCATCATCGCCTAGTGGGCTGTTGTAGCGCCTGGTTACGGAACATACGGTCAAGACTTCACACTTTGGTATACAAGGCACGGTGCAAGAGGCTCGGGCTGCAAAGAGTCCTCTCTAGGCAACCCACAATGTTCCATAAACCAACCGATTGCTGTATATAGTGTCCTTTCCATAGCAAATTGTCATACTTTATTAGCTGCTGTTGAAGATCCTATCGCGGGATTGTCCCTTCTTTTCTTCGGACGCCCTGCGCGTGCATACCCGCAGCCCTTGACGTGTTGTTCTATGTCGTCAGCGGAGGATAACGCGCCATAACCACAGCGACATTCAAACTTCCCATTGGGCCGACTTGGTCTACTACAACCACGAATGTGGCGCAAGAAATTATCTTTGCGCACAGCGGATTTACCACATCGGCAGGAGTAGACGAGTTCGTTCCCGGCTGTGGAGTGGGTGGCTACGTGTCGTGCTAGATCTTTAGCGCTACCAAAATGCCTCGAGCAGGGAGGACAGCTGAAGGAGCTCACACGTTGTCCCATCCCTCCAGTCTCGAAGTCATATGTTAAGCCTGAAGAGCCACCTACCAAGCCCGGTGATATGGGCATTCCAAAACTTGGTTGAAATGGGATGTCGTTTCCGGATACGTGCTCCAGTTCCGTCATCAGCGCCGTAGTGACATAATTGCTTAGTCCGTTAGAAGAATAGGGATCCCCATCCCCAGGGATCATGCTCATGACCGATCTTTCATCGAAGGGCACATTCTGTAGTGCACTATATACCTCGGGGACCTCTACAATCTTCGGGGGGATAAACACTGCGTTGATCAGCAAAGACGAGCATCACAGCTGACAAACAAGAACCCCGTACCTGATGATGGTATGATTTCGTCATCTGTAAAAAGAACCCGCCACAGCTCTTGCCATGAGCTAACTTTGCGATCATGCTTCCGTTCCGCTAGAATATGTTCAATCTGCTCATCGATGCCATCCTCGGGGTCATCGGCTCTTGCCACATTACTAGGAGGCCAAGGAAGTGGTTCCTCGAGCCTCTGGGCGTGCTGAGTGTTGGGCCCGAGGGATCGACGGTGGTAGGTTCGTATGTGTCGTCTAAGACGATGCGTTAAGCTGGGTTCAAAGTTGCATCAGGTTATCGGCCTCTAGCCCTCTACATACTTGAGTGCTGCGAGATCGCCAAATGCGTTCGTGGCACAGTTTGGGAAGTTTCGAATATTAAATCTTGCCGGGTTTCGCCTTCGGTACGGACAACAGAGCCTCTCTGGTTCGAGCCGCTGATATCCAATAATTTGGTCACCTGGGTTTGACCAAACATGGAATGGGGAAAGTGGTTCGGTGTCTGCAAGGTGGAAGTTCGGGCTTGGATCGGGCGGCATGCTTCGTCAACTGAATAGGACCTGGAGGCTAAAGACGAGCTTGGCGCATTATCTGCTATTTATGGAGATCCTTTTTCGCATGGCTATTGATTGTCGCTTGTTGCTGTGGAAAACTGGAATCGATCCGAAGGAGCATCGAGGAAGATGTGGGAGATGGGAGATGTGCTTCAGAAGACCGGCTCTCCTTTGACATGCCCACCCGTTTGGTTGACTAGGTACTTACCTACGTACCACCCCAGACAGGACAGGCGGGGGCTAAAAGTTGTCGGAATCTGAGGCAGAAAGTCCATAGTGGGGTGACTCGACAGCCTCTAAAGATCCATGCTCTCGACTTACATGTAGAGTCCCCTATGTGGCACTTCAACCAGCTAAAAGATAATTGTCAAGACGGTAGAGATGCCAAACCTGTAAGAAAATATCAGACAGCGCTTATTCTATAGCATTACTAGTTGTCTCCATTATCCAATTTGCTTGGTTACTTAACTGGCTTTGATAGTAGTAAGTAGAGTCCGGTAGAACCTAACGCGCGCCATCTTGCGGTAGGCTGAGACCCATTACAGCGGCCAGACACATCCTTGCATGCCTCTCATAGGTAGCACCTTGGGGGAAGTTTGCTACTTGAACAATCACAATGGAGGAAGCGATAGAAGAGTCATAAGTCAGACTTAGCCTGCGGCAGCGATAAGTTGGGAAAAAGATTGTATTGGTGTTGTGTATAGTGTAGAGTAGAAGATTCTTATCCGAACTCTATGAAATCCACTGTGCGGATTTAGCACAGTCTGCACTGTTTATATATATAGGTCAATATAGATAACTATACATTGCATGTAACTTAGACTTTTACAGTTTTATTATAGAAATCCCTTAAATCCAACAGGTATATATAAATAACAGCAATGATTCCCCTTGAGATTAACCAAAACTGGCGCACAGTATAGCATTTAAATCGTAAGAGAAAGAGAGACAAAACTCACAAAGCCCCTGTTAAGAATACTACTATTAATTCGATTTTTTTATATAAGCCAGCTTCAGCTGGAACACAATTTATAATGGGAGTAGAAAAGTGATTAGGTCGACCATAAAGAGACAGTGTTTCGTATGATACTTGTTACAAGGATGAGGAAAGATCAGGTCCTTCTGATCGCGACAGCGAGGTAGCTATCTCGATTAACAACGTTAGTATAGCCTTGCAGCCTAATCTCAACGCTCAAGATGCTGATCTAGTTTTGGTGAAGCGCCCAATTTGACCTGTAATAGGTATAGAATGCTACACAACATGTCCCATTTCTTTGAGGGGTAATACGGTATGCTTACACAGACCGGTGAGTAAGTACACCGACTGGCCCATTCAGCGGGTATGAGGTGGCGAGAGAGAAAAAAGCGAAGGAAAGGATGGGAGGGCATTCACTGTGCGGTCTGTGGTAATAGGAGGCGGTGAAACCACACTTGCTTCTCGCCTTATCCAGCAATGTTGCGAATGATTACGATACTAATACTAGCACATGCAATGAATAGGATACCATTTCTTGTACCGCTTAAACATCCATACAGTACATAAGACGACTACTTGGCCTAGCATTAACAATGAAAAGCAAGACAAAAAAGTTTAAAATAGATCGGGGTTGATAGTATGAGAAGGTATCGAGATACAAAGGCTAGACACATTAAGGCAACTGCAAGGCTATAAAGCAACAAGAACGCTGGCGCAACAATAAAAGCAATACGCCATTTGCTACATTCCTAACACTCTTAAATTGAACAGCATCCTGGGCAGCCGACAGATGTGCAGAGTGAAGCTGCCTAGTGCAGGCCTAATCATAGAAGTGACACATGGGAGACACCTGCGCCACCTACTTGTTTCACTTCTTATCTCATGTATTGAATTCGTCGCAACTACGAAACTTAGAGGAATACTCTTAACTCACAGTGTAAACTATATATTGTGGTTCGCCTAAAATATCAATAACAATGAACTTATTAACATAATAATATAATATTAGGAATGGCGGAGATAATTACATCGGTGGCTCGCCAAATAAGTCTGCCCTTGATGCTGAGATCTTCTTAGACACTTAACAAACTAGGGAAGTCCTAAAGGAGGGAATGCAGAGTCATCAATTACGTACCTAAAAGAAGGTTGAATATAGTTCCTTATAACAAGAGCTGAAAAAAAGGGCTTGACATGACTCTTATTCTTTATGCAGTGATGTGTTGTGGCTCTCAAGCACCTTGAAGTCCTCCATTCGGATCCTTTCCGGATGCGGTGACTAACCTTGATTCGACGTACTATCGAATCTGTATGTCAGACCTGTGATAATAAGTCTCAATTGAGCGAGGGTTGGGTAACCTCGGTTCAATATATAAATCATACAGCACAGGTATATATGGCTGACTCGGGCAAGCCGACGTTGCACGGAGCGTACGATGGTGTTCTGCGCGTGTGACTTGGCTGGAACCTGTAGGACATGCAGGATATATAACAGCTTGTTACGCCTCAGAGCCCTTAGGTAGGACGTAGGCAGTACATATCTATAAGATTCCTACATACAAGCACTTTTGATCAATCAACCTATGAGTAAAGAACGAAGGAATTATACAATATCAACAAGGCCCCTCTGACGCAAGATTAGCACCACATAAAATTTCCGTCATACTACACCCACTTCACAATTATAAGAGGTTCTCATTACAACACTTCGCGTAGACATATCAACACCCTATCAAGATGACGCCTTTATTACAACTACCAGAATCGAATTTGTCTCCACCGTCTCACCAAGCCCTTGTCGTCAGGCCAATTCTGAATACCTCGGCAGAAGAACGTGAGAAGATCTTAAAGAATGTCGAATACAACCTGTTCGCCTTTCCTTCAGGGCTTGTTATATGTGACTATCTATCGGACTCGGGTACATCGGCAATGACTGACACACAATGGGCTGCATGTAAGAGCCCGAGAACCAAGTCCTTCCGACCGTCCCGTCTAGTATGAGCTGTACTAGTTTAATACTATAGGTTTATTAAGGGATTTGGCATTGAAAAAAGGGGTTCAGCGTAGCTATCCGCTAATCTGACCGGTGTCCTAGTGATGAGAGGCGATGAGAGTTATGGCCGTAACTGGGGATACTACTGTCTGCTCGATACATTTCGAGATATCTTTGAGAGAGCAGATAATCGTCGGCATATATTTCACACCATATTGGCGGGAACGGCAACTAGCGAGTTTTACCAGAGTCAACTGCTCGAGTCTCATGGAGGTGGCTTCGTCAACAGCGGACTGCGTCAACTCGAAAGCCCCAGTTTCTTCATCGTCCCACAAGGCCGTTGTGCTGAATTCTTACTATTTACTGCTCTTAGCGAGTTAGTGGCGGAACATCTGCAAGAAAACAACAGATTTACGCCGCCGGTGGTTATAAGCAATGGATTCTTTGATACGACTGCTGCTAACGCGACTACTGCCGGATTTGATTTAAAAGCCTTCACACAGCCCGGCCTGACAGACCGATTTCCCGAGCATCTTTTCGACAAGCAGAACTTGTTCAAAGGAAATCTTGACCTTGCTGCTACCAAGCTCTACCTGCACGAACACCCAGGACAGGTAACCTTGATACTCATAACTATTACTAACAATTGGGCCGCTGGGCAACCCGTATCGATGGCTAATATCCGAGCGGCTGCAGAACTAGCGAGGAGTCATTCCATTCCTCTGTTTTTCGATGCTTGTCGCTTTGCCGAAAACGCCTGGTTTATCCATGCTTTCGAAGCCGGGTACTCAAATAAATCAATAGCTGAGATTATTCAAGAGATGTTCTCCTACGCAGATGGCTTCACGATTAGTTTGAAAAAGGACGGCCTCGCAAATATGGGCGGCGTATTATGTTTTAGGGACACATTTGCTCAACAGTACGAAGGAATTGGGCTTCGCATAAGAGAGCGACAGATTCTATGCTATGGAAATGACTCCTATGGGGGAAGTAAGTAACATTTAAGTCCCTGTTACAACAACTAATTAACTCCATAAAAGAAGAGAGAAAGGTGGGGTTTGGGAACGCGCATGCTAACACGATCATGATTTCTTCCAGTGAGCGGACGAGACATTATGGCTGCTGTAGCTGGACTTTATGAAGTGACTAAGGAGTCTTATCTCCGCAACCGGGTCGGTCAAGTACGCTCCTTCGCCCAGAAGCTCCAAGTTAATGGTATCCCAATCCTGTCTCCTCCGGGTGGTCATGCAGTGTATCTCGACATGGACGAGTTTTTCTTCGGTTGTGATCGGCAACCAGGTGATTTTGCTGCTGTAGGCTTCACCCTAGAGCTTCTTAAGCAATATGGCATCCGAGCTGCTGAGGCTGGCCCGTTTGGATGGCAATGGGACAGACAATCCCCCGAGGATAGGGAGAAGATCCCTAACCTAGTTCGATTCGCCGTGCCGCGCCATTTATTCTCTGACGAACACATCAATTATACTGTGGCAGCCATTAAAGATTTATACAACCGCAGGCATACGATCCCAAACGTAGAGATTACCAGAGGTCATGATATAAAACTTCGCCACTTCTTATGTGGCTTGAAGCCAATTCCGATGGTCCAGCACACTAAAGGGTCATACCTAGATGAAGGGAAACGACAACTATCTCACTTGTGCAGAGCAGTTGGCCTAGACGAAATGAAACGAGATCAGCTAACAAGCGCTTTAGACCTCACGATGAGTGACTGGGGCCAATCACGGATCCCTGAAGAAGTTGACATGTCGAGATGGGCCTCTCATGTGAGCAACGACCACTCACCATTCGAGTACTCAGTGGTCCTTGACCAGAATACAGGAGATGCTGATGTGCGATTCCTAATCGAACCTCAATTGTCAGCCAGCCAAGGAGATGGCAATGTCCTGGCGGCGCTCCAGGAGAACGCACTGCAAATGATGGCGGATATCGCAGATAAATATGAGACAGTTGTTTCTCTGGACCGGTTCAACCTAGTACGAGACCTTTTCATGCCAGTCGACCCTGAGGGGAAATTCTCCATGTGGCACAGCCATGCGGCCACCAAAAAGGGGCCAGAGTGGAAGGTCTACTTTAACCCCTGTGCTACACCAGGGAGGGATAGAGCACTGAGTGCAACCCGGACGGCGTTTGAGCGCCTAGGCATGATAGAAATGTGGCGGCTTGTGGAAAAGACACTGGCACCGACCGAGTCCATCGTATACTTCTCTCTCGATCTAACTCCCGACGTGGATCGCGCACGCGTCAAGGTATACATCTCACATCAGTCGGCGACAGCGCAAGCCATTGCGCAGAAACACATAGCTATCTCCCCGCACGCTGATGCATACGAGGTACAGCGGTTCTGCGAGGTGATGGCTGGAGGCTCGTTAGGCCCATACGAGGATAAACCGCTGCTGTCCTGCTTCGCCTTCACAGCACGCGGTCATCCTGAGGGCACGGTGCACTTTCCGATCGATGCGTTTGCCGTCCACGACGAAGAAGCAGGACAGCGCCTCGAGAATTATATGGCTGCTGTGGGCGCGGCACCGTTGTGCAGAGAGCGGTATAGGCGCGTCATCAGCGCCGTGCAGCGCAAACCACTGGATCAGAGGCCGTGCATACAGTCTTGGATAAGTCTGAAGCAGCAGGCTGGCGGCAAGAAGTTCAATGCTGTTTACCTCTCGCCAACTCTTTTTGCTGCGCCTTCGTCGGGCCCTTCGTGAATACGGGACTCGGATTCAGACGACGGAGGCTTCTGTCGTCGTTTGTCAAGGGATCTGAATGATTTCCAACTGTAGCTAATTTGACTCTTCTGTTATACTGAAACATAAATTTCATTCATATGCTTGAAGTCTTCTTACTATCTCTAAGCGTGTGCTTGTTATCATTGAGCGTAGCTATGCCTTTGAATTAATTATAGTTAAGTTGTGCGACATAATAGTGTCTATAATGTTCATTCGGAGCAGATCAATTTGCCTCATTATAACCTGATACGTCTTGAGAATAACCACTGCGAAACAGACTTGAAAAGAGGGCTTCTAACGCTCTCCACCTATCTCCCGAACCCTTGACTATTAGTCCATATAAAAAATCAGTCAAATTCCGTTAATATCCTGTTAACACCAACTACTTAAACATCCTGCTCACAAATATTATGGATACCTATACCACCCGCGTCTTCATAATCACCTCCTTCGGGTTGGCTGCTGTGATTATCTTGTCTGGATGTCCCTCCAAAGAAAGAAATGTTTGTGCCGCGAAAGACATTCGGGAAGACCTGGAGTGAATAGATAATAGAAGTCAAGAACCTGTTCCTTGAGGGCTCTGAGATGGTTCTGCCTGTTTCTTCAATTGCATATGGTAGTCATAGTCAACGCTGTCGTACGTCACGCACGAATTGGCTGTCTGGGTCTTGGCTGGATTGGTGCGGTTAAAGTTGCGCATCAACGATCTAAGTCCCGTAAGTGTCCCCTTTGGCCACTCTGGGAGCTTCTTCTTATCCGACATGTCGTCATGAAGTGGTTGGGTATCAACAGGTTCTATCGGACCATTTGTTCGTTTACTGAGGCCAGCCAAAGACCAAAGCTTTGACACTTGGGAGGCACACCAAGCCGTTAATCCCCTGAAAAGAACGAAGATGACAGGCATGCAGCTAGACATGATACCCACGTTAATCTCCCCGACACTACGCGATGCGTTAGCATTAACTATTTTCTTCTAATCAAGGCTCGTCAAGGTTTGAGACTAACTTTGTCCCATATATAGGCATGGAATCCCACGATAGGTCACTTCCTGCGGTACGGATATTGATGGATCTAAAATATGTACCAGCAATCGAGAACGCGAGCGCACTTGGAGTATTTAGCAATTGCCCCAGAGAAGTCTATGCGATGGGGTGCTTACGCGGTACCGACGGCAGAAATGGCCAAAAGACCAGCCTTCCTCTTAATTGAGGTTTGCAAACCAGAGAGAAATATGGCGGGAATAATGAGAATGTATAAATCAATAAAGGTTCCTACAGCACCTGAGGCTATAGTCACGCGGCCACTAATGCTATTGCACCGCTGGGAATAGATTGCCGAGAGCCAACCACCGGTCTTATAATCGTTGCCATGTGGAACGCATGCGACGGCAAATATAGTGATAGAGATGAGGTAGAAAGCTACATTGACGACGACACAGATCCATATAAGAAGGTTCGCCATGTCTGATGGCCTGAATATCCGGCGATAGAGAACCAGAATTGATGCCTTAATGAAGAGCGCGGCAACGAGGTACATGATAGCTAACACAATGCTGAACTATCGTATTATAAGTATTCTTCACTTGAATATGAGTGTTAGGTATGTCTGTATACTGACTTCCGCCCAATGAGTTGTGACTTTACTCAATGGGATATCCCACATGTGTGGCCCTGAAGGGTTGCCAATGACTATAAGCCAGGGTTAGAACAAACTGCCCATAGACACTGCATTGTTTACCAACTTACTTGAAAAGGAAAGTCCTATATGGACAATGATCGCCATCTGTCCCAATCTGTTAGGTGTGAATCACATCTCGAGGTATCTCAACCAACCGCTGAAAGAACACAGAGAGATGTAAAATGTCAATACTACAAAATATATGAGTATTGTTTATCCATGATTTACCATCGTCGAGACCAAGCACCGTATACTTGACCCGGGTATAAATTCGCAACCCTAAAAATACTAGCATCGGCGGTAGTGTTACATAGATGAAGATCTTGGGGAGTTCTGCTCGCGTTGGAGGATTAACGAAGTTGGGCACGACCCCTGGTGGAGGGACGCCCGCTGGGATCATACTGGGATCAAGACTAGGATAGAGTGAGGCCATGTTGCTGTCTGGGAACGGTCGGCAAGTGTAATAATGGCGGAAATTCTCATGAATATTCAGAGGAAACCGTTCGTAGAGTCACAGACCATGTTATAAAGTCAGTCGTCTTAACGAAGACTTCCTCCAAATCTATAATTAGTACTCATCACAGTTAATAGATCGCCTTTGGGGTCACAGACTCTCGATCGAATGAAAAGCGCCACTACTAATAACTGTGCCCATCAATTGGTGTATTCAATATTTCGACTGAAGCAGGCTGTGTGCAATACGAGGCAATCAATCAAGATACCTGTCTTCGTATGATTGAGCTTCTAAGTTTATTGTTGCTTCCGTTATAATTCAATTTCTGACATGGTGTATCACATTGACGCAACACACCACTTATCATCAACCATAGTTCCTGTGAGTCAAGATTAGAGCACAAACACCACGAATACAGATTCTTCATATTTCCATACACGATATTGCACTCGAGACACTCGGAGACAAAGGGCTCCTTGTATGTCGATGGGCTGGGTAATTACGAAGGCGCTTCACAGGCTTTTCGTGCAACAACAAGAATCATATACCTACTGCATGGTAGCTTCCGGGGCTATACTTTTGGTGTGATACCAGAAACGAAACATGGAGGCGGGGAAGTTTCTCGACATGACTCCATGATGCATTCAATGCAACCGAACGCTGATATCAATAGGGTTGAGGGGCCCCAGCGTAACAACGGACAGATGATACCCAGATTTATTCTTGGCATGGTCCATTGTTGGCGTTAGGGGGCTGTTATTCAACAAAATATGTCTCCGTCATCCAATCAGGGAGCAGCCCTCTAATTCCTATCGCGTCGTAGCTAATGGCTGGCCAAAGTTCGTGAAGATAATATAATCAGCCGAATCATGTATCTCCTTTGACATCCCTCGGCATGCTCCGGGAAGCTGGTGGTATTAGGAATCCTTGGGGGCGAGCTACGTAGGATTGCAAGTATTCAGTAGCAATACTGCGTGTAAGGGAAATGGAATAGCTGCAAGCGACCTCCTGTGCAGGCTCTGGCGTCTCCCGGGCCGACTTTTTGACCCCAGTGCTGTCATACTTGTCACAAAGCCAATAAATAAACCTGTTGCATATAGCTTCAGCTTATACATGAATCTTCGGGGACATTCCATAGTAACAATTGTTACACAGTACCCTTATAGTTGCAGTCCTAACACTATGTAAGCCGTGTGGTGTTGAAGCAGACGGAAGATGGTAAGGTACTGATTCGCTTTTTACATCCCAACGCGATGTCATGGAGAAGAAAATATATCGCGTGTCGCAGGGCCATGTTGGCCATAAATATCCAGAATAATCTTGTCCGCTTCATTACGATCTCCTCGCCGCATTCCATCATCGCTCTTAAGCATGGCTCTTCAGAAAGACAAAAGGGGTATCTCTACTTTAGTCCCCACAAGGTGCTCGTAGTGGCTATCCTGGTGAAGAAAGGCCCAAATGGTGGCTTGTAAATGCTACGCTGCGAATCCCGACACCTCTGTTGGTATATCTCATGCCTCATCTCCTCCCTATATTCGGGGTCTATAATTCCTTGGTTGGGGGCTGAGGGGGGCTGGTTCGTTGGCTCTCCACACACCTCTGCATGCATCTTGTGCTAACCAAGATAGCCACTGCTGTTAGTCGATACATGCCCAACCTTATGAGTGACCTTTTATGTAAGCGAAAATCAACTGGCTATCAACAATGTCTATCTCGATTTGGTTCCAACGTACGCTCAAGTAACCAACAGTTCATACACTCTCCTGTCCCTGATCTTTTGATCTTGTGAAAGAAAATGTTGATTCACGCTCTGGTCATTGTGCTGATTACTACAATCGCTGTGGTCGCCTTCCGCAGACTGTACCCAAGGCCATACCTAGGCATTCCCTATAACGTAGCATCAGCAAACCGCATTTCCGGCGACATCCCCAACCTCATTCCAATTATTCAAGAAACGAAGGAGTTTTCCCAGTCCATTTTTACAGTAACGACGCGGAATTTAAGGTCTCCTATTGCTCAATTGTTGTTTCCCGGTATTCGTAAACCATTAATTATCTTGGAGGATCCGCGGGAGATTGAAGATATCCTAGTTCGACGCAACAAGGAATTCGACAAAGCACCAATGGCTATAGACCTCTTGTCTCCCATGTTTCCCAAAGGATCTATAAGCCAATATACCACACCCGAGCTACGGTTCCAGAAGCGGGTATGGACCGACGTCATGAACACCGAGTTCCTACAAAAGGCAGTAGCGCCGAACATTTACAAGGCCACTCTTGAGTTATTAGCCCTTTGGAGGCTTAAAGGAACTACCATTCACAAGGACCAGCCGTTTAACGTCTTAGAAGATCTCAAGAACGCAGCCCTTGATGCTATCTGGGTGGCTGTCGTTGGGGACGAGCCTGGTATAACGAGGTACGAGATTGAAAAGGTTAAGCGCCAGCTCAGCAGCAATCACGGCCATAAAAGTGATGAAATACTCCCACGAGGTGCATTTATTAAGGCGGAAGTAATTTATGTTACAGAGGCGATTGCTCGCAATTCGAACACTCCTGTACCCAAGTGGGCTCAGAAACTGGAAACTTACACTTCACGTTATCGAAAATTTAGATCTACCGTAACGGATGAGATCACCAAGGCAATGAAGAGTGCTGTTGATCGCTTCCAGCGCATTGAGACTGGGGGCTTAGATACTACCGACATTGACACCTGCATGATGGATCTTGTTCTCAGACGTCAGATTGTCGAAGCTAAAAAAGCTGCAAGGCAACCAAGTAATCCTGTCGAAGACCAGAACATGTTGGACGAGATGTTTGTTATGCTTGTCGCAGTAAGTGGCCCAGTAATCCATCACCCGCTTCCGTGATCAGCTCATATGTGTTTCAGGGTCACGACTCAACCGCGAACGCTCTGGCGTGGTTTATACGGTTCATGGAGGCTTATCCGTCAGTCCAAAGCCAGTTACGATCTACTCTCGTCGACGCCTTTCCTGGTCCACATCCACCATCAGCTAAAGATATCCTAGGAACAGACATTCCATATCTCGATGGAGTTTGTGACGAGAGCATGCGCTTGTCAGGGACGACGAAAGCTAACCTCCGGCAAGCTTTAGTAGACACTGAGATTCTCGGTTACAAGATACCCAAAGGGGCAGAAATCTTCATGAATTATCACATCAACAGCTCAGGTATCCCTATCCATGAACTCAAACACAGCAAAAGTAGTCAATTTGCTAGCGCCAAGCGCGGTGATGGCTTTGAAGGTAGGGCGGGCGTCGACCTGCATCTTTTCGACCCAGAACGATGGCTCGTCAAAGACGAAGACACTGGGAAGGAGAAATATAACGCTTACGCCTTGCCACAACTTGCGTTTGGGGGTGGTTATCGCGGCTGCTCTGGTAAGTTTAACACCATTATCCAGCCCAATTGTTAAGATTAAGAGTCTCAAAACTGCACACATCGTATTGTGCAGTTTTATGGAACCATGCGGATGACACTAACTATTGGTTTTCATGTAGGTCGGAAGCTTGCGACAATGGAGTTCCGTATTATAGTGGTGCTACTTATCATGAGTTTGGACTTTGTGGAGTTGCCGGAAGAGTTCAAGACTTGGCGGGCAATCGAGAAGGTTTTCAGACAACCGGAAACCCCGTATGCGAAGATTCGAGTCATTTGAAGCTATATCCAATAAACATAGCTGCACTAGAACATGCAGATGAGTAGGCAACAACAGGACGAAGTAGCTCGGACAAATCCATGGAGAACGCATTTTCTTAATCGGGCGACGAGATCTGATGCAAGAGAATTTGGGTCAATTCTTTATGTTCGGTATTGAGTCTGCTCTGTTCATTCAGAAATGGACATAAATCCCATCTACCATCATCAATCGAAGAAATGGGTTTAGTAGTGGTGAGATACTATGTACCCCGCAGAGTGTGACTCATAAGGTGTGTTACGCAATAATAACATAGGTGCCGAGGATCTACTGTGTATGTGCTTGCTTCTCTCATAGGTTGAGCTCGTATCCCGCGATCGGCTATTCATTCAGATGTGCTAGGTGGTAATAGTAGTCATTGTGAGGAAATATCTACTATCACACTTAACATTGTGAAACTTGGCTTAGCTGTTTGTCACTCATATATATAACACATATATATCTGCTCATCTGCTTTTCATCTTTACGGGGATTATCTTACTCACCTACTCATATTGCTTTAATAGCGACATCCAAAATATAGAATTGTCGAGCATTGCCTACTTACCTACTCAGATTCTACTATTATAAAGTAGAGATGGCCGTGACTACAACTGCCGCACACTTCGCCTCGCTCCACAGACCAGGAGATCCTCTCGTGATCCCGAATATCTGGGATCTGTCATCGCTCAACACCGTCCTCTCACTGAACACCTCCGAAACATCAACCCCAGTGAAGGCAGTAGCAACGGCCTCGTATGCCATTGCCGCGACCCTCGGCCTTGCAGACGAAGACCTCAGCCTCGGCGCCAACCTCATCCGCATCCGCTCCCTTTCACCCCGCGTCCGCGCCGCCGGCCTGCCACTGACAGTCGATATCCAAGATGCATACGGAGATCGGCTAGAGGACGTCGTGGCTGCGGTTGTTGAAGCTGGTGCTGTCGGCGCGAATGTAGAGGACATGAAGGATGAGAAAGACGTGGGGGAAGAGGGAGGGGATTTGCTTTATACCCTGGAGGAACAGGTTGAGCGCCTGAAGAGGGTGTTGAAAAGTGCAGAGGAGAAGGGGTGCGAGGGGTTTGTGGTCAATGCGAGATGTGATGTTATGAGTCCTGCGTCGAGGAGAGGCGCGATCGATGAAAGTGCGGAAGAGGGGGAGAGATTGTTAGGTGAGACGGTACGGCGCGGGAAGGCGTATCTTGAGGCTGGTGCTACTACGGTGTTTGTATGGGGTGGATCACAGAGAGGATTGAGAGATGCTGAAGTCCGAGCCCTGAGTGATGCCTTTGGAGGCAGACTTGCTGTTAAGCTTGGCACGGGCGACGGCGCGCTTAGTGTGAGGGAGTTGGCTGATATCGGCGTTGCGAGAATCTCTGTTGGGCCGAGTTTGTTTCAGGCGGCGAATAAGACTGTTAGAGAGGCTGCGGAGCGGATTGTTGGTGGTGGGAGGCTGTGATGTGCTGGGTGGTTAATCGAGTTTGGGCGTATGTGAGAATAAGGTCATGTCTCTCTGCAGATCCTGTGGGATTTGCATATTGATGTCTTTTGTATGCATTACAGATATGAAGATATAGGTACCTATCCGATGTATTACGCTTATTTCTCGCGTTTCATGGCTTGTTGTTGACCCAATCCTCGAGTATCTAGGTGCTATGGGTGACCAAGACAGTACCAGATGGTAACAAGTTTCTCGCATGTAGTGAGCATCGTGAGTCACGACATGGTAGGTATTCATCGCACGGGTCGCTTCTTGGCGTATCACGGTTTGCGTTGGCGATCCTATTTATTTCATAGCGTAGGTAGTTAGTTTAGCAGACGACATCACTTGTGGTCTTATCCTTCATGATTCGCGATGATACCGATGTTCAACTACGATCAGTCGCCACTAAGGGTAGTCGATCAGATGTGCGTCAGCTTCATCGTCTTGATGTATGAAGTTGAACTCGTCGGTAAGTTACGAAGTAGTCCAGATCTGTCCCGTTCGAGACGGAATACAGTTGGCACACTGTGTTTTGCCTCATCGGTGTCCCAGCCGGCCCAGCTGAGACACTAAGCTGACGGTGAGAAGACTGGAAGTAGAAGTATCTCGAGTTAGTCACACAGTAGGAGCCATGTTATCCGGAACGGTACGCTCTAGCAAGAGGATCAATAACCAATGGCAAGCTTCAAGCAAGGAACCCCCTTGTCTTCCCCTTGTCTTGGAGATGCAGAGGCGGGGACCGCGCATCCATAATTAAGATTGGTAGTTCCATGCATCTGGACGTGCCTGAATTTACGATCCAATGAATTACGCGCTTTTATGTTTTGGTGAGACAGCTCGAGTTGTGCTTGGATTGGGCCATATGACGATGACAGTCATTCCTACGAAAGGGAAAAAAACAAAATAAACAAGGCAAGAAAGAAAACAACACTACATTTTCTGCTCTCTATGGAAAGTATAGAAAGTGCCTATTGCTTCTACTCTACCTAGTATTATGAGAGGAATATGCAAGGGAAAGGGGGCCTCCTTTGTTCGCAGCGAGGGAGAGAGTCAAGTGGGACGAGACCCGTGAAGATGCAGAAACACCAGCAACACCATGTGGTAAAAGAGAGGCGGTAAGGCTCGGAATAGGTAGGTGGTGATGGGCTTGAACTGGCCTGCATGCATTACCTAGCATCGCGAACGTTGCTGTTCCAAGGTTATCCCTCAGGGCCCTGCTCGGTTCCTGACTCATTCCTCGCTGAGCATAGACTGCGTACTATGTAGTTGTGTGACGCATTATGGATTAATCTGGCTATGCATTGCCGAGAATAGAAGAACGGGCAAACATCGACCATGATTTCCATGGTACTGAGATAGAGCCCCATGTTCAGCCCATGTCATGATCCACCATACTTACAACTTATAAGGCTGCTTCGGTAAGTACTCACACAGTGGTTACATGTAAGGTGTAAGTACTTAGATAAAATACGAATTAGATGGGAATTGGTTGAGCTGGGAGCGCGTGCCACATGGCACTCGGGCTGTCCGTCTTTTCCCTGTATACCTACTTATACATAGAGGGCCATTCCTCGACATCATCGTCATTCATTTGGGCTTTGATATTTTTTCTGTCCTCTTTTCCCTCCTCCTCCTCCCCTCCTCTACGCCATCCCACGTCACTCGTTCCTTATCCCGACCCCCCTTCTTCTTTCCCGCAACCTACACGAGGCTGTACGTAGCCGGTGCGTGCGGCTTTATGAGACAGACAAGACAATAATCAGCTTCCCGCCGGATACTTCAATAGACTATCCAACGGCTTGCCTGCCTACCTGCCCGCCCGCCCGTCTGTCCGTCCTTGTGTCAGATCGGCTGCGCTTCCCGCCCATTGTCCTTTCCCGTATGCCGTGCTGCCAGGCGTCGTAGTTGTGTGTTTCTACAGTCATTCATTCCATCAACTCACGGGCCTTTCCGCTCTCGTTTCTTGACTTGATTTCTCTTTCACTCACTCGCTCACTTAATCTCTGAAATTACTGCCAATCGTTATTGTTTAATCATCTATCTAGTACATGCTTACTATTTTTGTTCCTATTTCGCCAAGCCCTGCTTCTCGACAGAAAGCAGACCGACGTACGCGTATTATCGTCGGGTTTTCAGCATCTCCTATTCACACGTCCGTGTACCTAATGGTGAACTACCTAGCGAAGAAATAGACGACCGAGCGAAGTCAGACAGATTCCCCCCAGCTCTCCACGGCTTGAATAGTGTCGGACTACTTGTTTAATACTTTCTTTTCCTTACACAATTGTTTTTGCCGTTCGTGCGGGCCTCCACGGTTATCCGAGACAAATATCGGACTTAAAAGAAAACATCCAAATCCAACTTGCCCCAAGTCCCAGGCTGTTGTGGCTTTGAAACTTTTGCATTTTTGAGGTAATGAATGACCTGCTTACGAGCGCAACATTTCCATCTTATCTCTCTCTCCCTATCATCGACTGGACATTTCGTATTGATGTTGGCATGTTGCTCTCTGCATAGAACTTCTTGTTGTTGGGTGTCGACGCGCGCACGGTTTCTTGGGCTTCATCAAAGACGGAGAGAGGGGACACGACTGTGTTGCTGTCACGCGCATTGACAGAACGCCGTGCTACCGTAGGTAGATTGAGCTGTCTGCTTGTCTTGTCTTCTGATCCTAGCGGGCATCTCCCTTGTAGCCCCGGCCATCTACGTCGACCGTTTCGTGTAAGAGACGTTTCGAAGAACCGCCTTACGCCTCCTTGTCCCTTTCTGCCCAATTTTAGCCTTATCCTCGCCAGATCGACGACTTTGCATTGTTTCCCTTGCGCGCGCTTATTCTATCTACCTACCTACATTCTCTCTACATTCTATGGACGCGGCAACAGAGGAATAGAGTAAGTCCCTCGCAGCTCTGTCACCGGTACAGGCGCATAAAGACGCTAATTTCAAAGGTTGCGCTGCACTAATCTTTCGCCCACTATATTCCATCTCGATTACTGGGTCTTTTAGCCAGGCACAGGTCGCCCGGGAGCTTGTGTTAGCACTGTTTACCTTTACCTAGCGCGCTTTCAAAGGTGCTACCTACCACTGTCCAACATTCTCGAACCAAGGCAAAAAAAAACACAACTAGAATCGCGATCCTCTCGACATCCCTGTAACACTAAATATCTCCCTACTTATCTACTTACTGACCTACCAGGAAGACGCTACCTGTCTATAATTTCTTAGTTTCTGTCCCGAGGGCTACTCGCATCGCAGTTTTGCACGCGCCAGCCGATCAGCGTCCATCGAGGTCTGGTCTTTTTCTTTTTCCGAGGCGCCCAGCGTGCTGTTCAGCTGTTGTTGGTGCTTGGTGACGTTTGGCTGATCTGGCCGTTGTTTCGTATCTGCGGCGTGTCTTCTTTTGCCCTCTGCTTCTGCATTTGCGTCTGTGCCACCACTGCCAACACTGCGAGCCAGCGCAGCCAAGCGAGAGCACGTACCTTCGGTAGCCCAGCATCTAATCGTTCTCAACGGCTTACTGGTAGTCTGGGCGATTGGTAAGGGTTGCACGCTTCGAACTTGGTTGGAATACTGCTTTCCCTCGCTATTTGCTCGTCTGCAATTGACTGGTTGACTTGCTCGACCAGCTAGCTTCCTTCCACCCATTTGCTGGAGGCGCCTACTCCGATCGATCGCGGATCGACCTAGACACGCGCTTTCGCACATTCCTCGACCCTCAACCTGACCTTCTAATTGAGCGCTGAATGCCACGTCTCTAGTCCGAGGAGTCAACTGCGCTCCTTGGTCTTGTCCATTGCCAGACGCGATCATGGCTACCACGCCACCCCTCCCCGCCGAAATGCCCGCCATGGCGCTTGGTGCCAGCGATGCCCACGATAACGATCCCTTTCGCCCGGCTGGCCCAACCCACCACCGCTTCTCAAACTTCAACGCCCAGCTATTTGCCCTCGGCCCCAATGCTTCGCCAGCCCAGGCAAAACGCGCCTTGGAGGCACATCTAGCCGAGACGGACAGGAGAATGGAGGAAGCCGGAAAGCTCGGCACCGCACTGGTCCATCAGCGGAACGAGCTGACGGAGCGACTCAGAGAAGTCGAGAAGTTGCAGGCAGAGGACGAGTTGTCGGATGACCTGCGCCATAAGCTGGCCGAGATAGAGAAGGACTATCACGAGGTTGCTAGAGAGAGTGCTCGTGCATTTTTACCCAAGTCGCGCGTCCCTAGTAATGAGGCTGCCGTGGGTTCTCCATTCGTGCCTGAAGGCAAGGGTGGCAAAGTAAGTCGCAAAGGATCCCACGTCCGACACCCGTTTATGTCAATATGTGTGTTGACGTCTTTCTCTTTGACAGCGCTCCGTTAGTCCCTCTAAATTCGAAGCCCAGGCTACTGCGTCACCCACAAAGCTTAATGTGCCTAATCGCAAGATCCGAAACCAGCCTTCCAATCGGATTCATGACATCGAGTTCGCTGCCGAAATCAGTACATCCTTGATCGCCCAAGTGCGTAACTTGCAAGGGCTGCTCGCTGAAAAGGACGAAGAGTTGAAAGACCTTCGTTCCGAAAACTCAAAGCTGGAATATGAAGTCGAGGGATTTCAACAACGGCTTAAGACTCTTGACGATAGCGAGCATCGGTATAAGGATGAGAACTGGAATCTCGAAACACAAGTTCACGAATTGATGGCAAAAGAGAGGGAGGCTGCGGATCGTGAAAAGAAGCTGACGCAGGCACTGAACCTTCTTCAGTCCGAAAAGAATGCGGGCCAGAGGGAGCTAGATGAGATCAAGTTGACCCACTCGAAGCTCGTCGAGGAACATGCGGCAGCCGTCAAGCACCATGATATTGAACTAGGTACCGCGAAGCGGAGCATGGTCATGGCCGAGTCGGAGAGGGCTGCCCTACAAAAGAAGATCGACGACTTGGCTGGGCGGAATACAGAGCTTGCCCAAGCAATGTCGCTCTCAATACGTGCCAAAAAGACGGAGCGGGAATCTATCGTAGGCATGAGCGACGAGGACTTCCAGACTGCTCACGACAACACAACGCCAGAACAATCCCCTCCAGCTTCACCCGTCAAAGGCACACCGCGACATTCCATGTTGGAATCTGAGACGTTGAAGACATCCCTTGCTCATGCTCAGCGCCTAATACAAAGTTTACGTAGCAATGTTCATCGTGAGAAGACAGAGAAAATCGAGAGCAGGCGACTCCTTCAAGAAGCTCGTGATGAGATTGAGAGACTTCGCGGTGAACCTATGGTCCCTAACAACAAGCGTGCTCGGAAGACTGACTCCAAAGAGTTTAAGAAACCACCACGGCTTTTAGGTGGCCTGCGTAGTGCTCGTAGCGAGATATTCACAGAGGATACTAATTGGGAAGATCAACCCGATATGCTCCCTCATCCTCGCTCATCACCTATCTCCCGCGAAACGACCATGCTGTATGACCCGGTTCCTGAACATACCGACCATTTTGAGACTGCCAACGAGACAAGCGACGCAGCATTCGAGACCGCAAATGAGAATGCTACAGAGACTGATGATTTCCACACAGGCGCGGAGGAATTTTCGAGTGATGATGTCGAGACTGAGACCGAGAGTCCTTCCAAACGTCGGACATTGACGGGCAGACCTCCGAATCTGCTTATGCATCGCAGCCACTCGATTGACAGCACTGCCTCGACCGAAGATGAAGACTTCCCTTACGAGGACATGAAAACGCCCACTCATCTGCCGCCACTTCAAGCGAAGTTCCCTCTTCGTGTTAGTCGTGGGGCTTTCCGCCGATCTCGAAATGCCAGTGAAGAGCCCGCTCTTCTAAGCAGCCCAGCAAGCTTTGCAAATAGCAGCAATATGGGAACCCCGCAGCAACCTGCACAGAGCTTGGCTGCCGAGCTGGGAGACTTTGATGGTAGCGATAATGAGTCTGCCATGTCGGCCACGCCAAGTAGAAGATCAGTTAGGGGTCGAGCCATAACTCCTCCACCAGCTCTGCCACCACTGCCGAGAGTCATCATGGTTGATAGTGGTATGATGACGGAGCCCGTTCATGAGCTTCCTGGCTCTGTTAGAGTTAGAGGTGCTGTCAACCCTGATCGACCCATGTCCATGGCCACAGTCATGAGTAGATTTTCCATGGGTTCTGATTATAGCGATTCTGTCACCCATGATCTTGGAGAGAAGTTGGCTGAATTCCCAACGCCTCCGACATCTTCGCCTATGAGAGAACATGCCCTGCCACCATCGCTTGTATTGTCAACAGTCCATTCTCATGATGTAGAGCCTCTTCCAGAGCCTGATACTCGTGGAGCTGAGATGGCCGCTCTCAGCATGAAGCATGAGGAAGAACTGGAGAAATTGCGTGCAGATAACGCTTTAGCCCATGCTACCGCGATTGAAGCTCTAAATTCAGAGCATCACAATGAACTCACGGCTGTCAAACAAGCCCATGCCCAAGAACTGGAAGGTCTACGCTCTGACCATTCAGACAGTACTAAGATAGCGATTGCTGATATTCAAGCGGCCCACGCTCGTGAAATCGAGTCTATCAAATCGAGTCATGCCGATGACACTAGTAAAGCCGCTGCCGATGCGCAGGCATTGTATGAACGAGACTTGGAAGCATTGAAGACTCGCCATACTGAGCAATTGGCTCAAAGAGAATCCGAAAAGACAGCAACTCTTGCTATTGAGTTGGCAGCTCTTAGAGCATCCCATGCTCAGGAGTTATCTCGAAGGGAATACGAAATTACCGCTGCCCATTCTGCTGACGTAGAGGCCTTGAAGACTTCCCATAATGAAGAAATTTCTCGAAAGGAATCAGAGCGTGTCGCTCTTTATGCTGCTGATACTGAAGCTCTTAAGGCCACACATGTTGAGGAGCTAGCTCGCCAAGAATCTGAACTCAAGGCCACTCATGCGACTGAGATTGAAGCCTTGAAGACTGCCCATGTGGAAGAAATATCACAAAAAGAGTCTGAGCTGAAAGCTGCAGCCCTGGCTGAGGTAGAGGCGGTCAGACTGACACACACCGAGGAACTGTCCAAGTTCAAAGAAGAGAGAGATGCAGCTCATGCCACTGAAATGGCTGCATTGGCTGCTAGCCACAGCAACGAGATCGATGCCGCGAAGAAAGAACTGTCTGCAGTGCATGACAAGGAATTCGAGGACCTCAAGTCAAGCTATGCTAACCAGGCCGATCAGGCCAAACAGTCAATGGATGCTGCCCAAGCCGAAGAGTTAGAGCGCCTTAAAGCGTCTCACTTGCAGCACATCGAGGACATGAGAGCCTCCATTAATGCTACCCATGCTGAAGAGCTGGAGTCACTCAAGGTTGCTCATGCCCAGCAAATAGCGGACGTTGAAACCAAGCTAACTGCCGCCCAAACCGCTGTTATTGCTTCACTCACCGAGTCGCACAACAAGCAATTAGATGACGCTAAAAATATTCTGCATGAGTTACATTCCCAAGAGTTGGCCTCTCTAAAAGACCTACACTCGCAGGAACTTGGGTCTTTGAAAGCCACCCACATTGGACAAATTGATACTTTCGGGAAAGAAAAAGACACCGCCCATGCCGCAGCTATTGATGCGTTAATCAAGTCTCATGATCAGGAGATTGGTGAGCTTAAGAACACTTTGAGTGCCACTCATCTTCAGGAAATTGAACGCCTTAGCGCTTCTCATGCTGAAAAACTTGATGAGCTCAGGAAGGAGAGGGATACGGCTCACATTGCAGCACTTGCAGTTTTAACAGCAACCCATGCTAAAGAACTAGAGACTCAAAAGAGCGATAGCGAGACTATTTTGGCGAACGAAATTGTTGCCCTCAAAGCTACACATGCGCAAGAGATCGAGGGGCTAAACAGCCAACATGCTGCAGCTCATGCCAAGGAACTTGAAGTCTTTGAGGCTGCTCTGGCGAAGCAAGTCGAGTCCTCAAAGACCGAGGGTGATGTAGCTCACAACCAAACAATCGAGGCATTGAACGCCGCTCATAGTGAGATCATTGAAGCTCATAAGCGTGATGCCGAAATTGCACAGAGCCAAGCCTTAGATGCTCTCAAGTCATCACACGAACTCCAGCTTGAGACGCTCAAGACCGAGCACATAACAACACGAAATACCGAACTGGAGCTATTAACTTCAAAACACCTTGCGGAGCTAAGCGATCTGAAGGCTGCAAATGCAACTGCCAATGCAGAAGAATTGGAGGCTTTAACTACAAAGCATCTGAATGGGCTGAAGGGCTTAAAGGATGAACACGAAGCCGCTAGGTTGCAGCTTCGTGAAGAGCTCAGTAGTGTCCGGTTGACAGAGCTTGAGGCTCTTCGCCAAGACCTTGAGGCTACTCATTCAAAAGAGCGTGAACTGCTACGTCAAGATATCGAGTCATTGAATGCCAAACATGCAGAGGATCTCGAGGCTCTTAAGAGTGAACACCAAGCTACGATACAGCTGCAACTTCAAGAGCTGACAGACAACCATTCACGAAAAATTGCAAGTCTCCATGAAGAAGATGGACAATCGAGGTCGAAAGAACTTGCGGCGCTAAGTGCCAGCCATGCTCAGATACTGGAAACGTTGAAGGGTGAGCACGAGACTAACTTAGCACGGAAGGTACAAGAGATTGTCGACTCTCATGCCCGTGAATTGGAAGAGCTACGCCAGCAAACCCAAGTGGACCATTCACGTGAACTCTCTGCTTTGGCTACTGGGTATCAAAGTGAAATGGAGAGGGCGAAGAAGGAGTTCGAATCCGTACGCCAAAAAGAACTTGCTGATCTCCAATTTGCTCATGCTGCTACCTTGACATCTCTTCGCGCTGAACACCAGGCCACCCTCGAGCAGGGCTTATCCGGCTTAAAAGCGAAACACTCAGAAGCCATAGAGGCTGCTAAACGCGAGCGAGACAACGGTGCATCTGAAGCACTCCAGGCGCTTGAAGTGAGCCATGCTCAGCAGCTCGATCAGCTCAAGAAAGAGAGCAACGCTACGCTTTCTCGTGAGCTGGATGTACTTAAGGCTCAACATGTACAAATGCTCAACTCACAAGCCGAAGAGAGCAACGTTAGACGCCATCGAGAGATTGAAGTGCTTCGGCTTCAGCATGCCCAATCGAGCCAAGTTGCACTTAATCAGCTGCGCGATACACTTACTTCTCAGTATAGGCAAACTCTTCAATCCGAACTGCAAATCCTTCGTGACACCCACGCTGCAGAACTAGAAGCTCTACGCGCCAGTCTAGCTAAAGCTCAGCCTACTTTGGGGTACTCTTCAATGAGTTCCATCGAAACAGAGCCAATCGAGGAGCTACCCGAACTTAAGAGTCCTAGGCGGGAAGCATTCATTATTCCACGGGATGGAGAGCCAAGGACACCACAGTCTTACGGGTTTACTAAACAATCTCGGGCTTCAGAGGTACCGATAATAGCCGAGGACGATACTCGCCAATCACCGAGTGCAGTCAGGCCCGAAACTCCTGATTCACAACAACCGTTCAAGGAGATCACAACTAATACTGATGCTCGACCATTCCGGAAGCTCGCTACAAGCTCTTCCCACCAGAGCTCTCAAACATTGCTGACGGCAGAGGGCTTGGATCTGTTACTGAAGAATCAAGGCCGAGACCCAGCTACTACCGATGTACCAGCTGATGAGGCTATGGCTGCAACTCCCTCAACGGTTCGCATCAGACGCTCATCCACCGATAGCGTCGGCAGCGTCGTACGTGCGAAGCCTAGCAGCGCTGCTTCCGAACACTTTCCTAGCCGCAGGCCTGGAAGCCGTAGCTCTGCGCAAGATCGACCCCCGTTACCTGAGAATCATCGTGAAGTCATTGAGGCTGCGCGAACCGGTTCCGCTCATGGTCGTAAGGGTAGCATGGGCCCCCCGCTGTATCCCGCATCCGCTTACCGTCCTTCATCTCGTCCACAAACTCCTAGCAACAAACGACCTATGTCGCCAGCCTCTGTCGTCAAAGGGACACCTACACCCCGTGCCGGTAAGACCCCGGGGCACGCGGATGTCCACTCGCCGGTCAAGATGCCTGCGCGCAGCAGACAATCATCTATATCCTCATTCGCATCAGAGATCGATACCCGTTTCAATATTCACAACGGGATGGGCATGGGACCATCGGGTTTCGGTCCTAATACCGATCCTCGCATGATTCAAGCTGTCACCCAAACGATGATTGGCGAATACTTATGGAAGTATACCAGGAAGACGGGACGAGGAGAGATGTCCGAAAACAGACACAGGCGATTCTTCTGGGTTCATCCATATACGCGAGCTCTGTACTGGAGCGACGGTGACCCGGCTGCTGGCAATCGTGGTGAGATGAAAGCCAAGAGCGTGCCGATAGAAGCAGTTCGAGTGGTGGCAGATGATAATCCTATGCCTCCTGGACTTCATCGCAAGAGTCTCGTTGTCATTGCTCGTGGTCGCACTATCAAGTTCACCTGCACAACTGGTCAGCGACACGAGACGTGGTTTAATGCGTTGTCGTACCTTTTGCTACGGTCAAGTGATGAAAACAAGCAAGATGCCGAAGAAGTAGCGGGTAACATCACCCAAGAAGATGTGGATGAATTCAACCCCCCTATGCATCGCCGAGCAGCAAATGGTCAGAGACCTCAGGCACCACCATCTCTTTCATCATACAACTCGAGGACAACTCGCAATGACTCGCCAAATCTAGATGTATCGATGAGTATCCCGACCTTAACGCCTACTCATGAAAGAGAAGTAGTCACTCGTAGTGGCACGCTTGGTAGGCTAAGCGGTTACTGGAAATCCAGCAACCTCAGCCGCGGCACCTTCAGTAGTCTGAGGAGTCGAAGCTACCAGCCTGATAACAATGCCATCTACGAGGCTAGCGAGGTCCCCGATAGCGCTGAAGATGTACGACGGATCATTGAGCAGCAGGACAGGGAGTCCGATAGGCTTGAGAATGTGAGAGCCTGTTGTGATGGTAAGTTGAAATTCCTTGATATGCGGTTAAGCTTAATTATTCGATATTTTGTTCGTGTTTATTGGCTAACCTTGGTGGTGGCAGGAAAACATGACGTGGGCACGCTGTCGCATACTTTGAAACGTGGCCGGATTCCTACTTCCTTCCAGTCACATTCACACCCGCAATCTGTGGCGGGGTCTGTACGGTCTCGTACATAAAATGAAATCCATTTCGCTGTTCTAATTGCATGGGTATGCGATGGGAAATGCATGGCACTATCTTTGTGCTGTTCAATCGTTTTTTCTTGGTTTTTAACTAAGTACTTAGGTACTTACTTCTACTTTACTTATATGTTGCTGTGTTAACAACACCGAGATGACGAAGAAAACCCTAATGGGAATCCTATGATGCCTACGACTAGTTTATTTTCCTTTTTGGTCTTTTTTTTTTTTTTTTTTCGATTAGGGACCCTATTTTGGTGGGAGCGATACAGATCCTGTCCTGTTCGCTGTCTAGAACCAATGTCCTAAATAAAACCGAATTGTGCTCGCCCTGAATTAATTCTTTGTTGCTGGGAGGGGAGGTTTGGGCACTGTACACTGACTCGGGGTAAGGGAAGGGAAGGAAGGAAGGGAATTGGCGCTTTGAAATGTTAAGGGGAAAGGAAGAAAAGTACCTACCTAACTAGGTATTTACTTTGTGAATACCTACATGCATATCTACCTTGACTTGATTGACTTGACTTGACTCTTATGTTTAGGATTGTGATTGTGTGTTGATTACAGTATCTATTTTTTTTCCCCCTCTCTCAGTGGTTCGTGATGAGGTTGGCAAAGTGTATGATATTAACTAGTAGTTGTTATGAAAATATTGTAGCTATGCTAAATGAGAAGGTATGGCGAGCTACCTATTTATGTACGATGTTGTGAGTCAGTACATATAATGAGGTATTTGCATCCTATTTGTACGTATTTGTATTTAGCGAAGGTAGCTGATCCTGCTGATTGGGATGGTGATGTAGGTAGTTACCTATATGTATGTAGTCGGATAGATAGACGTGGTATCTGGGATCTAAGTAGCAGTTTGATTCCGTGTCCGCGTTTGGAAGATCTTGGTGTGTGTGACATGAAGTATGTACCTACCTACCCCTTTTGGGCCGTTAGGTAAGAAAGATAGAGCATCATGTTTATAAAATGGGATGGGATGGCATTGTGGGAAGTAGTGTACTAACTAGTAAGGTAACTAGTGTTACTAGTATTTGTTCTCGTGTTACTTATAGTTTGATCCCAAATGCGTAGTGTTGGGAAGAACCAATTATGCCTTCGTTCCTGGGCTCCGACTCGGCCAGTATTGTCCGTCCGGTTCTGGCCATCTCTGGTTCCATCGGGAATACTGCCCTATGAATCTGCCTTGTCCGTATCTGAACTAGTGCTTTCTAACGCTAATCTGATTTTGCAGATCTGTTTTGCGCGATTATCTCTACTATTGCGTTGTCATCAACTGGTGGTGCCTCTGTGGTGCCCCAGATAAAACCCCAGATTTGCTGTGTCATGTACGACATATGACATACTAACGAGGAGCCAGGCCAAGAACGCCCCATTTCCTATGGATGGCATTGCAATGGCTTTTTCTCTACGATGTACCACAACTCTTGCCTATTTGTCAAGCGACAAGCAAACAGAGAAAGCTACCTAACATACAACAATATTTTCCGCAGCAACCTGAGCGCACGGCACCGGCTGATATGCTGCCAAGGCTGCCGCGTCGCCGAGTCATAGAAACGGTCCGAGCAGCTGGGACAGCATGGATGGACACACGTGTGGCACACAGGGGAGCGAGATAGGAACCCACGTGTGATTTCCAAGCTCCACCCTCTTCATGAAAGCTAGTGTAGAAACCGGGTAAGCGCCGGAGTAACTGGGGCTGGAAAGAGGAGGGTGGTACGGTACCTGCATCTCTGGATCTTGAAGACTATCAAGGAAATTGCGGCATCTCCATGTTTACTAACAGAGTCAACACTATGTGTACAGACTTTGATGTCGTATATGGCTACCGACTATTTACTACTTAGATCTGGCACGTAGTAGTGCGTCAATGTCCTGGAGGAGGGGTCGTGCTTATGTGAGGTGACTGATCGAGATGACTATTGGTGAGCTCGCTGTTAGGACTTGCCCTCACTCACTAGAGAAATTGCTCGCCAGGTCTCCCATGCTCTCTCTTCTTGGCCAAGCTCGGGCATTACCAATCTATCGGAATAGGAATGAAGCTAGGAATGTGTCTTCACCTTCACTTTCTTACGGGAGGCTGCTTATGATGTAGGTTATCAGACCTTGTTGGTGTTCGGCGTATTACACAAGCTAGGTAAACGAACGCCGAACATTCATGCCCCTTTCACATAGTCAGGTCTATACTCAACGTCCCACAATTGAATAAGCGAGTGCATTGTAGAGATGGTCGCCAAATACCAAAATAGTGAAAGTCCTGAAGCACATATCTCCCCCAACATCTACACGCATACGTACAAATCTATGTGTGTACGAATACGCTGCGAACACAATCCCTTGCAAGCGACCTAACATATGTCAAGCAATAGGAACACCGATAATTTCACATACCGGTGTCTCCCCGGTGACTAGAATCTCATCGCCTCGGCGGGGTCAAGAAAATTCGTGCGTGTAGCACGGAAACCGTTACTAGAGTACATTCAGCTATGTCCAATTACTAGGGAGGATCATCGCGAGTCAGGTCTCGCTCCACCCCCGGACTAAAGAGAGTGGTCTACTGTCTGACTAGCTTACAATGCTATCTAACGCTAAAGACTGGTAACCTGGACCCTTTGGGTTCTAGGTCGACCCGGATCTACACCAGTTGGTTGACTTGTAGGCGAGGGCAGGCTCAAAGGATGTGAAGTGTTTTTCGCCTAGCTATGTACTAAAAGACAGCACACCAACATATCCGAGGGCTAGGTATTAACCTGAAAACTACCTCTTATGAACCCTTATTATTAGGATTCGCCCTCTTGGTTGTTGTGTTGATCTGTTTGTCAGGCCTGGAAACATCATGATGTGATCCTTTAAAAGGAGAATTGAAGCAAGAATGTGTGGCACGCCAACCAAGCCGATGAGTATAATACCCCAGACTTCACGATGACGGGTTCAGCAACGACCGGAATGGTCAATTATGTCTTGACCGGCCTCACTTTGTTCATTCTGATATCACGTATCGTCCTCACGCTGATACGCCGAGATCAAATCGATGCGAGCTTCGCCCTCGTTGTCAGCTCTATACTCATCGTCATAGGAAGGATAGTTACCAACATCTACTATCTGAGGTATGGAAACGCAGCGGACGCCATCAAACATGCCGGTTATTTCGACGAGTCCAACCATGAATACATCAAGATCGGAACTATCCTCGTGCTGCTCGCTCGGGTTCTGATCACGGCCATCATCTGGCTACAGATCTGCATTCTCCTGATCTTCTACTCGCGAATCACTCGCGGTGTGAACTGGGTAGCTAAGGTAACCACGGTTACATGGGCTCTTGTTGGTGCCACCTTCATTGGCATCATTCTGGTCACGTTCCTCGAATGTCGCCCTATTAGCTTGTACTGGCAGACCTCGCCGGACCCCGGAGAATGCGTTCATGCATATGGGCAACTAATCACCCAAACCGTTAGCAACATTGTGCTCGACCTACTCCTTATTGCGATCGCATATCCAATTATATGCTTAAGGAAACGGACTGTTGCTGAACACATCACATTATATACGTTGGTCGCTCTGGGCACGTTCTGCATCGTTATCAGCATCCTCCGACTCGTTTGGGTGCACGACAGCGGCTCGGCACAGGTAACGCGCAGCTTATGGGCCTCTGTACAAATGCTTGTGTCGACATTCGTTGCGAACGCACCGAATATCTATGGGTCGATCCGTGCTCTCAGGATAAAGAAATCCAGCGCGGCGAGCAGCACGCCTGCTCAGTATCACCTGAGCACAATCGGGAGTAGCAATCGGACACGGCCCACGACGGAATCATGGCTGAGGATGGACGACGACGATTATATCGCTTTGGAGCCCAACCGGGCGAAATTTATCCGACCCTTGCCCCCTACAACAAGTCTGTATAACGAACCTGCGCCTACACCTTATGTTCACCACGCCGACTCCAAGGATAGCACGAGTGCTCTCAATAGGCTTAGTGAACCGGATCTTGAGGCCCCCTCGCTGAGGACCCAATCATCCGAAACGCGAACTCATTAGATGGGATTGCATAGGATGTCTAAAGGATCGAGTTACGCCCTAATGCTCGATACATGCTAGATTCCCTGTCACATGACGAAGTTGAGAGCAGAAAATTATACGGCAAACAGAGGCGGAAATAAAAAAAAAGTTGATTGAAAAAATGAATAACCACCCAGTCTTGTGGATGGATACTATTAAAAGCGAGCAGATAGCATTCGAGACTTGAGGCATGCGTTCACAGTTAAAAAATACCTCAATTTTTGTTTCTTTTGTTCCATTATATATACTTACCTTACTAGATAATGCAGCATGGGGAGGCAATCGTGAAGGAAAATGGCGTGTTGGCGTTACAAGAGGTCGTCGGTGCAATCTAGCGGGCATATGTGGTTACTTACTCGTCTAGGAGGCGCTTGGATGCTATCTTATTAGCTTGCTCTCCTATTAGAGCCAATCTATATTAATTCAATTCTCTTAAGACCTAGAGCGAAAAAAACACTTTTTAACGCTTTGTCTTGAGGTATATACTGTAATGCATCTATGCCGCTGTCATGTGCATTTGGTCGTGAAAAGCCAATGTGGCTTCTTTTACCATCTCGTCGATGTCTTGATCCCAGATGTAGTGGTACAGCCTACTAACTCCGCGCAAGTAGCTTTCACGATCCTCGTCATGCCACTCCTTTTTGGTCATCTGGAAGAGGTCCACGGCCTCTCTTGTCGCCCCAGGCAGCCACCCGCTACGGTCATACCGCCTCTTGTTATAAGCTTCAAGGGCGCAGTGAGATACTTCTGCCTTTGCCCTCTTGTTCACTCGGATTTCTTCGTCTGCGGCTTGCAGTATCGTAGCTAGCACCAAGCCATCCTCAATGCCGAACCCGGCGCCAGACCCGAGATGCGGACCAGATGCGTGTGCCGCGTCGCCAGCGAGCGCGATAGCCCCGCGATTGTAATACGGCGCTGGATCGTCGTACATGTCGAAAATCGCCCACTTGTCTAACTTCTCGGGGAGCAGGTCGACGAGACCCCGCACGGCGGGATGCCAGTCCGCGTATGCGTCGACGACTTCTTGCTTTGTCCCTGGCGCTGTGTGGCGTTCAAACGGCCACGGGTTCGGATCATGGATGACGAAAAGCGCGTTTAGGAGAGCCCCGTTGGCGACCGCGTACGTTATTGCGTGTCTGCCTGGCCCATTGTACATAAACCGGCTCTCGGTTCTGGTGGTGCCGAGAACCGCCCGTGCTTTATCCATGGGCAGTAACGCCCTGAAGCAGAATTTGTTCGTGTATTTCGGATGTGCTGCAGGGGAATTCTCGCCGAGGATGATCTGGCGCACCCGCGAGCGAATACCGTCGCAACCAATGACTTCGAATGAGATGTTAGCTATAACCGCCTACTTAAACGCTACACATCAGGGGTAATCATACCTATATCCGCCTCATCTACACCCTCATCTTTAAACTTCAGAGACACCTTCCCGTCCTCCCTCTCAAAGGCTGATAGAAACTCCTTGCCGAACCTCACTTTCTCGCTCGGAATCAGCGTCGACCATGCCTCGAGGAAGTCAGACCGCCTGCCGCCTTGAAACGCGTCGACGCCGATAAGAAGGCGCGCGATCATCTCATTGGACTTGTGCCCGTCGGCCCAGTTGAAATAATCCTCTTCATCCCCCGTCGTCGACGCCACCTTCTTGTATACTGAGTATACTTTGGGATCGACGACCTTGAGCGCGCGCTCTGCGTTCGGACTGAATCCGATGCCGGCCCCAATCTCTGTGAATGCTGGCGCGCGCTCGTATAGCGTGTAGGATACTCCGCGCTGCTCAAGTCCAAGCGCCAGGATTACGCCTGTGATTCCGCCGCCTATGATGGCTACGTGGAGGCCAGTGCCGGTACCGTTGGCCATGGCGTGGGCTTGGGTCGATGTGGCTGTTGCAGGCATCGTGCGCAACAAGAACGCTGCTTGTGTTATGTTGCGTAAATGCTATTGCTTGCTTGACAGATGAGAAGGAAGGATGAACAATGATGTGATGTGAGCAGGACTGGATTAATCAAGTAATATCTGAGCGTATGAGAGGCAGGGAATCTCTTGATACATATATGAACGGATCACAGTGGCTTTGCTTTGCCCCGACATGCGCGTCCTCTTCTCTTCAGGCACGATAGAACTATTGGACCGAAGGAGCCGGGGTCAGCGGTACACAACTTGGGAAATCGTCGACTATGAGATCACGAGGCATGTCTACTTCATATTGTGGGATGAACTAACGTACCACACGCAGGGTATGTGACAAATGGGATACACAAACGACTCAGCTTCTTACCGGGCCCGTTCCTGAAAACCGAAGTAGCGTATCCAGGTACTGAGGATGAGAAGGAGGTGTATTATCATCGTGTATTGGTACGGTATGCATGTATCAAGTTTAGCTTTCATGACTGCAGCTCATCGTAGAAAAGGCCGATCCCCGAAGGGGCACCGGGGCTGAGCTGGGGAAAAGAAACCGGAGTCCCGAATGCGGACATAAAACCGGGGGGTTCTGAAGGGACCACCCCTCACTCGATCGTAGGGGAACCAAGAAATGGGTAGTATATAACACTTAGGACAGCCCTTAATTAGGCTATTGCGAATGCTCGGACTATGTCTAGCATCGAGCCTTGAGTACGAGCAAGAAGACAATGGCAAAGAGCGACGACAAGCGGGATGGTCGGGTTCTCCTTACGGGTACGTTGCCGCTGATGACCTCGTACACTAAACCCTGTTTGCTATCGTGCGGAAAGCGTAGGTAGAATATCGTCGCTGACTAGGCTGTCAAACAGGAGGGTCGGGATTCATTGCTTCGCACGTCCTAGATGCTCTATTGGATACTGGGTGAGCACTAAAATCGAAGAAGCGCTCATGTGCAACTGCTGACGCGTTTACCGTAGATTCTCAGTTGTCGTGACTGCTAGGTCAGAGGAAAAGGGGAAGAGCATTGTAGAGTCGGTTAAACCACATCACCTAAGTTATGTCGTTGTCGAAGACATTGCTACAGAGGGCGCATTTGATCATGTAAGTCCGCGATTGTGATGGGTAACACGAGCCAATCTATACTCATCATCTGCACAAGGTGTTCCGAACCCAGGCGCCCTTCGACTATGTAGTCCACACCGCATCTCCCTATCACCTCAATGTCGATGACCCGGTCAAAGATTTCCTCGACCCGGCCATTAAAGGCACAACTGGGCTTCTGAAATCCATTAAAGCGCATGGCGCGACAGTCAAGCGCGTGGTTATCACCTCATCCTCAGCAGCCGTCCTGAACCCAGACAACCACGCAAAAGTCTACGACGAGACGCACTGGGCGCCGACAACATTGGAAGACGCGATTAAGTACCCCGCCAAGCACGGCTATAGGGCAAGCAAAGTACGTTACAGCTGTAGTTGAAATTGCAGTTTTGCTGCAATGCTGGGTCCGCATATTAACGACCTACCTACAGGTCCTTGCAGAAAAGGCGGCGTGGGCATTCGTCGCAGACGAAAAGCCGAAGTTCGATTTGGCCGTCATCAACTGCACTTACGTGTTCGGACCCATACAGCGGAAGCTCCCCAGCCTCGAGGCCATGAACGCCTCGAACCACCGCATCCGCGACATGCTGCAAGGCAAGATGCGGGATGGCGTTCCGCCGACAATGCCTGTTTTTACGTGGGTCGACGTGCGAGACGTGGCGCTGGCACACTTGCGGGCCATGACGGTGCCGAAGGCTGGCGGCAATCGCTTCTACGTCGTGGGCGGCCACTTCACGAACAAGCAAATCGTGGACATCATCCGAGACAAGTTCCCGTCATTGGCCGACCGCTTCCCGGCAGATACCGTGAGCGACCTGCCGGATGACGTGTATAACTTCAACAATAGCAAGTCGAGGGAGGTGTTAGGAATCGAGTACACGAGTCTTCAAAAGAGTATCGTGGATACTGTGAAGTCGATTCTTGAGGTGTTCCCTGACATCGAGTAGCCTGCTCTACGATGCGCTTTAATATCCAGACTTCTGAGGTTAGAGACAAACCCAGATATTTGAGGCGCTATTTTGAGAGCTACCTAGATTCGACTCTTGACAGCTACCTAATATATTGCATCTGAGAGGCTAGAGGAGATATTGCATGCAACTATAGATGGCCAATAGAACTGTACAACATCATGCGCGCGCAGCTCAAGCATAGCTACTTGGCTCAGGACGCGGCATTGGCCAACATGGTGACAATGAAATGACATACCTGTTCGCGAGAGAATGTCGTGCGACGCCGACATCGCTTGTGCCGCAGCCAAGCAACCGGAGAAGAACGGAAGAGACTAACAGAGACAATAATAACCCCAAACGTGTCTGTTACGATAGGTAGGTTTTAACATCCCTTGTTCGCCCGCCCTTTGGTATGCCCGCTTGTCTGCCTCCTAGGCGCATCATACGGGAGTGCGACGTTGGGGCACTCATGGTGATATGTGCGCCGGGACGACCAACTGCAACGGGCTAAGAGGAGAGAGGAGGGACGGGGCGCGGCCGAGATCTCCAGATAACACGGCCTGTTAGCTGCATGGCGCTCTTGGTATTAGATGCTCTTCACTATAACATGCGTACGCAAGTGCCCGTGGGTCATTTGAGCGGGAAAATAAACCATCTCGGCGTGGCTCCGCGAGATCTCGATCTATCGTCATCGCTTCCCCCATTACTTAGAGCGGTGTACCTATCTGTCTTTCTTCCAATCAAGGTGGTGGTGGTGAGCTGCCTGGATGGGGTGTACGACACGACACACGACACGCCACGGGTCGATTGCTCCCTACGTACAGGTGCATGTTTGAGTATTTTTACATATTAGAAGGCAGACTGAGGGCGGCCTACTCATGGAGGCGTGGTCGCCCTATCCGACATGGATGGTGCTCGCATGATTGGATCATTCCCGTTATAAAATGCTACCCATGGAGCGTAGCAGCAAATAGAAGTTCGAGAAACACGGCCGTTGGGGGCCATCTGCTATCTGGATGTAAGACTTGCATGCTTGATGCAGCTAAAGATTGCGCTATGCCACATGTCAAACGTAAATTGCTGCGCTGGGTTCAACACGTCGCTGCGCTGGTAGCAGTCCAATTAATGATCGTGTGGTTTGACACCCTTGCGCTCGTAGTTCCAAAGCTGGCTCAATTCCCCGGCAATGGGCTGGTCATCTGACGATCTCGTTCGCCATTACGACGCTGATTCGGCCGCACACGATCCTGCAATAGTTACAGCGCGACATGCAAACACGGCTTACTGCTCTGGCCGGTGTTTCAAGGGAGGGAGGCTTTGGATATATATGACTGAGTACTACCCGCCTTGAAATGTGCGCTACGAGATTCTCTGGTTTGCGCTTTGGACCCGTGATGCCACGCAGCTGTCAAGATCGCCCCTTGTTGATATGGCGCTTTCAATGACCACTTCTGTGTTCAGTGCTATACAGACTCAACAAGCTATCACGGCTCGCCAAGTCATAACACAGACAATCACGAATGATGATTACACCACCACTGCCGTCGTCACGCTTGGCCCAGGAGACCCCTCGAGTACCCCGCTTAATTCGCCAAGTGATTCGCAAGGCTCGAGTGGGCTATCCTCAGCAGGAATCGGAATACTCGTCGGGTCTATCGTGGGTGCCATCATCTTAGCGATACTCGTATGGATGTGCTGTCTTCGCCACCGCATGGAGGATTATGATGATGATGAGACTGAGTACGACCCCAATTACGACATGATGCAGCCGCCCCCGAGAGTATATGTGCGATTCCCACACTCTATTCCACCTCCCGTCGTGCCCACGTATACGGCAGTACCGATTCGAAGGTCATATACCTCCCATGATGCGGCCCGAAGAGCTTCTTCGTCATATATAATCTACGACGATGACCCGAGACGAACCTATTGATTTTTGTGTGTTCCTTATGATACCCCTGAAGCGCAGAACTTCGCTATTAGCAATGTTGTCTCGTCGGCACCACCGGTTAGTCTGGCCCACCGGGACGAATAACAATGTGTCCTTTTCCAACTTGATGCCTCAACATCGTCGTTTTTTTTGGGGTCCATGCGGGACCTGATGGCTAGAGCAAGCCATCAGTTTTGAAAAAAAGAAAAGGCAAGTAGATGAAGTCTCTTTCTTACTTACAGCTTGCTGACAATCTTATAGGGGAGAATGCATGCGAGAAGTCTTAGCCTGACATAACTTCCTGCTCGCAATCATTGCGAATGTGGGTGGTATGACATGTTTACTGACTCTGCAGGCCTATGATTAATTCTCGCCTTCAAGAGTTGGATCTGTCGAGTACATGTCCTTGCTCTTTGTCTTTGTAAAGGAACTTCATGAGCTATAGTAACTAGAGCCCCCCAAACCTTCGATGTGTGACCCAAACTGGGAAATTCCTAAGAAAACTTTGTCGTGTCACGGTGCCATACATAGTATATGTAGAGAGTTAGATTCCCGACCTGATAACTTTCTGTCTTTTGCGTAGTATAGTGGGATAGTTCTATATATCTGTTCCGTCACACATCGCCCCCTGTGGTTGCTCTTACTGAAAATGTTTCCTTGTATACTATCTCTATCTTGTGACACTGTGATATATTCAGGAATTTTGCCTCGTGCTACTCTTGGATTGCATTAATGCCGCAATCAAATCGTTGCCTGGCGTAATATTTGCATTTTGGTCAACGTGTTGCAGCCTCAGCCTGCTGCCTTTGTTCCACTCGCTTGGTGGCGCCGCCACGAGCTAGACCGCTCATCCAAAGCAGCCCAAATCAGGCGTTCGCTAGTACCCTGGGATTTGGCCCCCTTTGGTGTGCTAATGTTGGCCGTGGCTTGCTCTGTTGATCTCTTGTACTCTTGTAAGTGTCACTTTCACTGCTACAGCAAATCAGCCTCCGTTGTATGGTACCCTGGAGTAGTGTAGTTTGGGTAACAAGAGATGAGTCAGCAACACATTCGAGGTCTCGGTGTCCTCTATGTGTTCTATACAAAGCTCATCATGGCCTTATATGGTAGGATACGGACCAAGACATACATAAATCTTGCTTTCGTTAGTTTGTAGAATTCTATACGATTGCTTAAAAATAGCTATGTTCTATGGTATTGACAACTATATGAATGTCTGTTGAAGTGTGTGCTGGTTAATTATCTCCTTAGGGGTGGATGGCGTCAGCCTTGCATTTCCATACATCCATTTCATCTGAGCAAACATAATCATAGCTTTGGGGAAAGACCCCAGTTATGCAATAGCAATAATCTTTCTTACACCACTGGTACAGAGGCTGTGCAAAACCTAGCTTGTTCTGTGGAACCAAATCTAGAAACACATCAGCAAGACTCGAGGTCGAAGTTTCAGACTTTCCGTAGACTAGATTGGGTGGAACGTAGCATCAAGCTAACTGTTATTGATAAGGGTGTCTTTCTATACACTCCACTTGATATACATTCCGGGGAGCATCGGAACACTCTTTCAGTTTTGTCTAGTGCTTGCATGCCCCTACTTTTGCTGTAATGCCCACGTGGAAAGCTGTTACCTTCGTAGTTAGTTCGATGTGAACCATTTATGGGTAGAGCTGCATGTAGAATTGATCAAGACTCTCTCCACATGCAGGGCTGGTACATTGCAAAATAACTCATTTTTCACAGGTAGTACCAGAGAAAGAGTCCCAAATAAAATACGCTATTATTTGGGATAGTATTACGCACGTACAAGTTGAACATCCAGTTCACCTTTCGCTATGGGTCTAGTACGCCTGTTCATGATCTTCGAAAGATATGCAGACTGTCAGGGGTCTTAGGGCAGAGTAACAAAGATATACATTGTATATAGTCAGAGAAGTCTGAAGGCCTTCAGACTTCCGACCTTTTAGACCTTGTGCTACAATGAGAGTCTTACTGTATACCTTGTACAGCCCTTCTGACACAGACCACATTAGAAACAAGATTATACAAACTTTGCTTCATATAATAAGCCAATACAACCTAGGCAGTTAGGGCTAGCAGAACATTTATATATACAGTCAAGTTAACATTTGTAGCCTTAGTAAATCATTATATTCTGAATAGTATTGAGTTCCAAGCCCAGGTCTCTGCCCTTGTTATAGTTACCGAGGCTTTACTCAAGCACGGATCCAACGAGGAAGTTGAATTTCACCTTAGGAAAGCTCATAGCAATATCAGTATTGCTGCAGCAAACAAATAAAACAGAAAATTGTCATAAACAAGTTCGAAATACATAGACATGGCTTTCGAGAACAGGCCCTTCACGCGAGTGATAATTGTCGACCTCGAACATGATCTTAGCTATAATGAAGCTGGTGTTGCTCAAGCAATGAACAGTCAATTCAGACAATCCTTAGACGGCTACAGAAAATGTACAGTAATCTGGCAGCCGCTTGATAACTATAACGAAACGACTATGGGCTCGCCGGTTGGAAGCATCGGCCTAGTGCATTGGATTGAGGGACGCTATACCGAGGCCTTCGACACATTGCATGAGATCAAGAGGATATACGAACGTAACTACAGCGTTGATGATACCAGGACTTTCAAGTAAGTACTCTCAGGGAGACCTGATCTTTTCTTATTTCAGATTTACCTTCAATAGAACTGGGAAAGGTGCATCTCATAGTAGGAGATCTGACGAACACGTTTCAGTATGATGGCCGGGCGCTTAATCAATGATAAGCCACTCTAGGGACCTCGTCGTATTGGAGATGTTACTCACAAGCTCGGTATGAACCTTATAGGTATTAAAGACTATCTAACCGCTCAGTAAGTTCGCTTTAAGCATGCGCAATATATGTGAATGCTGATAGATTCTCTTTAGTTCTTATCACGTTCGACGTATAAGCAAGGCTAGCTATAAGTGGCTACTCATCAACATGAAATGGCAGAGTGGGCATTCTAATCAGTATATAGTCTTCGACCAGTGATCGTGCATGATGAAAGGAGGCTGATACAAGAGCTTCGTGAATACGACTAGATAACGTAGTGATTTACTAGTCTCGTCGATCGGGTAAAATCTATATATAATACAAACTCATAAAGCACTATTGTCTGAAAACTAAATCTGTTGAGAATTCAACATATTGTGATTAATTACTTCTGAGAAGCTGTTTTCGAGAAATCGACATGACATTGAGTACTTCGGCGTCTGTCAGTCGGCTCTCCGGCAATATGTTAGCAAAGGTCAGTGGTCGCTAGTTCCATTGAGGCATTAAAAACCAACATGCGAATAAGGTATGGTGTTTCTACTCGGTATACCAGTTTTACAGGTAGTTTAGGCAACCATGAAAGCTCCTGTTTCTCCTTGTTCTACCTACACCTTTAGTTTGAGGTCGAGAACAATTTCCACCAATGAGATTCAGGGCGGCCGCCCAGTGCCAAGAAGCTTTCTTGTAGCTGAGTAAGAACCTACATTAGAGTTGCCAACCTAATGTACTGCGAGAAATAATCTCCAGCGGGCGAGAGGTGATAGGCGCGGAGGAGCGGTAGAGTGTGTCTTCAATGCCTGAAGCTAACCTCCGCTGAACAAGCTCAATGTGAGCCGAACATTGCAACGTCAAGCTAAGAGCTTGGCAGAATTATCCATAATGATAACACAACCCTATTTTCAGGGTCTTCATCCTGGAGCCTGAATATTCATGGCGATTTAATACCTACTGCTCCGTAGTACGCTAATAGCGTGCACGGGAGAGACCGACGCTACTCGGTTACACTAACCTGACTAGGGATAGAATCTGGAATGAATAGACTGGAACTACATCTGCTATAACAGTGTCAGGTCAGTAGAGCCGATTGGTAGTGCATCGTATTCTTCGACTTAGCTAGGTTAGTAGTTAGACATGGTATATGCAAAGGTAAAAGATCTGCTCTGAGTGGCTATACTCGAGCATGACAAGGTCTAAAGCAGTATGGGCTTCGCACTGATATCTCTAACATTCTAGTTCTAATTCGTACGTAGGAATGTCTGTATCGGATGATACATGTCCTGTATACTAACTTCAGCTATAGTAACTAGTTCGTATGGGCGGGAATAAGACGGAGGGATGGGTGGTTTGCTCTATAGAGACATGCGTATCACAATAGAGGAATGTGAAGTGAGATAATTTGGTAATTAGATTATGAAGAGTATAACCTGTCCTTTCAGTTCCCAATACTTTGTCATCGTAGGGTTCTCTTGACCTTGTATTACCCATTCACTCTATCAGCAAATACTAAACACGCTCAGACCATTTCAGCATGATGCAATTGCTGACGAAGGATCCTACTTTATATATGAATATCCGCGTAGCTTTAGGGTTGGGCGGCAAGTAGTGAGGATAGGAATGTCCCCCCCCCTCCCCCAGTCTCGAAAGAAATGCCCAAACGTGGGGTGACCAATGGGCGAATGATAGTTGAGAAAGGGTGCACCAGACTAGTACTACTTGAGGTTGGAAGGTGGTCTAAGTAAGTACTAGAGGACCAGAGGTATCAGTTTGGGCGACTCTTTGTGTGCGCTCTATGATATCCCACGTAGCAGTGAGCTTCAAGGCCTCAGAATATTGCTAATCTAAAGTCCAAACCTAGATATCAAAAGTAAAATGACTTTTATTAATGATTGCATCTGTGATGCTTGCCCATACTCAAAGATTTACTGCGCGAGATTCAAGCGTCAGTTGCTCTGCAAGGATCCATGCTCGATGTTCGGCATATCCCAAATCCCTGCTTCTGTTCCAAATACTATATTCCCAGAGATTTCTAGGCCCGACATGTCGATCCTCGAAACTTAGATCCCAGGGGCACTCAGGGGGTTAACTGGCCAAGACAAGAGATAACATTCATACCCTGCTAGGGTAAAATACTTTTGCAGTTTCGCTTGTTAACAATACTTGCGGCTATATCCAAGCTACTAGGTCCGGTCACCTGCTCTTTTACGTTACTCAGCGAACACATTGTGATCGACCCCCCGTTAAGAAGTTTGTATTGACTTTACCGAGCCTAACTACCTAGGCTCTCTGACTTATACGAACTTGAACCAGGTGAAGGAAAAGAAGTCCCAAGTTAATCCATCATTCCAATTGGAGGTTCCGAGAGCTCAAACCAGGGTAGACAAAAAGCCGCTCCGCTCAGGGAACATCGTGTTTAGTGCTAGTGAACCGCTAAGAGTTAGCTGCATTCCACGTAGAGTCTAGTAGGCCGTGCAGGACCTGTGGCTTACTTACATTATTAGTTGGGCTTAGTTAGATTCAAGTTGGGGAATATCGACTTTCGAAATCCCGCATCCTGGTACAAGATTATGCACTTAGGAAACTCACGCTAGACAACGTCCTTGATAAGCTTGCTCTCTATCTTCATGCAGACAGGATATTTTATAGTGATAAAGAGAACATCTGAGATATTAATATTCAAAATCAGATGTTTATTGCTGCCATGGGAACTCAACAAGCAATATTTACGATAACTACTAGAGATAATAGCAAATGATTATGCATATTTTTACAAGCAATGCACCTTGTTACGCAAAGAATGGCCACTGCGGCTTGCAAGTGAGGCAATAGTTAGCTATGTTGAATAAGCTTTTTCGGCGATTAGAAAAGAAACCGGGCTTAGCTTCGACACGAGGTTGACCCTTTGTCAACCTTGCTTGGTTCTTACGTGTATGTCAGCGCCCATCGGTACTGTGGGATGCCAACACTTGGGGGAAACATCTTGGCATCCCACATTCTGGACCATTGTGACATCAAGCTTACCTACTCACTAGCCACGGAGAGTTGGGTCCGTAATCAAGAGTCAGTCTTGATCGGGAGTAGTATTTTCTTTCTTTCCATTGTGTAATGAGTTACCAATGTTACGGTAAAAACCCAGCTATCCCCTCAATATGCAGCTATAATTGACTAATATTCTGGGCCCATACAGACTCCTTGGCATCATAAACCATAGAGGGTGTCTATCTACACCAGATGAGAAAACTAACCTCATCATATCGTATCGCAAGCATGACAAAAGCTTGTGCCAGCAAAATTTTCATGACTTGTCTAAGGTGCGCTAACACTCGGTTGCGGAGATTGAGTTAGTGGTCCTTCAGACAATCAGACCCGACAGCAAGGGTGGGCGATTATGTAACAAAGCGACGAGACTACCACAATGTACGACTCCAAAGGATAAGTGACGGTCATATCTACTGAGGTCAAGCAATATAAATAATGTCGCGAATTCCCCGATGAACAACACTTTTCTCTATCCCACGACCATCAGTTTCATCTTCACACAAAGCACCTTCTTAGTCCTCGGTGGCATATTCAGCTTCTGTCTCAAACATCAATCGTTTCTATATCACCTCACCAACCGCCAAAATGAGATTCAGCTTAAACTCTACCCTGCTATTCGCAGGTGCTGTTTCCGCAACCTGCAATGCTTCGGGCTTCAAGTACGAGAGACTCGACAAGAACGACTCCGTAAGTCTCTCATCGCTTATACCTTCACTTAGCCAGGTCACTAACTTCTTAGGTCCTCGTCATTCTTGATATGCAAGAAGGCCTGTTCAGTCTTTCTCGGGATTATGATGCAGTCCAGTACCGCAACGCCATGTATGCTCATGCTGAGCTTGGCAAGGTCTTCGACATTCCTGTCATTATGACTACCTCTGCCGAGACTGGTAAGTATCTAGTTCTTTCTTCTTAAACATTCATCATAAGCTAACAATTCACCCAAGGCCCCAATGGCCCTCTACCCAACGAATTCTTGGAGATGTACCCTGAGGTCTCGGTTGTGAGGCGTATGGGAGAGGTTAACGCTTGGGACAACGCAGAGTTCCGTGAGGCTGTCAAGGCTACCAACAAGTCTCAAATCATCATTGCCGGTATTGTCACTGACGTCTGTAAGTTGGCCCAACTCCTACGCCCCTTTTTGCTCTTGCCCCTTTGACGAGACAATTTCTCTAACCATTCCGCAACAACAGGCACTACCTTTGCTGCTCTCTCCCTCCGTGAGGCCGGCTACAGCGTCTGGGCAAACCATGAGGCCTCTGGAACCACCTCCATCGATATCCGTGAGCAGGCTAACGACCGCATGCGTGAGGCTGGTGTCCACGTCGTCTCTTACTTTGCTGTTGTTTGCGAGCTGATGCGTGACTGGCGCGCCTCCCCTGGTGCTCTTGAGCTCCTCCCTGTTCTGGACCGATACCTCCCTGCTTACGGCATGGTTACTCGTGCTCACCTGGCTGCCATCAACAACGGCACCATCCAGCCCGGCCAGGAGGACATTCCTTAAATGGGCCACCATTCTCCATGCCTAAGACACAAAACAATGATGGCTAAACTATTGGTTTCCTGCCAATAGTACTAGGCTTGTTACTTATTTTGGGGTGTATGCTTCGACATGTTATGATATTCCAGTTTTATAGATTGGACTTTTCAGAATAGATCAAAAATAGATTTCTTTTTAACCCCTAAAGATTGAATTTGTCCCTCATCAGAGATCAGTGATACTCATATGACAGAGTTAAGAATAGTAAATATCAAGCTAACATTCAGCTTTCAGAAATGGTGGTGGGTTTTACATTGCGCCATTTCAATGTTCTCGGCTTTGGATGATTCATCAGCAACTACTCTGCCTACACCATAAAGCATTTGCACCTCCTCTTCAAGGAGACGAGGAATAATCTATCGGGGATAAACGACGGTGGTCCATTTTAGAACGGGTTCAATGCTTCATAGATAATATACAGCAAGTTCAACCATTAACAGAGGGCACTTGTTACAGTACCATATAGTTGAATGTAGACGCGTAGGGTATCGCCCTGAGAACGTTGGTTCTATATTTTGGCAGATAGCGAAGTGGTTTAGTATACACTTCTATCTTGTCCCATGACAGCACTATGATTCTAACAAGCAATAAGCTAGAAATCACAGCTAATAAGTGGTGCCTACTAAATTATAATGGGCTGTCCTCGAACTAGGAAAGGAAAAGGAAAAAGCGGGGAAAATGAGCGACAGGACAGTAACGAGTTCTACAACTCAGACGATACGTCTTGAATCCATCCTTGCCTGAATATGGCCCTTTTTGCCAGCTCTGCGACACCTTTCGATGCACTAAATTCGGGTTGTTGATCAACAATTTGCACCTGACCACCAAGCACCTCATTGATCACTGCACCCAAAACTCCCCTGAATCTTGGCACCTCAGTCGCATCACCAAACAATAGAACCATTGAGATATTCCTTGAGACAGGGCTATCTATGACAGGAGACTGAAGCATATGTCGCACCGTCTCCCAATAAGACTCCTCATGTCTTGTATCATATTCTAAGCGCAGGTTCTCCAAAGTTGGTGTTGCTTCAATATAATAAGCGCTCGAAACGTGCGCTTGGCTCGTGGTCAAACTAGTATGCGTGTACCCAACAGTCAATGCGAATTGAGACGGAATATTCAACTCTTCTTCTGCGCAAGCCGCGTCGTCTCTGTAATCTTCGCAGAGGCCTAAGCCATTACCTGCGTACGACGCGATACTCGCTGGTAATGGGTGGAAGTTGGAGAAGGGGAAGAATTCAAGATAGAACAGAGACAGATACTCAAAGGCATCACGAAGGTCGTCGCCGTATAGAGCGGTGAGATGAGGGATAGATATAGCCGCCGCCGAAACAGGCTCGCCGACATAACACGTCGCCCGCGCTCGCAGGGCGTAGATCATATTACTGAGGGTGCCTACATCTTTAGAGGAAGGGAGACCCATTTTCTTACGAGTGTCCCGCCATATCTGGCGAGGAATGTCACTAATCGAGTCACCCAAGTTTCTGTAAGGTTTACTAATTTCGGGATTAGATAAGTGACTAAAAGAACAGGAAGGCAACAGTAGGTACATACTGCAAGTGTTGCGAAGTAGGTAGGGATAATCTGAGCATCATCTCCCTGTACGCTCTGTCACCGTCAACTCTAGCAATTTGTTGAATGGACCCATTTGGGTATGAGACGGCGACAGTGCTGAGATCTGGTTAGTTGCGCGGTCCAGTACAATTGGCAAAACGTACGCATATGAGGGGCTCAGGTCAAAACCGATGCCGAAGTTATGAGTGATTGCGAGATGATGTTTTTCCTTTGGTAAAGAAATCAGAAGAACCCATGCTATGAGAGCGAAAATCAACATGACCCCAAAGCAGCGAGAGGCTTTTTGTAGCTTCATATCTGATTGAGTTGATGTAGACTGAAGAGCAGCAGACGTAAGAGCCTGGTCCGAGGAAGGTCCGAGGAAGACGCGTTTACATCGGCCCGTCTTGTCGGCGTCTGAAAGAGACGTAGGTAAAAGTAAAGGATACTGTTATGTTTGGTTTAATAAAAGAGCCATTACTACCTAGAAGCTAGCATCAAGTTGGCGGCTCAGATGACGTTAGAAAATGAAGAGAAAGCGGCACGAAAGAAGCCAGTAAGGTGGCTAATGACAAGGAATTAGAAAGGAACGCGGGGTGTTGGCCAGAAGAGTGGTCACAAACAAGGTGCATAAACAACAACACCCGAGAGACTGCGCCACCCCCGCGCTGTTTCGGTTCTTACCAACATTCAAAAGTAACCACGGAACTAGACACCTCAGCTTATGATCATAGCCGTGCTCACCACTGTAAACCATTTCTCAGGAAGCGAGACAACAAATCCTCAGGCGATATCATTTCCTTGCCGTGTTCGGATCCTCGACAGTGAAGTCCCGGTAGTCCTCGTTGGTGACGCTGTACGGATTACAGGCAGCCGTGTACCTGTCCTTTGAACAACCCTTCAACATAGCCGCAACTGCTTTCACACAAATCGCTGAGCTATTGCTACTAGGAGCCGAAAGTGTGAGTGAGAACTCGTCTCGGCAGCTCTACCACATCTAACGCATACGCATACGCAGACCCATTCTCGCAGACTGCTCTACAATGCATGCCTCGTGTCACGCACGTTCAACGAGGCCTTCACGCCCTCTCTGAATCGCTGTCTGCGATAGGATGCAAACAATGTCCATTTCTTGTATGATGAGTCGAAGCTGGACCTCATTATCCGCAGCGGGAAGCTTTCTTACACGCGAATTATGATCGTTTCTTCGCCGGCCCTCGCCTCGATGGCGGAAGTATGGAAGGACAGGTTTCTACAGGGCGGTCTAAGTTGGTATGCATGGCATCATGGACTTCTTGACGATGTGTACGACCGGATCAACTGCGCGCCGATCAACCTCTTCTCTGCCGCTAGAAGACTTAGAAGCTTCGCGTGAGTGGGCCGCTAGTCCGGCATGTTGCTTTCAGCAAAGATAGTACTGACTGATATCTTGCGTCTAAGGTGTTCACAGCTGGCATTGTCTCGCGAGTGCATTGGAACTTTGAGCAGCCTTACTGACCTCCGAAGCTTGTACTATGATTTTCCAGTCGGCCACAAGCTCAATATGCGCTGCGAGATGGGCGAGATAAGGCTGAATGGGGGCCTTTACACCGCTTGTGCCGGCACGTATGGCGCACCACCCCAGGATGCGATTTGCAAACACCTAACGCAGCTCTCCCTCATCAACATATGCGGTGATCTGGATGTTTGGAAGCGATGGGTTATCTGCGTCATCTCTGAGTCGGCCCAGCTCAAGCGACTGTCGGTGTCCATTGAATACGACATGATCCTTAATCTCGATCCGCCCGAGGGGCGTGGAAATAGCATCGAGCATCCTTTCAACCTGGTTCAGTACATCAATGAGATGCCTGTCCCAGACGCCATTTGTGCCACCACACTCCGCGAGGTCTATATGGCGGGCATCATAGACTTTACTGATGATCCGCATTTCTGGATCGGCACACTTGATCTCAAGGCATGGGCCTCTTTATCCCACTTTGCCTTTCTAATAATAGAACCCGATTCCATCGAATCCATCTCACAAAAGGCCAGTCACACACTGACGAGCCTGAGTGTGGAGCGGATTTTCTTCCATAATGTCGTCGACCCACCACCTAGTCTACCTGAGATATTTCGACGGCTCGACAACCGCCGCATTACCTAATTCTTCTGCTGGCTTCTTATGCCGTTTATCAATTGCTCCTGATGATTACATCGGCAACAGCATGTTAGGCTCGTAGGGAAAGGGCATCGTCCGGTAGGAGATAGATTCCACCGTCTCTACGTTTCGCCCAGTTCGCCTATATTACGAACGATAATTGGCCCGTGCCTACTACACTAGACAAGGATGATGATGGATCATCTTAGTCTTTCGGGGATTATTGTAGTAACGCCTTCACTATACCATAGCTACGAAGAATTAGTATGGCGCGTACCGCCCTTGCCCTGACGAAGAATCGAATGATAGAGAAAGGCACAAATTCGAAACTTTCATAATCATGTGATTGCTAACTTTCTATAACAAGGGCAGATATCTAGGCTTGGAATTTAATGCTATTCACACTATAATGATGCATAACGGCTATAAAATGCCTTAGTTAACCAATTTATTTTAATCTTAATAGCTTAACTTAACTCTATATATAATTAGTTTACTAGCCTTAACCGCTTAAGTGTTGATAGTTTTGTTTTATGAATTAAAGTTTATAACTATAACTTCGTTTCTAACATCAGCTGTATGTCTTTCGAAGATCACAAACAGCCTGAAATTGTCTGTATTACGCTCGTAGCAAAAGGCGAACTGCATGTTCAGCTTGTACGCGTGTAATAGCAAGTACCTGCGCGGTTTGATAGAGGACTACGGATACTTCAGGGAAGCTACCCTCTAAGCACTAAATTGGACTTGCGCCAGTCAGCGGCGATTATCAATATAAGGTAGATGCAAGCTCACCATCCATACTAATACACCTTGATTTGCAGCTAGTTGAACAATAACTTATATAACACCTGTATAGTCTTAAACTTCCCCTATTAGTAAATATGATCTTTGTTTAGTTTATTGCTAATCATTTCTTTGTTTGTTGTTAGGTGTAGCCTAATACAAGTAGATTGTTGAACAACAAGGCCTTTGCAGATAACACTACTATTGTAGCATACGACTATATATGTGGGCTTAAACGAAGCTACCAACGAGTCCATTGCCAACCAAAATAATCAACCCTACGTCTAAAAGACTATCCTACTTATCTGTTATAACAAAACAACAACCATCAGCTTCTTATTTCAATACTGAACGTTTATCTATTTACAGGGCAATGTCGTATTATATACACCCCGATGTCCTTACGTTGAAAACAATAGCTGACAACAGGTGGAAAGAACCGAGCTTACATTCAGCTAATTCTCCAAGGACTAAGACACCACACGATGCTCAATCGTTGGTTCGATTAGTGTCAAATTCTTCCTGGGCGGTTCAAGACCCATATTCAGAGCCAGTGACGCGGTTCATAAAGTGGTACCGCAAAGGACAGGAGATGGACTTCAAAAGCATGGACAATGAAAAGCTTCGAGATGAGCTACAGAGTTACTTAGCCGACATCGACGACCTGTTTTTCTTCGGCCTCCTAACCAGAAAAGTCAAAGGAAAATCAGGAACGCAGAAACTTGTCCTTCTAAGGGTTACGAGTGAGGCCCCGAAAGGTAATTATTGTGGTGCTTATAAAATGGAAGACGAAGGACCATCGATTCGTATACATCGATATGATCGTCAAGGCATAATTCGACCATTTGAGAAGTTTCTCAGCACGCTTGTACACGAATCTTGTCACGCATATCTCGATATCTTTAGCGATACGCGTCATTCCAAACACCAAGAATGGGTTTGTGACTATGGTGGTCATGGAGAGATGTTTTGGGTCCTATTTCGGTTTATTATGGAAAAGATAAGGGCTTATACTAGGTCAGAAAGATGGGAGAGACAAATGAAAGATATGGAGTACGAATGCGTTGATATCACGAAAACGAAAGGCCGCCCTGGTGATTGGGGGACTCCGGCGCGGACTGTAATGGGAGGTTTCTTGAGTCCAGGATATGCTTAAGTACCTAGGTAAGTATACTGTTACGTAGATTGAAACCAATATAATTCTATACTTGAAAGTTTTAGATGGATTACTATTATTGACAGGCGGTGGTAAGTATATCCTAGCGAGCACAGATCTTGGAGGCGATAATCGGAATCATGTCCGCAGTGCGCTTACTCATTTACCCCGGGAACTCGCATTCAAGTGGACGAGATACGAAAGACCTACAGTTAAGACCCTGAATCACCATGTTCCCAGGTAGTGAGTGGGGTTGTCAAGGGAATGGGCTTCCTATCATGCTAAGATATCACCTACTGCTTTCAGCGTGTGGGGGGAGGTCCCGATCTTGGGTAGACGCTTACATAGTAAGTTGACTTCTATTCTCCATCAGTGGTATCGCTTCTGCAAAAATACCACGTTGAATTTCGCGGTGAAGAGCTACGGCCCGACGCATTCTGAGATGTGTATATGCTCTGGAGTGTCCGGTCTAGTACGTTCAATAGAGAATTATTGTCTTTCTGTGAAAGCGATGGTGCCCACGATCTCTTCCTCGAAATAGCAACTCTCAAATACTACTCATACTACGCTCCATGCTTTATTGGATTTGTAATATTGTTCCATCCAAAGCCGAGAAAAGCGTGGGACGTGGCACGGGTATAGCCTATTTGATCATGTCCAAGTCCGGGAGGTGGATCAAGAACATTGCTCCACGACAGCCCAGGCCACGGGAATAGTACCCGGTCTCTCTATCAGTGTTACTAACTATTCTATAGATCAGGATGGCCGCTTCGACAGGGACGACTCATAGTATAAAATCACCTACCATGGTCTATGTTTAGTTACACTTATACCACACTCCTCCGCATCAGTTATACTCTCATACCTAGTGACCAACTTTGAAGCTTAAACCTACCGAAGTATTTGATACCATGCATAACACCAAGGTTCTCCTCGCTGTGGCTTCCTTTGGGAGCGCTCTGGCTCAGACAAGCACTCGCTTTCCTGACCCGGGGTGCTCGAGCTCCATATACGCCCTTATCGCCGCTGCTCCAACGACTCCTCCCGAGGTCGACGCTGCCCTTACAGAGATTTCCCCTAGTTTCACTATACCTGCCGAGGACCTTCTATCAAGACCATCAGTGTATGCATCAGAATTATGTAGCATAGCTACCCAGCTGCCTGCGCCGGTGCTATCTAAGTTCGGAACATGGGGCTCAGAACTCCTCGCGTTCGCTGCTACGGAAATTGCGTCGTATGACTGGATCGTCACGATGTGCCATACCACGGGAGAAGCAGCGTCTTCTATTACTAGCTATCTCCATTCCATTGCAAGCAACCCAGGCGAACTATGCAAAGTCGAAGCAAACCATACCAACGGTACCACATCCACCCCGTACCCGACACCTACGGGCAATGAAACAACTACTAGTACCGGACTGCCTATTTCATCGGTGTCTTTGGCCGGTGCTTCCATGCCCACCGGGTTTCCCACCGGCGCGGCAGCTATTGGTGGCTTGCTTGGTGCTGTAGCTCTGCTATAAGCACCTTTCCAAAAACTCCGTATTCAAGACCATTGCACGTATTCTCCTGTGCAGTGAAGTCGATGATGAGATAATGAGTGTCAGAAGGGCTGTACAAGGTATACAGTAAGACTCTCATTGTGACACAAGGTCTAAAAGGTCAGAGGTCTGAATGCATTCAGACTTCTCTGACTATATACAATATATCTCTTTGTTCCTCTGCCCTGAGACCCTGACAATGAGTTTTATGACCGTTAGAATTGACGCAGCTTCTTGGACGAGGACTGTATGAGATGCAACTGGTATCCCGATACCAGGCCGGTTTGCGATGAAAATCGGTTCAGCTATTTTAGATATTGATAATAGACACATACACAGTCTTTCAACTCTCCTTCGTCTTTCTTGTCCCCGGTTTTGCCAGATGATGTATGCGATCTCGGCAATCCCTATCTTAACTACTCGCCAATTCACCCAGAAAGGGGTATCAAACCCAACCAATATCCGCCCACGGTTAAGCTACTCTATCATTCCCATCAATTTGAGGCCATGCGATTTACGTGTATCTGCAAGTTACATGTAGCTACAAGGTTAGTTACAAGTTCTACTGTTACATAGAAGGTGGAGTGCAGCCAGGATATTCAGTAAGCCTTACTATCCACTCAAAGAAGCGAAGGCATAATTACATAGCTCGGAGATGTGAAAGAGTCGAAAGAATGTCAAAAACACCCAGGTATTAGACTCTCCCACAGCTGAGGTCTTACGACACCCAGGGCGGGCCTTCTAGTAGAACGTAGTGTGTTCATCAAGTACAAGCTCCCTCCTAATTGAGATAGAAAATACGTCAAGAGAAACACAAAGCCAACAGGGCTATGTCACCCAAGACTAGATCAGGCTCAATCACAGTTAGAAAATGAGAAGTAATTATTTAACTTCCACCACTTAAGACTAGGCTTCAGTTAACAGTATCTCCGCGTATTTTAACTGATGACCGTGGAAGACGATGATGGGTTATGCACACCATAGGTCTATTCAATCCCTCTGGTGGCGCTCGATGCTAAGATTCTAAGACATGTGTGTCATGTGTTCTCAATTCGTAGGAATGGCGCTTGGGCTTCAATCATTTGAGCAAGTTCATTTCCCGATTACTCATAATTAATATTGAGATGAGTCATCACAGTACGTGGCTACATGCTAAACATTGGTGGTCATGGTCACCTCAACACTTCAGCTGTTCTCGCTACTGTTTATGACTTGTGGTGCTACAAGTGAAAAATCGGCCTTCTTTTGGTCAACTCAAATGAATATCCTCATACCATTCGAAGCCATCCCAGGACTGTTAGTCTATATCTCTTTCGTAGTTACTGGTGGAATATAAGTACTTGATAAGGTTTCATATCCTGCTTGTGTATGATTTTCCGTAATCACGATGTGTCAAATGCGTGAATAAATAACCGGTAGCTGATTTCACATTGTCAGAAATATCTGCTCTTATCATCTAGAGATAACTATCCGAGCCCTTGTTTCACAACCGCCCACGCCTCCCTTTCGTGTATCCCACAACTACTCCCTTCGATAACAAGCCGATGAGCGTGATCTCACTCAAGGCCCCACGTGGCTGAATCCTTCATCTTTCCCCCGTTTCTTCGCAGCGGGGTATATGTGAAGTAGTTCAGCTGCTCTAGCTCACTGACCAATGGTGAGCAACATAGCGTCCTGCCGGCAGGAATGTCATGCAAGGGACCGGATGTTGGCCGAGCGTGACTTTAAGCGAGCAGTGAAAATAAAATGAGATAGGGGTCCCGCGTGTCTATCCATGATGATGGTGAATGAGAATATGGATCTCAAGCTCGGATTTTCCTAGTATGAGAGGCCCTGGTTCTATCTGAGTTTAACAACCTCTTGAGCATTTACGCCAACCTACCGCCAAAAGAGTAACGTACTTGGAATCTCTGTATCGTGACGACATAATCTAGGATGGGAGATTTAGTCATTCCACCCTCATGGCAGGTGATATTTGCTGTATCGATGATGTATCTCGCCGGTATGATCTTCTATCGGCTGAAACTGCACCCTCTAGCACGATTCCCAGGGCCGAAATTGGCAGCTGTCACGCGTGGATATGAAGCTTACTACGATTTTGTACTCAACGGCAAATATACATTTAAGATAAAAGAACTCCACATGAAGTATGGTAAGCTTATTCTTCGATTTCGACGTGTTAGTCGCATTCCTCAATACGACCTATAACATTTTATAACAGGTCCCATCATACGTATCAGTCCCCATGAGCTGCATATTCACGACCATGATTTCTTGAACGCCCTCTATAACCACGATTCTATGAAGAAATATGCCTGGTCTTACGATGCTCATACAGCCAAGGGCTCAACCGCGTTTACGATCGATCACCAACTTCACAAAGCACGTCGCCAGCCACTCAACCCGTTTTTCTCCAAAGCAAAGGTGAACGCTCATCAGAACATGATTCAAATGTACGCTGATAAGCTGTGTCGGCGAATCTCAGAGTATACCAATACCACGTTTGATCTTGGTGCCGCTTCTCTCGCTTTTACTCAAGATGTTGCCAACGAATTCATTATGAAGAAAACTTACGGGAGCCTGGATCGGGAAGATTTTGACGTTGCGACGCTTGTAGTACTTCAGGGGGCTGGAAAAGTCTGGCGGCTCAACAAGCACTTACGTTGGTACGGACATCTTTTGAAAGTGCTGCCCCTCAGTTTGCTCTCAAGAATTGCTGGTGATACTTTAACAACCTTTCTCCTGCGATTACATGTAAGTTATATCAGGAAAATCTTACCATATTTCCAATTGCACGTCAGGCGAAACACTTGCTGAAGATTTCTTTTGCTATCAGGAACAGTATCAAGACACAGAAAGTCAGGTAAAGCTAGCCACCTCTCCGACGATGAAAGGGAAGAAAATGACTCCGCGGACTATAGTCAATGATATTCTTGACTCGAAATTGCAACCATCTGATAAAACTGCTCAACGTATTTATGAAGACGTGTCCACAATATGCAATGCCGCGTTTGAAACGACTGCTAACGTTCTTCGACTCATCCTTTTTCATGTCTATAGTAACCCTGTCATTCTTCAACAACTGAGGGCTGAACTCAAGTCTATCAGGACGAGCGACTTGAAGACCTTAGAGCAGCTACCTTACCTGGCCGCGGTATTGAAAGAAGGCCTTCGTCTGGGTGGAGGCCTCTCTACTCGGCTTCAGCGTATCTCAGAGAAAGATCTTTTCTATGGCGAATGGAGGATTCCTGCCGGCCACCCAGTCGGAATGACCCCCTTTTTGCTACATACCGACGACCAAGTGCACTGCAATGCTCATGATTTCATTCCCGCGCGGTGGATTGATGTCAATAGGAGGAAACAGTCTGAAGCTGCTTTTGTCCCATTTTCTAAGGGTTCAAGGATCTGTCTGGGAATGCAGTAAGTATTCCACTCGGCGCTGATAATGGAGTAAGTAGCTGATGAACTGACGATAGTCTTGCCTGGGCCGAGTTATACATAGTTGTTGCTGCCCTTGTTCGGCGCTTTGACTTTGCATTCCCCAGCGCGACCGCGCAGGATTTTGTGTGTGACAGTGATCAGTTCTTGATTCAAACTAGGGCCAAGGGGCATCTGTACGCCATACCAACTCCAACCAAGCCTGGTCTAAGTTGATTTGCGATATTGACGCCGCACTGTTTTCACTCGCACAAGGAGCACGACGTGCGACCGTGGGCAAAGAATGTCACGCATGGTAATTAGTTGGAGGCGGGGAATCATTGAAGTCTCTTGGTGGAGGAAACATAGTTAAGTGTTGAGTTCGGGTCATCGACGCCGCAACCCCGTGAAGGGTCTATGACCGTGAATTGACAAAACCTATAGGTTCAGGCTGGTGGGATTAGTTGCTTCGTAACCGTGAGATTCCACGATGATGAAAATCGCACTATGAGACTAGATGTTCTCTAGTAATTGATTTTGTTTGAAGCTGAAATTCAAGTCAAAGCTGGCCAACTAGAGAAGAGTATGCTTCTGCATTGCATTTTTAGCCCAAGGAGTGACGCGCACTTTGTCTAAACGACACCTCGTCTCGTGTAAGCGAGATTCCGTCTTAATTCACATATACCCCATTCTTGTTGGTCGCTACGCCGACACTAAGCTGATATAACCGTCGACACGCCACGTAGAGTGATGCTCAGGAACTCCCCAGATCCTTGTGCTGGACGACGCGCAACAGCCGAGCGATCTGGTAATTGACCGGAGACTCCCTTGCCATCCATTATAGCTCCTTGGTAACGCTGCAGTGTAGCCCTCTAGATGCGCCTGCAGTGGGGTCAGGGCCGGGTAAATAGGATAAATAGGAGATGAGGAGTAGGGTACCAGAACCGGGGGCTCGAAGAGGGTGATTCTCGTGATATAAGAAGACGCAATGATTGGGGGAATAAAAATAACCTTCAGTTCGCTGCAGTTGTCTGATTCTGGCTGTAGCATTGAAGGAATCATACGTGATCCTGGGGAATTGAATTGAATTGAGTTGGTTACCTATTTAATTGCCCCTCAACACCAAGCACCCCGCTTCACGATCCTGTTATGCGCGTTGGCGGTGAGACAAACTTATGTTACGGGATAAGTACCTGGCTGAGAATCTGTTGGCTACGATACTAAATCAAAACAACAAAACTACATAATCTACACATATCAAACAAAGGAGAATAGTTCAAAAAAAAAAAAAAAAAAAGGAAAAAAAAGAACATGACACCACCACTAATAACCCACCTCTACACTGCGGACCCCTCCGCACACGTCTTCGAAGGGAAGATATACATCTACCCCTCGCACGACCGCGAGACAGACATCCAATTTAACGACAACGGCGACCAATACGACATGGCCGACTACCATGTGTTCTCGACGTCCTCTCTCGACCCGCCCTACGACGTAACCGACCATGGCGTCGTCCTCCGCGCCGAGGATGTGCCGTGGGTATCCAAGCAACTCTGGGCTCCCGACGCGGCCTTCAAAAACGGAAAATACTATCTCTATTTCCCGGCCCGCGACAAGGAAGGTATCTTCCGCATCGGCGTCGCGGAGGGCGAATCTCCAAGCGGCCCGTTCAAGGCTGATCCCGAGCCGATTAAGGGCAGTTACAGCATTGATCCTGCGTCCTTCGTTGATCCAGATACGGGTGAGGCGTATCTGTACTTCGGTGGGCTGTGGGGCGGACAATTGCAGTGCTATCAGAGCACAGTTGAGCCAGACGCGCATGGTGTCCCGCGTTTCGAGAGCGAATGGCTTGGTCCGAAAGAACCTGCGGGCGAAGGCGCGAAGGCGTTATTTCCTAAGGTTGCGCAATTATCAGAGGATATGCATACTTTCGCATCGCCGGCGCGCGATCTCGTGATCCTTGCGCCGGAGACGGGGGAGCCGATCCCTGCGGATGATCACGATAGACGCTTCTTCGAGGCTGCGTGGATGCATAAGCGGAAGGGGAAGTACTATTTCAGCTACTCTACTGGGGACTCGCATTATCTCGTTTATGCGATGGGTGACTCGCCTCTGGGCCCGTTCACGTATGCTGGGCGGATCCTCGAGCCGGTGCTGGGGTGGACGACGCATCATTCTATTGTTGAGTTCCAGGGACGGTGGTGGCTATTTCATCACGATTGCGAGATGAGTAAAGGCGTTAGTCATTTGAGGAATGTCAAGGTTAAGGAGATATTCTTTGATGATGAGGAGAGAATTCTGCCTATGAAGGCGAAATAGAACAGATGGGACGTTCCTAGGGAGATGTATAATTGGGAAGACTGTTACCAATGACGTTGTTATTGCTCAAGTTGCCTTCATATTCAAGCCTTTCCTACCTTGGAAGTGTGGTTGCCCTGGTGGTGTACCAAGCCTTACTCAACAGCGCGTGACATCAGTTTTAGAATCTTGATATGAGCACATTCACATCATTTAACCTACAAAGCCTGGATTGCGATCGTATATTCCTTTGCTAAGATATTTCTACAACGCCCAACATCAGTCGTCTAAGGGCATCCTCGTATCTGCCAGGACTATGGTCCGTCAACATGCTTGAGCCAAAATGCACTTCCCTGAAATGTGCCTCAACATCTCTAATGTATTTCAGAACAATCCGTTTGGCGGGTTTGCCGATCTCGTCTAACGTTTCTTGGGTGAACGCGTCTCTCCTCATCACCAGCGCAGTGTCTATTTTGAAAACCTCGCCGGGTGGAAGAAGCTTAGAGTTCATCATGCTGACGCGTAAGGTCTTCAGAGCGACGTAGTCCCAGTTCTCGTCATCCTCGTTGGATTGCTTTGCTGAATTGCTGTACCACCTATTTGCAAGGCCGGATCTCAGCTCCTCCCAGACGCGCCGCTTAATCTCGGCCTTGGCTTCATTGTTGTCTGTCTTGAATGCTAGGGCAAGAGCTTGGAAATCATGCAAGACCCCCAGTGAGAGGTATGGTACCAAGTCGTTACCGTGAACAGTGCTGGTTATTAGACCCCTGGTGGCTTTCTGAAGAGAGGGTGACATTATCGCTGGTGGACCATAAGCATACACATGGATTGGTCTGCCGGATGGCAAGCATATATGCGTAGGCGAGCGAGGCGCACCGTCTTCCTCAAGAAGCTTCAGCTGCTGTGTGGCAGAGGTGAGAAAGCCGGCTCCAGTGGCAGACGGCTCTGCTAACATAACACCGAGCAGGGCGGTAACCGCGCCACCTAATGAGTGGCCACACAACACCAGGCCATATCCGGGGTTCTGGTCCAGGGCTGTCTTTATAGTAACTAATACGCGTCCATCGGCGCCATACAAGAGCCGACGTGCTGACGCATGGATGCCTTTGTGGACTTTATATATCTTGCCCCTCCAAGTTAAATCGTCGTAATCGCACATCATGTCTGCAAGAACGTCTTCAAAACCCAGGGTTCCTCGGCACGTGAGCACAACAGCTTTAGACTCTTCATCGAGGGCCACGGTATGCACAAGGGGCACGCCTGTGTCAGTAGCCCCGGTCGAATCTGAACCGCCTTGAGGATCCGTGAAAGACGCTAATCGAATACTGTTAGGGGGTAGCTTGGCGTGATGAGCAAAGGAACGGACATCGTAGTGAATCTCATCCGCTATATTCTGAGCAGGGCGATCTTTGGATATGCCCATCAGATTAAGGAAGTTATATCCGTAGACAGCCGACGCATAGCGACTGTAGCGGGTGATATTTCGTAGAAAGTGGAAATCGGGGAACATCCCGCTAGCCGCCCCGCACCGTCTCAAAGACTCAAGGGCCGCTAAATCGCCATAGACGCTTTTTGTGTGGAAAGAAGAGACGACAAGCGACGTTTCAGATCCGCCCGTGCCAATTGTATATATGCTAGGAGTGTGGGTTCGTGGAACGGCCGGGCGACGAAGTCGTTCTGGAGATTGCACTCCTTGTACACCCCCATGCGCTTGTCTTTGATTTACCGAGTTGCCGTTTACTATGGTTTCGCTGTGACGATGATATGGCGAAGAGGGGCGGCTATCATATGAGTGAACAGATATAGTATCTGTCAAAGAGACCAATGAGCTCCGTCGTCGCTTTCCCGTAGGAAACGCAGGTGACAAAAGGGGAGATTTGTGCTTCTCTGAGTTCCCAAAAGAGCCAAGGTCTCTAGAGTTGAAAGACTTTGGGGTTTCTCGGTGCAGTGATCGAGGGTTCTCACGGTTTGGTACTATGCTAGAGGTCCTATCGGGGACTGCATTTCTAGGGAGCGTGCTAGAGGACCTCGTTTGGGCAGAGGTGGAACTATTCCAAGCAGGTTTTGTATTTGGTTTCACCTTTGTACCTACGATATTCTCTGAGCTTGACTCACGGCTGAGATTACTTAATGTCGGAACAAGTCCTTTCCCGAGCACACCTCGAATTCCAGTCTTCTTGTCCCTTGCTTTTGGCATATTGGCATCTGGTTTCTTATACGATTTCCGGTTTGCAGGTCTAGCGCTCACCGAGCTGAAGGGTATCTGGATAGTAAGACTTTCGGTGTTCCGACGTGGGCTGTCTAGTGGCGCTCTGGTTCGTTTTTGATTCGCCGCTCGTCCATTTGTGTCGCCAGGGGAATTTGGGACTGATACTTCCTTTAACGGACCATTCCCATATCCGGAAGGCTCATCATGCAATGGTCTTGGACGGGTGGATGCATCTTCATTTGACCCATTTCGGTGTTCCATTATGGAAGATATGGCGGTTGGGTGTGTGCTTGTTGGAGATGCAGGGAGAGAAGGACCTATTTTCTGAACGTCGGGGCTAGTCGGTGAAACTGACTGTTGGTCATCGTCGCTATGAAGATCTACTGCAGGATTAGGCCTTTTACTATCATCCCAGGTATCTTCTAAAATGCTTTGTACTCTATTCCGTCTTTTATACACTACTCTGTAGTGTGAAGCTGGTCTCTGGCTGTTTCGTGACGGCAGGTGGGTATCAGTAACCTCACTCGATACAAGGCCAAGGTTTGGGAATGACGGGATTGACAGATCCGACGCAGCCGTTATATCGACCGTAATCGTCTTGATAGTCGTAGCGGATGTAGTGATAGATATCTTAGCATCCTCTGGAAGTGATTTGGCAATCTGTTTCCTTAATTGATCTTCCAGGAGGCTATCTTCTTCACTATCAGTACTGCTTCGCCTCGAGCCATGATATTCGATATCGCCGATGGCATCATTGGCATTGCGAAAGCCATCATCAAGTGCGTCGACGCGCTCTCCGCTGTCCAGAACAATTACATCCCAAATGATCTCCTCATATCCAAGGCGTCGGGATTCCTCCTGTATCATCTTTCGGCACCTATTCTGAAGATATGCAAGGCCACATAGTCCGAGTATTAGATCTATCAGCCCAACCCTTTCGCCTTCAACGCCGGTTGCAGGGTTCTGGAATTCCCGGCGGATAAGGGTAATGATACTGGCTATAGCCCTGGATGAATCGGTTGAACCGAAAAACTGATCGAGCGCGGACAGCAAAAGTTGGGAGATTTCTGAAGTAGTAGAGACAGCAGTTCCAGCAGCGTGAAAACTAGCAGCAGTCCAAAATACTAGTCGCGACATGGTCTGATGCATACTCTCGAGGTTCGCTTCCAAGATGGACTCGGCATCAGCGCGAGCCAAGTCAGATGGGGAGCCGACGAACACATCGCGGCCAGCCCTGATCAATATGCCGTCGAGGATGCCTCTCCAAACTTCGAGGCTAGACAGAGTGGTGACTTTGGCAGCACCGAGACCAAAGCCACTCACAGTCGTACCGATACGCAGGGCCAAGGAAGCCGATCTCGTGAAAAGACTGACAGCGCTTGCCATTGGCCCAGGCAAAAGCGTGCCAGTACTAGTGGACGGGATAGCTTTTTCCGCCAGGGCGTGGCGGTTTTGCAGACATGCCAGGCCATTTGGATCCTCCACGTCATCACCATCATCGAGTCCATCGACGCTCAAGGGCCCAAGAGCGTCAAGCACAAGCTCTTTCTCCATGTTGTAGACTCAGTAGCCAAGCGGGTGTCGATCGATCCCCAGGATGGGTCAGTGGAAAGAGTGAAGTAACGAGTACCTAGGTAGCTAGAAAAGCAACAGACGGCAAGTCTATCGGGGGAATCATGCAGACATAAGAGCAATAATAACCGTAATCATAACTATGCCGGTGGCCAGTTGCTGGTAGGCTGGAATGCCGGTCCTGGACAAAGAGGAATGTTTGTCGTGCCACGAAATTGAGCCCAACTTGGCATTGCGACAACTTAAAATTGCATGGCATTCAAGAAGAAGCACCTAGAGCGGGCCACGGTATACGTAGGTGAGATGGCCACGGTTTCAAATGGACATGGCGAACTCGATAGCCATCACTCATCCCATCACTCATGCAGATGGCAAAACCCGCCACGAACAAGTCAGGTCCCCTTCGGATTGCAGGGCCATTTCCGGGGTGTCCCCAGCCGATTCTTGCATGTGATGTCAGGGTCCGTGGCGACAAGGTGGGCGGGGCCAGTCTTAAGTACAGTACATGGTTGACTAGGTAGTAGTAAGTAGGCAGCTATTCCGTCCAGATCTGTCTGCCGTAACCTGACCGTACCTTGGGTATTGTCAGAGAATACAGGAGCCGCTGATGCCGGTAGCAAGGGAAGTGCAGATGAAGGGGCCCAATGACGGCTGTGCTTTGTCCCGAGCACTTTTCGATGATCTGACTACATTGTCGCTCTCCCACCTTCTTCCGCGACAGGGAAAAATAGGGAAAATATTGGTGCCGAGGAGGTAGCGGTTGGTGGATAGTAGCTGATGCCGAGTCTTTGTTCCGATTTGTCGAAGCCCTGCCTCGATAACCTAGGTACCCGTCGAGCAGTACAAAGAAGAGAACCGTTGGAACAGGATCTGATGATGGCGAGAGGAACTGAAGAGTTCAAGTGCATGGTCAGCAGCACTCCCATAGCATTTGAACTGCCATCTTCAAGTCTCTACAGCGTCGCCTAACCTAGGTTGCTTGAGGCATAAGGACTTGAGGCATACTGGAGGCACATATCAAGTATCCCACATCTTTTCAACGTTGTTTGTAGACGTACGAAGTACTGTAGGCCACCGTACGGGACTCTCGCTATGTTGAACTCGACCGGAAATACAGACTCTCGAAATCGAATTGGGGAGAAGATGTTGTTGTTGCTATTCTTGGAATGCTTGCCTACCTACCGATACGCCCAGCTCAGCTGCAGCTTCAAGCCCTTTGGTGCTTGTGCTGAGCCCGGAACCCACAGTGGGCTATGCCGGCTGTTGCTAGCGCCTGTAGGTCATATTAAGGCTAAGCTGCCCCTGTCCGCACCTCGTAAACAGTCTCGACAGTGTTGTTTCCAGGCTAGGGCTGTGTAATGATAGGGCAGAGACAGGGCAGGGTGCGCTACAGGCTCTACGGCGCAGAACCAGCCAGCAGCGTGCTGTCCCGTCCAGCCCTGACAGGCCTAGACCGGCAGGCCTAGACTTCCCAGGTTCGTATTGTCGTCGCCGCTGTTGGGCCGTCGTCGGTCGTTTTGCTGATAACGACTTAACTCTCGACTCTTTGTTCATGCGATTGATTCTACAACTGCTATCACCTACTTTCGTTTGCTATACTCAATTGATCGCGCCAGTGCTCTCTATCGTGTCCTGTCTTTCATCATTCACTCGATTCTCCAGTTCGGCCACCTTCTGCGGAACAACACTGACCATCGCCGTCCGTTTGCTTGTATCCCCCCCATCCACAACTCACGACGCTTTTGTATACTCTTGTACCCCCCCCCAAACATGTCGTCAGACCAAGGCCTTTTCTCGTCCGACCTCATTGCGCCCGCCGTTGCTGCTGCGCTCCCCGAGGGCTACGTCGCCCGCTCCCTGCGCCTCTCCGACTACGACGCCGGCTTCCTCGACTGCCTGCGCGTTCTCACGACCGTCGGCGAGATAACCAAGGAGGCTTTTACTGAGCGATACAACTGGATACTGTCGCAAGACACCTACTACATACTCGTCATCGAAGACACCAATGCTGGCAAGGTAGTCGGCACAGGCAACCTCCTTGTCGAGAGGAAATTGTATGACCAGCAAAGCCCAGTGCACCAAGCACTCCCTACATCGCAAAGATCACATAGCTAATTTAACTTGATGAACAACAGTATTCATAGCCTTGGACTCGTCGGCCACATCGAGGATATCGCTGTCGCCAAAGACCAACAAGGCAAGAAACTCGGCCTTCGCCTGATCCAGGCCTTGGACTTCATTGCCGAGAAGGTGGGCTGCTACAAGACCATCTTGGACTGCAGCGAAGCCAACGAGGGATTCTACCTCAAGTGCGGCTTCCGCAAAGCCGGCTTGGAGATGGCCCACTACTACGAGAGCAAGAAGTGAAGGCTTGAAGCAGGAGGTCACATAGAAATGATATAGACAAATAAAGCGCGGGATACGGTTATTCCAAAAAGCGGCTCGTCGACTATTTTATAGGTTCCGTATAGGATTAAAGGTCTGCAGCAAAGATATGAGCGTTATAGAAGGGCCACACGGTTTTGCTGGCCTATCTTGAGGCCCATGTATAAAGGTCTTGGAGTCAAGGTTTCGTTTGTGTTGCGCTATCCGGATCAGGATATCATGTTTCCAAAGTTACGAGTCACATATGCGCTCTGCATATATACGAGATTGAATAGACGAGGTGATCCAAAGGAGTATACGGGCCAATTGCTGATAAATCCAACTATGCAATGATATCGAAGGGCGCCTTGATAGGCTGATCACTGCCAGCTCTTCACATCACTCGTACTAGGCAAAGTGGCTCGTCTAGCTTGGCTCTGACTGACCCTCGTCTTCTCTATACGATGAGCGACTTCAGATTTGGTTCACGATAGTTTCTCATACCATTTCCTCTCCACCCCGCGTTCATTACAAAGACCAGCTGTCAATGCATGGGACGCATTTACGTGCTGCACGTATGCAGCTTTCGGCCGACTCGCCGGAATTCCCCAACTTGGGATCGTGGTGGTGCCAGAGCTGACAAACCTCTATTAAAGCGGCAGAAGGCTGGCACTGCAGTCCAATGTTGGCCGCATGTGGATAAATAGCTGTCGTCCTGCCTAGAAGAAGAGGCATTTTTGGTGTAGATAATCACTGACAATTTGGTCGTCTTGAACCAAAGTCGTCAGAACGAACCAGCATCCTCCTACACGCTCTGCGGAAAACAAATCGTAAGTTTCTATTTTCTCGAATCTTAGACATATTGACTTGCGATTGAGCCAACTAGGTTTAACTCGAGCATCGCATACCGTGTGACGGCAGTCGGCGGAATAGCCCCTGGCATTCAAGTTCTACGCATACTGACTAAGTATTTAAGTAGCTGTCTAGCATCAGGAGACACCTACAACAAACCCAAGGGACAAAAGAAATTCATACAATGGCACCGCACAAAGTCACCAGTTCCGACTCGAAGCGTCCAGTCCCCGAGACCTGGCAGATGGGCACAGAGTCCTTCAACCACCGCATGTCACATCACGACGGGGTTAAAGCGCTCTGGGAGACGAAATGGCGGCTCCCCTGCACCAAGTCCGTGTATCCCTTCCACGACGGGTCCTTCGAAGACTTCGAGCCTATATTCACGGCTCTGATATCCAGCGGTATCAACGATGGCGCCGACACAGCGTACACGGAAGCATTCTTCCCTACGGCCGCATCCCTCGAAAACTCCGGCGACGAGGCGATGGCGAGCGGGAAAAAAGAAGAGGCCTCGAAACTGTATCTCCGCGCCGCGTGTGTGTTGCGCATCGCTCGGTTCCCGTATATTACGGGTTTCAACGGGCCGAGTTGTCCTGTGAAGTGGCGCGCGTGGGAGATGCAGAAAAAGGTTTATATGAAGGCTGCGAGCGCGTGGAGCGTGCCTATTAAAGAAGTTGAGGTCCCGCATATTCATGCCCAGGACACGGATCGGGGTGTCATCCCTGCGTATGTCCGTGTGCCGAATACCCAGACCCGCGATGGAAGTCATCCTACTGTTCTCCTCTTCACGGGTTTAGATGGCTATCGGCCTGATAACACGGGCCGATGCGATGAGTTCCTGGCGCGTGGATGGGCGTCTGTTACGGTTGAGATCCCTGGTACCGCGGATTGTCCTGCTGACCCGGCCGATCCGACTTCGCCTGACAGACTTTGGGATTCGGTCTTCGATTGGATGTGCGCTGATGGACGGTTCGATATGCGGAGGGTAGTGTGCTGGGGTTTGTCCTCCGGCGGATACTATGCTGTGCGCGTCGCGCATACGCATCGCGAACAACTTGCAGGTGTCGTGGCGCAGGGCGCGGGGACGCATTATTTCTTTGCGAGAGAATGGCTTGAGAAAGCTGAGGGGCATGAGTATCCCTTTGAACTCCTGCCTGCGCTGGCGAGGAAGCATGGGTTTGATGATGTTGAGAGTTATTTGGATGGCGCGCTGAAGAAGTTCTCTCTGCTTGAGACCGGGGTGCTGGAGAAACCTTGTGCGAAGTTGTTGTTGGTTAATGTGAGTTGACTCCCTGCTCTCGTTCAATAACTACGGTACAGATCTATTATATTTTTTTTAGGTTGATACTGATATTTGGTCTAGGGCACCCTTGATGGTCTTATGCCGATCGAAGACTCGTCACTCCTTTTCGAATACGGATCTCCCAAGGAAGCGAGATTCTTCCCTAGGGCCCTACATATGGGGTATCCTATGGCGAACTCATCGGTCTATCCGTGGATGGAGGAAGTCCTGGGATCAGCGAAATAGACTTGCATCTTGTATTGTCGTTCTACGTAAGGGTACTAGAGGCTACCATCGTGTGGCATGTTTCCAACATGTGAACTTCCATTCAATATCTACTCCTCCCTCTGAATCAATTAGATCGTCAGTCAGAGCAATAGATATATGCAAGCTGATGTATCAGAATTCATGGAGACGCTCGTACTAGGATTTCATACTCTTCAGTCATCGTTATGAAAGCCCCAGCAGTCTTGTGATATTATTATAAGCTCATCCTTCATAACATAGGTACTCTATGTCCATCCCTCTCCTGTCCACGCACGCCATCTACCTCCCCATCCATCCACCGTCCACAACCAGAGTATGTCCACTAACGTACGCGCCGGCCTTACTCGCCAAATAAATCACACTACCCTTAAAATCCTCCGGAGTCCCCCATCTCCCCGCCGGTATCCGCACACTAATACTAGCCAACCTCTCCTCATCATTCAGCAGCGCGGTATTCATCTCCGTAGCAATGTATCCCGGGGCAATCGCATTGACAGTGATCCCCTTATCACTCCACCCGTTTGCGAAGGACTTCGTCAACTGCCCCACGGCGCCTTTGCTAGCTGCGTATGCCGGGACATTCAATCCGCCTTGGAACGTTAGTAGTGAGGCGAAGTTGATGATACTGCCTCGACGCCCGGTGATTGGAGATGGGGGTTGGGAAAGCATGTGTTTCCCCGCGTCCCGGCATAGTGTGAATACGGAGTTCAGGTTCACTTGCATCACGGCGTTGAAGTCATCGTCGGGAAAGTCCTCGCATGGATGCCGGATTTGGATCCCCGCGCAGTTTACGAGGATCCGGATCGAGTGGCCGTCTGCTAGAACTTGCGGAATGAGACCTGCTACGTCGGTGGCGGAGGATAGGTCAGCTGCGTACACGATGACTTTGCGTCCAAGGGCCTCGATTGTTTTTTGTGTCTCTGTTACCGTGTCGTTGCGCTGTTGAGTATTGTTAGTCAGGCCTGCTCTCTGCGACGACTGCTCAGTCTTGGGCAGTGAGACTAAGCTCAAGATATTTATTTTGAGAATGAGTTTAGCATACCTGAACAAGTATTATATCGGCGCCTGCTTCAGCAAGAGCAATAGCGACGGCGGCGCCAATGCCCCGCGTACCGCCTGTGACGAGCGCCGTCTCACCCTTGAGTGAGAAGAGAGCGTCCATTGTGATATCACTTCACGACCTCAAAGTCCAGGAGTCTTGTAAAAGGTCTCTGTCCTTACCAAAGTGAGTCTACTGCTGCTTCGGCTTACAATTCAATACAGCCAATTTCGAGGGAACAGTTTGAATCTGATGCTGTTCGAGACCCTCACGAGAACTGATGTGCCTCTTAAGACCTTGATCAGACACCCCGTGATGCAGCTATCATCTAGCCTTAGCTCGTGTGGATCCCTAACCCCCCATCTCTTAGTCCATTATTCCGAGTTGGAGAAAGCGAGTCCATCTTAGGTTAAAATCGCCGAGCAAAAGTTTATTATAGTACCTTGCATCTGAGAGACAATGCTCAGGAGGTTATAGAAACAGTCGCTTAGATACTATACCAGACAGCTCAAGCGAGAATATCAAGCAAAAGGGGCGGTGGGATGAATCGGCAACGAGTAAGATTGATATGGAAAAAAGAAACGACGAGAGAGAATAAAAATAAAAATTACGTCAGCTACTGGGCTTAGAGGGCTTAGATCGCTACCAGAACGATCTGTGCCCATTGCCGTTTGAAAGAGAGAAACCCCCATAGGCTAAGATTTTTGAGTAGTTCGCCACAGAAGAAACGTGTTTATGTATTCCACCTTAACGATCAACGACAAGCCGGAAACACGGCAACCATTCGGGGCGGTACCGGCTATTACGAGATTTGGAAAATCGTCACTTTTTTGTCAACAAAGCAAATACGGTAGTCTTAGTACCCACCCAACATCTTTATCAACATTGCTGGCAAGCTCAAAGCCGCCATCACTACCCATGATATATATAAGAGCATTATTCGACGGCATGGAAGTCAACTTAACAAATCAATCAGCACCATGATGGCTTCTATAATCAGTTTATCGTCATTTCAAACACCTTACCTCTCACTGAAGTGATTAAAAAAAAGCACTCGACCTATTTTGTTGCCCCTCACGCGCACAATTCCGCAAAATCGGAGAAAAACGCGGGGATCCTACAGTAGCGTATCCAATCCTCGGAAAGTTGGGGTAAAGGATACTACAAAACAGCCATCCCACCTCACCAAAAATGACCCCCTCGGACAAGAATGGTAATTCCCACCGAGGCTAGGTGGCTTTGACCCCCATCTTACTTAAAATCCCCGCCCCCCACACCAATGTTATTTCCCCCCGCGCGTTGGGGGTTTTCCCCCCAAAATTAATTAAAAACCCCCCCCCCCCCCCCCCCCCCCCCAAGTATTGTACGTGGGTAATTTATTAAAAAAAAAAACTACCCCGCGAAGAGGGGAGGGAGGGTATTGGCATCCCGTCCGAACTTTATGTAAACAAGCGTGTCGTGTTTAGACTCAGGTGGTTTATGTGAACTATGAAGCATGGCCGTTGCCGCGAGTCGGGATCATTCGTTAGCTATTATCGTGAATCCACAGTTTCCATTTCCGAGGTTCTCTCTTCTGCCCTTTATAAGGGCTTATGTTGAAGCCCACATTTCAATTCATAGTCAATACATTGTATATGTGCAGTCCTCGGGACACACGACGAGACTTATCTCCATGATCTGGTTCTTCCTAGTGATTTATCCTTGAACTAACTCTCGAATTCATTCTTCTTCTTCTTCTTTCTTTTCGGGTTCTTCTTGTTCTCTTCCTAATCAGTCCTTAGTGTGTTTTCGTCCTGTTTGTTGGCGTAGCATGTCCTCTATTCACGATACCCTCAAGTCGCATTCCACACCCTAGCCTTCCGTACCTAGGCAATTGATTTATAGATCCTTATCTAGTCAAAGCAAGATACAGCCATACGCCCATCATGTGTGGTACTATACAAGTTAACGCTTCCGTGCTTCACGGCGCGAAGGACCTTCGCATAGTCAGTCAACAGTCTCAATTCTACTTGCCTCATCTCCAAAAAACCATACTAACAATCAAACAAAAAGGAACAACGCACACTCTCCGCCCCCTCCGATTCAGAAGTCCAAGTCGCCGTCTCAGCAACAGGACTATGCGGTTCAGATCTGCACTACTTCAACCACTTCCGCAACGGCAACATCCAAGTTGTCCAGCCGCTCAGTCTAGGCCACGAGTCTGCAGGCACGATCACAGCCGTCGGACCCGACGTAACAGACCTCAAAGTTGGCGACCGCGTGGCGTTAGAAGTTGGTCTGCCCTGCGAGAAGTGCGAGCTATGCGCCGCGGGACGGTATAATATCTGCAAAGCCATGTCCTTCCGCTCATCTGCCAAAAGCGTGCCACATTTCCAGGGCACTCTCCAGACGCGAATTAATCATCCTGCGCGCTATTGCCACAAGTTACCTCCCTCACTAACCCTCGAGCACGGTGCGCTGATCGAGCCCTTGTCCGTCGCCATGCACGCTGGCAAGCGCTCGGGTATCGCGCAGGGCTCAACGATAGTTATCCTCGGCGCGGGAGCCGTCGGTTTACTCTGCGGTGCCGTGGCGAAAGTCGCTGGCGCCAAGAAGATCGTCATCGCGGACATTCTAGCTGAGCGCACGACGTTTGCTGTCGACAACGGCTTTGCGGATGCTGCCTTTACGGTACCCCTGGCGAGGCCGCAGACTATCGAGGAGAAACTTGTGTATGCGCAGGATGTTGCGGAGAAGATAAAGCGTGTTAACATTAATGGAGAGGAGGTGGGGGAGGTCGATGTTACATTTGAGTGCACGGGTGTTGAGTCCTGCATGCATTCTGCTATATATGTGAGTCTTACCCTTTCATCTATCTCGATTGCTTTCTCAATGCGAATTGACTACAGCTCGATTCTGTTGTGTTGAGAGCGAAGTTGCTAACAAGAATTAGTCCACAAAACCCGGCGGCAAGGTTATGATCATCGGCATGGGCACGCCCATCCAGACCATCCCGATATCCGCCGCCGCGCTGCGCGAAGTCGATCTCGTCGGTGTCTTCCGGTACGCCAACACATATCCCGCGGCCATGAAGGTGCTCTCGGAAAAGAACGAGCGGCTGCCTGATATCAGCAAGCTTGTGACGCAGCGTTTTCAGGGACTGGATAGCATTCCTGCTGCTTTCGAGATGGCGGGCAAGGTCAAGGATGAGCATGGCAATCTTGTCCTGAAGGTAATGGTCGATACGGGCGATGCACTTCAGCAAGCAGCACTATAACGATGGACATTGGTGAGCGTAGCGGAGAAGTGATGTTTGAATTCGCAGATAGATGAATAGGCTTGTATAAGAGGGTGATTGTACATAAGAACAAGGGATATAGCCCGTTTCCTATATGCTCGTCATTTTCATTCAAATAATTAAAGAAGTTGAAACCAAATTGTGTAATTTCGATTTCCCTGAGTCCTGTTTTGACATATTCCAATTGAAATCTGCATCCAAATTCCACAATCCGATTAAACGAAATCAGATGCCAGAATCCTCAGATCTTGTCTGTGTTCTCGTCACCATAGACGATGCTTGACTTTTTGAATCATTCTGTCAAAGCTCTTTCTCCACCCCTTCTTAGATCGGATAACAATGTCAGCCGGAATGGGTGACACGGGTTCAACTTGTCTCGTTTCTTCATTTGCTGCGAGGGTCGTCTGCTCACTATCACCACGGCCCGCGTCCGTCACGTTGAGCAAATTTGACTCAACTTGACTTTCCGGTGTCACCGAGGCCTCGGATGTTGTCATTTCCAGCAGCACATCGGAAGTCTTGTTTTCAGTTAAATTCTCCTCTTCTGGTTTCGGTATCGCGTCATCTTCATCTAAAAGGAGGGGCTCTTTATCGGTCATCTTCTGGTAAACATCAACAAAAACTTGCTTCATCTCGCTGACATTTTCCCATTCCTCTTCTACAGCACCACGCTCCCGGAGAAGAATTATGATTCTTTTTAGTGTTTCACCAATTATGCCGATCCACTCTGGGTGGTCAGTCCAGGCATCTATAATCTTATCCTTCCACGCCTGGTGTTCTCGCAGAAATGCCGACAGCAACGTACAAATGCTTGAAGAGCCGCGCGTGAAGGTTGCAGGAGTCCATGGTAAATTCCAATCCGTCTTCCAATCTGACCCTTCGTACCTTGAAAGGTATATCATGCGTGCGTTAGGGTTCACCCCAGATAGTAGGAGCTCCTCCATTGCTTTGATGCGTTGATGAGTAGCCCATGTCTCTATTTCATATTTGAAGCCTTCAAAACCTTGCCGAAATACATACATCGTCCACAAGTACCATTCCCACAAGCTTGTGCCGTTATACGTCTGATTCGGATTGCTTCCTTCTTCGAGTAGGAGTTGTATAGTTTCAGGTGATATCCAGTACCTCGAACCGCTGATGGGCATCATGGCATATCCCAGGAGAGGAAGTCCTTTTTTATCTAGTACCTGTCGGCCTTTCTCAGAGATCTGGCTTCTTATGTAACCTACCAAGGCATTTTCGACCGCGAATGCCATCAAGGAACCATGCGTTCTATCATGTAGCGGTCTGAGGTCTCGGTAGTGGGAATGATCAGCGAACAAGAGCTCGTGTCGACACCATACTGACCAGTGATATTCGCGACCAAGAAGTAAAGTTAGTCCTTTAGTCATATCGTTTTGATTGTTTGCTGCTTGGTACACCGATGGCATGAGATCATGCATGGCCCGATCGAGCTCATGAACAAGCTTGCAATGAGATTGTTTCGTCTCATTCTCGGCGTATTTGGCGCGATCCCCTGCACATTGAGCAATGGATATAATTTCCATCCACTTAACATCCGAATATAGTCGATATGTTTTGATTAGTAGGATGCTGCTTCGAAATAGACATAAGGCAGCACTGAATTTGCGCTCCAAGTACTTTTCCACAACTTCACTCCATATATCCTCGTTACTCAAAAACTCGAAAACAGATCGGTGAAGAAACCTTGCTAACACGGTTTTATCGCCATTTGGTGGGTGGCGGATCCTTGGAGATTCCCGACCTGGATGCGTTTTTTGATTAGGTGAACATAGCTCCGTTTCTATCAGTCCTAAACACTGGCTTTTCAAACGGGTTTCAAGCTCGTCAACCCTATCACAGAAGTCTTCATCCGGAATGGGTACGACCGCAGTATTGAATACCATGTCATTATCAGCACTATCGGCAAACCACAAGTCGAGAAGGCAAAGAGTTTGTCCGTGCTGCAGCGCATTATGTACGATGCCAAGGAGTCGCGCGGCTTTCGGCTTGTGAATAGGCCTCATTCTTTCCAGAATTGTACGATATAGAGCATGGATATCTGATGGAAGGCCTTGCAAAGTTTGTTTCAAGTCGTCAATATCATCATAGTTTGTGAGACCCTCAATGAGAGATTCGGTTACCACGCGAACCCAGAGGAAGACGCCAAGAGAGGAGTCCACGATTGAATTTAGCAGAGAACCGGTGCTCTCCGGGTCCTTCCTCTCAAGCATTTTCATTCTTGGATGATCCATAAGTTTCTCGTGTGCATACCGGCGAATATCTTCTCTTGTGAGGTCCTGGACCTTCAAAAAGGGCCGACCGCTGTAGCCGCGCTCAAATTCAGGCAATGGGCGGCTCGATACGAGTATTTTGACATTGTCACACTTCTCGAGAAAATGCGTGAAGTCTATCAAGCTTTGAACATGCGTCGTGGAAACCTGAGGGTCGAACTCGTCGAGACCATCAATGGAGAAAAAGAAGTTGATATTTGGACTATGCCGTATTAAATCAACCAGCGCTCTTCTTGCTTCTGGGAGGGTCGGATCATGGTGTTTCTTCCCCTCGAGAGCTGCCTGAAACCTATCCTTGAACGCAATGGGAAGAAGTTCGCGTCTCTTGTCCAAAATGGAATGCAGCAAGGACTTGAAGAGTCCCATTTCTGACTTTTGGTAGTTGCCACCACCGTAGTAAAAATAATGAGATAAGTAAATCAGAGGATTCTCGCCCGACCACTGTTGAAGCAAGACTTGTGTTTTCGGCGTCTGGTTGATATACTTCATCAATGTACTCTTCCCAGATCCGGGTTTACCGGTTATCCAATAACTTGAACTATCCCCCTGGAGAAAATTCACGAAGTTGCCCCATTCCTTTCCCGTTGTCTCAGGGTCCTCAAAGATCCATTTGAAGGTATTGGCGTGAGCTTCATGAATTGTCTCTTCGCGATCGCATATGCTTGGGTACCAGAGGGAATTGAGGATAATTGCCTCGGCTGCCTGGCGGGCTTTGTCATCGTGTAAACTAACTGGGACCAAAGGAAGAGGGGTAGGATACGGCGAGTTGGCATTTGATAAGGCACCAATCGCGCGTAAGAGATGGTTTCCTAGATTGACCAATTCCTCATGACGCCCTCGGCCAACTCTATCTGCATCGTTGAGCAGCTCAATCAAGTGTGCGCTGTCCTCCTTTGACTGTGCTTGCTTCTCTACAACCTCCTCGAGAGTGGTTAGGATTCGGAAATTGTCATCATCAGGAGACTGGTTGATCTTGTTACGTATGCTCACGAGGATAGTAAACTGGATCTCGTCTTTGATGGCGTTGAGACGCTTCTCGGTCTTTTCAATCTCATCCGCATCCCACAAGCCTAATGCGGCAGTTTTGAGGCTCTTCCAGGTAGACCTTTTATCCGTAGTAACCTTGTTAAGTTTGTACACGAGCTCTCGGCTGATTTCAGTTGCGCGCATGGATAAGCTCTTGAGTCTCTGGCATCACATTAGCAACATGACCACCCTCTTTGATTAGTGTGCCTGGGATGAGCATGGTATGATCGGAGGTAGAGTTTACTCACTGCTTCGTCCGGATCTAGTTCCTGACTTTCTCCAATGCTGTTGCCATCAGTAGCAGCAAGCTGATTTTCAAGGCTTGTCGTCGCAAGTGCCACGCTCTCGGCTACAGTCGACAGGTCCAGGTTGAGGTCGGTCGCACCCCGTGTGTACACTTGCTTCACATCACTTATAAAGTCAAGGGAGAAGATAACGAGCTTCAATACAGCCCCAGAGAGACTGATGGCCAGTCCGGCCGCATCCATCGGGTTCACTGATGACGGCAAGCAGCCCACCAGCAGTCTAGAACGAGACACGAGACATGTGAAAATGCTCTTAGCGGATAACAATGACTAGGTAGGTATTGAATGAACCGGAGACGACGAGTGCACGTTCCAAGCGACGATACTCTCTCCATAGTCTTAAGAATGTCTGCGTATACCGGTGGCATCAGGCAGCAAGGCGAACCCCGAAGCCCAGCTGCTGATGGTGCCGAGGTAGCATCAGAATAGAGAGGCAGAGAGAGAGAGGGATTGAGGCTGGGTGCATTTGGCATAGCGGGGTAAGGTCAGCACTTGATCAATCAAGATGCAATTCCGCTGTTCCTCGCACTTGGCTTCCTGTTTTCTCCGCTGTCGTGTCGGTGACCAGGGCCATGCTGCAGGCTGACGCCACAGCATGAGGCGAAGTATCTGAAGCCTGGCTTCGAGAGGAAGTCTTCTTGTCACAGCATGTGAGTACAAGCATGGGGATGAAAAAGGTGCCCATATTGTAGGGGTAAGGACAAAGGGTTCATCAGAGCGCTAGTTATTGTATACTTACCTAGGTCGGCATATCATGATGAGGATGAACAGGCCAAGTACATCTATCACGGCCCATGCTGCCCATAACGACAAGGGCGAGCTTTGCTCACCGCAGAAGTAGGTACTTGGGAATTATCACGAGTATCTACAACACTAACCAGACATCTACGCATTGGAACCTAGGTACATACACATAAGATTAAACGCCATTCGGCATGCTCCTGCCCTCCTTCTTATCCGGGAAGCCAAAATTGATGCCAAACGGCGGGTAGACATACCGCTCGAGCTTGCCCTCCTCGGCGAGCGAATCCGAGTAGTCGTTCAGGATCTTCATGTCGTCGGCGTCGAGGTCGATGATTTCGAGGTTCGCCTTTATGCGCGACTCGGTCACAGACTTGGCGAGCACCGTGGCGCCTCGGGCCACTATAACACGATGTCAGCAATTCAATTCCAATCTACGCGTGAAGAGAAAACAATAGGCAAAGAGGAAAAAGAGAAAAAGGCGGAAGGATGGATGTTGATTGACATACCATGATAGCTCAATAGAACAGTCCCAGGGCTAGCGCCTTTCCGCTCAGCAATCTTGAGCACCGGCTCCGCCTTCATGACCGGACCACCCGTGCTGCCGAGCGGGCTATACGCAACGATATGAATCCCTTTACTCCTGCAGAAATCAACGACTTCTTGCTGCGGCAATGAAGGGTGGTTCTCGATCTGGTTCACTGCAGGAACAACCTTGGCCTTCTTCAGCAATTGCTCCAAGTACGGCACGCTGTAATTGCACACGCCGATGCTCTTCGTCTTGCCCGTTGTCAAGAGGGCCTCCATCTGCGCCCATGTAGCCGTGTGGTCGTGGTCCCATGTGATATCCCGCGATCCGTCGGGTAGCTTGGGAAAGCGGTCGTCGTTACCTTTGGGGTTCATACCAACGGCCCAGTGCACTAGGTATTGATCTACGTAGTCCAGTCCGAGTGCTTTCAGGGATTTGTCGAGCCCGACCTCGGCGCGTGTTGAGTATGTGTTCCATAGCTTCGTGACCACGAAGATCTCGGACCGCGTCACGTAGCCTGCGTCTATTGCGGCCTTGATCCCCTGGCCCACTTCGTCTTCGTTCCCGTAGCAGTATGCTGCGTCGATTAGCTTGTAGCCTGACTTTAGCGCGAATGTCACGGCTGCGGCGACCTCGCCGGGGGACGATTGCCAGGTGCCTTGATCATCATGTTCGTCAGTCTCGTCATATCCTCAAAGATAGCATCTGTTATAATGCGTGTCTCCTGTGACTGGATGGAGTTGCAGTTGTGTGTGTTTGTGGATGGGGGGCATCGTAATAAGGAGGGGAGGATGGAACCGCGGGGTAGTCATTGGCGGTTTCACTTCACCTTGATAGCAAAGCGACGTGGCAACGTGAAATAATAATAAGAACCATAGCCAAGCGACGACATACCTAGACCAACAGCAGGCATGTCCTGCCCGGTATTCAACTTGAACGTAGACGGCGCCATTGTGAATGCTGGTTTTGGCGGGTTATCAAAGAAGAAATCAAAGTATGGAATCTAAAGAACTCCTCTAACCACCTTTTTTTTGTGTCCGAGAAGTATAGGGAAGCGAAGTAAAGAGGGGTATAAACAGTCTACGATGGCAACCTCAGACCTGCTGAGGGGGTAAATCCCGGGATATTTAACGTAGGCCGGTCCTGTCGTGACCCGGTAGAACGAAGCCCTTTCGCGGGGCGAGAGGTAAGAATGGCCAGGCCAAACCCCCATCGTGTTGACCCCCTCATCCCACCTTACGATGATCTCAGGCCCACAAGAAAGGAAGAGGAGATGGGGCCCCAAGGCACGTCACAGAATAGGATAGGATAGGATAGGACAGGTAATGTGCCTGTGCCTGGCAAGAGACCCAACCCGGGTAAATTAGACTTGCTCAATGGCGGCATCTTGGAACGCTTCACTCAAGTCCATGCCTCCCTACATACACCCATACATACACTTACACACTAGGTACTTACATAGCTACCTAAGTCTCTGTGGAGCAACGACTCAGGCAAAAGGCTTAGCTTTTGCCTCGGTTTGTTCTGCGCGCGACTAAAATCGGCGAGAGATGCCATCTGTATATAATACATAATACCAAACTATGGCAGAGACACTAAAAATACTAGGCGGCTATCATGAGTATTATATCACCCAGTAATAGCACTTGAGCCGCACTTGGTAGGTACACTTTTCCCTACCTAAATACAATGAAGTTCATATAAGCTGGATCAACGATGAATAAATTGGAGATAAGATAGATAGATAGATACGGTAGACTCTGGCGGTCTGTTTGCATGGTAGGGTTTTCAACCATGATCTGTTATTACATAGTAACATAGTACGCGCAATATCTTCAAGATATGCAGACTGCCATACCATGTATGTGACTAGACAAAGCTACCTACTTACTTACCGTACCTGACTGAGAACCAGCCAGCCAGCTCGGGAGGACTAAGACCGAGTTAAAAGTGGGTGATATGTCGTGGGATATCCTGGCAGCTAGCTGCATGTCTGTTGTATGTCCGCGTTTTATAATGCTTTGTATCTCTACATATAAGGGGTTCCTACCGTTTCTCGTCACGGCGTCGTTAGCATATACACACAAGACACTATCTACGGCTTATTTGGTGAGAAGTTGAATTTTTCTTAGTGAGATGAAGGTACGGGCTTAGAGGAAGAAGAGGGAAATCAAGCGAATAATGCCCGTGTTAGCCTTACCTTCTACGCACGCGTTCGTATTCAAGTCGAGCTGGAGGAAAATTATAATAAAATTCCATTGTATCATTGACGTTGTCACGTCGCGGAAGTAGGCAGGTATAAAACATGAATACAAAGAATGATAGGTCCGGCCATGCATGGTATTATAACAAAAAAAAAAAATCTAACGTGCAGCCCCGCCCTACACCTTTGCCTGTCCTGTCCCGATGTGGTATGTATGCAATGCGCAAGAATAAAGTACAATAAATATGGCGACATGCTGCGCCGTGTCTCTGACCTTCTAACCGGCGATGAGAACCCAGAGTCTAGTAAGAATGTTAATAAAATTCTATAATATACGGTAGGTAGGCCTTGCTCGAGAAGAGAAGGTGAGGGATGGCGAGGGAGAACACAGGAGAAGAGAGAAGAGAGAGGGTGCTTACAGGAAGAATATCATAAGGACGCCAAACATCTTTGCTAGTAGCCATCGATTACTCGATACCCTAGACCAGTACTTCAAGAGCTCGCGCTGCGCCCCGTTTACGTTGTCGACGACATCTTCCGTGTTGGCGTCTATGCGTTCAATCATTTCACTCTGTTCCGACACCATCTGTGCTAACTGGCCGAATATGGAGCCAAGTTCGCTGATGGTCTTTTCGATTGCCTCTATGGCTTCTCCCCGCTGCTGTATGTATGTGTTTTGTGGTTGCGCCTCCTCCATCATCAGCACCTGCTGATCTCCGACAGGGTTCAGCGAGAGAAGATCGGCGCCTGGCGACGGTGTGCCTCGGGCGGGAGTGCCATACAAGGGTGAGGCCGACTGCTGCAGCGATGGCTGGGCGTGCTGTGAGACGGAGGAAATGAAGTTTTCGGTTCGCGAGCGTGAGGCCTGGATATTCTTGGTCCGGACCTCTAGCACATCTTTGAAATTGGCGCCGACATCGCTGAGTTTGCCTTGTAACATGAGCACGACATTCTTGTTATGCTCGCCTTCCTGATCGGCCTTGGGATGTTGTTGGCGGGTGAGGGTCTGCAGAGAAGAAATCTGTTGGTTTAGGGAGGAGAGGTCTTGTTTGATGATGAAGGTGAGCTCGTTGATCTCGATGGGCCGGTCGTCGAAGAGAGTCTTCCTTTTGGCGAGTTGAGCGAGCTTTTCCAGTTTCCCCATGGTGGCGCCGATTCCCCTACCGATCTCTGCGGCTCGCCTCGCGAACTCGGACCTCCGGGGACGCGCATCGCCATCTGCGGCAGCCTTTTGTGAATCGGTCAGGAGCGACCGTCGTTGTGCGCCGACCTTGGACGAGGCCTGTCGTTTCTGGACCTGTGTGAGGACGGATTTAAACTCAGCGGTCCGATCCTGTATTGATGTGACGGCCATGGCGGGCCAATTCGGGCGAGGGTGGCGATGGACAAAGTGTTGCGTAGATCGACAAGGTTATGGAGGCGGTTAGGTAGCTAAGTAGGCAAGTAGGCGGGCGGATCGAAGGTTGGGATCGAAGGTTGGGAGCGTAATCGATGGCAGAGTGTTAGACTGGCGTGGGAGAAAATTGGAAAGAAAATGGATGGGTGAGTTGTAATAGCGATAGCGACGAAGCACAACTTTCTGGTGGTGGGTGGTTACGATTGTAATTTCAGGAGATGGCACTAGAGACTGCCCCAGGTGCTGGGCTCGGCGGCCAACGGAGGTGATAGCCGGAGATGGCGGTCGTGTAGGTGCTACCCGACGTCTGCGCGCACAAGACTCTGACTGTCTAATCTAGCGGTTGAATCGGTCGCGTGGGAGTTCGTGTTGCCTGTTTGTTTTCGCTCTGCTCTCCAGTGTGAGATGTGGTGATGTGGTGATGATAGGTCTGATACCTAGACTAGGTAGGTCTGATAGGTGATGTGTAAAGGAAATGGCATAGGTAGGTACATTGGCGCTGAGGCCAGGCTGTTTAGTTCAGGTCAACTTTCAATTACCTACATACTTACCTAGGTAGTACTAGTACATGAGAGGCTTGGTGCCAAGGCATCGGATCTGTGGCAACGTGCCTGGGTCTGGGCTGGGGGCCCCTGGAATGAGTTCCCTAGGTACCTACCTAGTCTGCCCTAGGGAGGTGCTGTGGCGGTGCTGTTAGTTCCAGTGTACTACATACTTAGTAACACTGCACTGGACACCTATCCCCACTACAACTTGCAGTAGGTAGTACTAGGTACCTATCTACCTACTTACTTAAGCAACTTCAAAGTTCCAATATATACATACCGGTACCTACATACGTAATCGAGAGGCGCAGGTTGCCAGCATTCTGCCAGCACACGATGCAACGGCCGTAGTGTAGAACAGAGATGTAAACTAGAACCTTGGGCCATTTTGGCGATCGGCTTCGAACCAGACCTGCGACTTCAAGTTGGAACGAAGGCATTCATTCAATATCCTGCTCTGCCCTGCTCTGCCCTGCTCTGCCCTGCTCTGTCCTGCTCTGTCCTGCTCATTCATCGTGGGGTTTCAGGTTACTGAGTTCATCGGTACGTGAAACCTTGAACGTCCAAGGAGATGCCGGGCCAATTGCAATCATTGCCGCTATTTTTACCTTGCAGTAACTTACAGTTACCGACAGCAAGAGGCACATACCCAATGCACCACGCTTCTTGCAGCCAATAGCTAACGGGGGTGGTTGTCGATGAGCTGGCAGGTTTCGAGAGACTGCTGGCACTTTGCCGGGTAAGGAAGTACTTGGGTAGGGATTTGCGAATAGGTATGGCCTCGGGACGTGCTCGGCACCTCTGCTGTAGCCACCTATGATGTCTCCATCACACGAGGCCGTTACGTGACATGAGGAACCTTGAAGTGATACCGTCGACGATGTGACAGGTGGTTAAGAAACCATTTGCTAGGTTAGGTAGGTGACGTGACCGCATCACATCATCTACCTAGGCTAGGTAAGTACTCTAGATACCCAACTCGCCCAGTATCTACAGCTAATATCGCTAAATATCGCTAATATCTACCCGATGCAGCTCTGTATGCCTGCCTAGTCAGGTCTAACCTTCCCAGATCTTACCTACCTAATCCAGTAGACGTTCAATCGAAAATAGTCCAAAATAGTCCAGAATAGTGCCAGGCACAGCGACAACCGTTCAGTGAAACAAACCCGACAGGATCCAACCCACTTTTAAAGTCACAACCACCACCACACCACACCACCACCGCCATCATCTTTCTCAATCTTCCCCCATCTTCTCCTCTTCCTATACATCTTTGGACCGACGTCCCTCTCGACACGGCTTTGCTCATTCATGACCCTGTATTGGCAGCGATTCCCATTTCTTTTTCCAACCATCTAGTCCCTTTAATACCCCCATAGTCGGCTTGTGCCTTGTATTTGTACTTTTATCGTTGTAGCCTCGCTTCATCTGTACCGAATGCATCCGTCCCCTCCAGTCTCGCATACCTAATTTTAATCGCCGACGTGCTTTCTGTTGCTATACCTAGGCATATTCTCGACCAACTCCCGTGCGCTCCCCTACACTTGCGCGGGGCCCTAAGACATCTCTTATACTGGATCGAGCCTGCGTTGCGAACTGGTTGCTGTTAGGACATGCTCTGCGCTTGCATTTAGCCAACTATGGATTCTGGATCGTATAATAATGTTCGTAGGGGCACGATGCCTCTGCCCTCGGCGTTAGTTCCACCTGCTCACCTTATCTTCGTCCCTCCCTTTTCCTTTGATTCGTCTGTAAGCCTCTCGCACCCTCACTGACCATCCTGCATCTTGATAGAGGGTCCAATACCTCTTATAAGGCAAATGTGAACCGCACAAAGACACGAAAATGGGTCGAGGCCAAAGTACAGAACTATGATGGCGACGACTGGGGTAATGATTATGATGATGACTACGACGATGGGGATGACCAACCTTACGAACCTGAGCCCATGCCACCCAAGATCACCAAGCCTACCGGTCTACGACAACCAGGCCAAACTGGCCTCCCATCCACACGTACTTTTTCCCAACCATCTACCACCCTGTGGTCAAGCGCCGATTCTCGTGTGCCCGGCCCGTCCTCGCTTCGTAGTCCCAGCGGACCCCCCTCTCTGCATGTGCAGACGCAACCAACCGCTACAGGAACACCACCGCCACCGCACGCTGTCGAGTCAGCCCATCCGGCCACTACCTCTTCACATACGAACGTACCGCCAGGTTCCTATAGTGCAGGGCCGACGACAGTACCATCCAGGTTTCCACCTCGAAAAAGTAGCATGGGCCAACAAGACCGACCTGATATTGATTCCAAGCAGGTATCGAAACTTGATACGAGGCCTGGGTCGAGTTCCAGTAACCGGATTGTGAGGCCAGCCGACATCTATAAGAGAGTAGGCGAGGAGAAGGAGAAGGAGCGCGTATCGATGGAATCGGGACGTCCGAGCTTGGATAGCATACATAACCGGAGCGACGCTCAATTTCGTGCGCCAGGGGATCAACGTCGGCGGACCAGCCTCGAAAGTCACGACGGGTCAGACTCGGCTCGTACGCGGAAGCCAAGCTTGGCACCGGTTGCAGAGCGGAAAAGCGAATATGGGATGGATGGATTTCTTGCGAAAGCCCAGGCCGATCAGCCATCCACAGCACACGAACCAGCTGTGTTAGGTCCTCAACTCGCTATTTCACAGGGTGAGCCTAACGACGAACTGAAGGCTGATCTTATGAAGAGTCGGCGCTTTTCCACAAGCCCTCAACTCCCCACCCTCTCACGCATGTCTGGTTTCGGTGACGATTTTTTTTCGGGTCCCGGCAATAACAGCGCTTGGGCTAGCCCAAGTCTTGTACCCTCCCCCGATAAACAATCACCTCTTTTAGAAGAACCTAAAACAATGGCAGTACCGAACGACGAAGTTCAGCAAGACCAGCCCCTCACCACTAAAGGGAGCACTGAGCCTGACCCAGCTACTACGATTCCCAACAAACATGAAGTCAAGACGGAAGGAACCACGGAGGCAAACCAGCCACAGCTTGGCGGCAATCGTCCCCAGCTCCCAGGTGGATGGGTGTCGGAAAGTACAACCGTTCCAGTGTATTCCGAAGGAGTCATTCTAGCCAACCAGCAACAAGAAACCCATGGTGGTGTCCATAGTACCAACACAGCAACGATGACGAAGAGTGACAGAGGGATAGATGAGGTCTCGCAGGTAACGACGACTCCGAGTTTATCAGCTCCGGCCAATGCCGTAGAAAACGTTTCAGATACCACATTGGCGAGCGTGCTTCGTGCTAAAGAAACGACTGGAGATGCTGACCGACATGACAATGGCATAAGTCTCGAAGATCCAGCTACCAAACAACCTAACATAGCATCCCAATCTCTCCCACCTTTAGAAACACAAAACTTGACCGACCAGTTAGAGTCGCAGTCAAGGCCAACTTCAACTGTAGCCTACAGCAGCGAGAGAGACAATCCTCAAGTTCACCCCGCGTCAACCGATCAGCCAACAGCTGGTCACCCTTCTGGTCCCGAGTTCTCACCGACTGCTCCTCTGAACCCCAACCGGTCACAAGCTGATCAACCCGATCTCCTCATGGCGTCTCACCAGCGCCAATCTACAATCGATACAGTCGAAACTGCATCTTCTGAAAAGGAGAGCGATAAGTTGCGAGAGGAAATCATGAAGTCGCTCAGCCCTACACCGATTTCGCCCGGTTCGAATGATTTACCAACAAAAGGTAACTCAAATACGGCACCTACTCCTGGTAATTTAACGCGAGAGAGCACATATCTATCCGGAGTGTACGATGATTATCTCTCGCTATCCGAAGAGAAATCATTACAAGAACTAAGCCAGGCACACAAGGCTTCCGCTCACATGATCTCGAATGAACCTGCTACCGCTGCGAATGTTTCCACTTCCCTACCCCACGATATACCCTTGTCACAACCAGCACCATTAAGTCCCGTGAAAAGTCCTGCATCGGAAAATACCACCAGGTTAAGGCGATTCTCGTGGCAGCAGGACCCCGAGGAGATGGCCCTGAACCACGCCGAATCCAAGCCAGCGGTGCCAGTAATTTCACCTCACTTGTCAACTGCAGACCAAGTAGACGCGGCCGCTGAACCGGGTTTTAATGCGAATGGGGTCTCGCCAGTTGCTGACCCCTTGTCTCCCGAGAATGGAACAGTAGGGACAATATCACACCAAGTTTCACAAGTCAGCAGTCTCACACCAGATGCTTCTTTGGCTCCAATCGAATTGCCTTCACCTGTCTCTTTCGCGGCGACAAGGAGACCCAACCCTATTTCTGATGTTCCAAGTGCCGTGCGATTGTCCCTCGCCGAAGAAAAGGAAAAAGTGCTCATCGGAGATGTTCAGTCAACGACTTCTGAAACATCTGAGCACCCCGCTCTTCAACAAGCTCTAGAGCCGGCAGGTCGTGCTGCTTCTCCCGTAATTAAAGTCCCGAGCGGGGTCTCGCCTCGACCATCCGTTGAACCGACACCATTCCGCGAGATTTTAAATTTGGGGAGCTGCGAAGAACGCGTCCGGAAGTTTGATGAAACGCGCGAACAGTTCTATGTCATGGAATCGGGTCTCTTAGACTGGTTGGTCCATTTACAAGCCCAATCCGAGCATACTGACATGATGGCAACAAACAATCAGCAGCCGCTGCTATCTAAGACTGGTACACAACAAGCAGCGTCTACTGGAGTAGCTGGCGCGCCCCACAAGGGCGGTCCAACAGCATCGCACACTCGACGAATGTCGATAGGAGGCATGCAACAACTCATGGCTGGACAGGCTGGCGGCTTTGGAGGGTCAGGCAACCAGGTGGGGACGAAGAGCAAGGAACTCCTGCATGCTGCGGGCGCCTTTGGTAATAAGGGCATGAAGTCGGGTATGAAGCTCTTTAACAAGGGAAAAAACAAACTCCGCGAGCGGGCTGCCGGCGATAAGGCTTTTTTCTAGGTATGTTTTCCATTGGCTGCCCGCAGCGCCGGTAGCTGAAACAGGGTTTGAGGCGATGTGTGTGTATTAATGGCAACGACGAGTGGCAGTGAGGTGGCGGCATTGTAAGTAGCAACAGTGTTAGCACATACCCCTGAACGAGATGACGAATGGATGGCAGTACGAGGACCTGCCGTATTACCGTACTACGTACTGATGTCCGCTCCTTTACCTTGTCATCAACATTGGCGCGTTGCATTGCAGTTTTCGAGTGCAACACGTTGCGAACAGTAGTTGATGTCGAGTAACATCCAATTTGCCACACCAGTGGGCAAGTTAGGTGAAATACTTTCTCCAACCTATTCCTCCCGCTGAGCCAATTCAACATCTTCGAGTAGAACTCGGCATGCATAGCTTCTTATTGGTTGAGTCCAGAGATTGTTTCCTGCTTGAGTGACATGGGTCTGAATGCATGCTGCGATCCACGATGTAAACAAATCGACAGTAATTAAATACACACATACGCTGGGTGCTGTCAAGTGTATGACTTACAGTAGTTTAAGATTACGCGCTGTTACAGACGTTTCGCGGAGGAATTTGACATCAAATTACCTTGGGATCAGGATGTAGGTACTCTGTTGTAGCAATGAACTGCTGCGCAACGAACCCAAGTCCTTTATACATCATCATGACAACGCTGCGCATTTGGCATGTACTGGCTGGAAGTCGTCTCAGCGTAGCGACCCCAAAAAAAATGACGGTAAGATGTGTCTATCAGTGCTGCCTACCTGGTTGAGCACTCAAGGTGAGACTACACAGAGCAATGAACATGTCTAGCACCGGATTGCTCATCATGTCACCACCCAAGGCGCAAGCTCCTAAGCGAGCGGAATCAGCCAGCCAGCCAGCACCTTGAACAATATACTGTAATAAACCATTCATTGTTACGCCTCGATCCTTTCACGCTGTGTATCTTGAGCCATCCAAGTAAGTAAATACCGACTGTAAGTACCCGGGCTCCCAACGCCGAGTCATAGATCTACATGTAGTCCTTTATGCAATGGGACTACTCCGTCCTGACTGAGGCTGCGCCGCCGCCATACAGGCGCACATTGCAGCAATCCCGCTTCTGGCGACGGCCCCCTTCCCTGTTTTGCCTTACTGGACTGCCTCAGGGGTCGTAGTAAGGTTGGCGCGCTGCTACTCTACTGCATGGCTACACAGTAGTTACCGCTAGACGCCGAAAGCCTTGTCGCGAGAAGGGCGAGGGTATGAGTAAGGGTATTAATAACGCGCCGGTCCTCTGTTCGCGATATCGACGATACTCTTCAGCGTGGAATGCCGATGCTTCACATGATAATTCCTTACTGCACTGGACTAGGCACCAAGGATCATAAGACGCCTCGACCGTGGACGGGAAGCCGGGAACCATTCAAGGAGACGCCGTATTGACACACATAGATTTCCACGCGCCGCATACAACCCGTTTAGGGAGCGGTGCTTGGGTGTACGGCAAACTCCCCTCCTTATTCAATGAGTTCGTGGGTTTAATCGGCGACACCTCGTTTTAAGTCCAAGCTTTTCATACGCGGGGAAGCCGTCGTTTGTCCGACTCCAAATACCACAACGCCAAGAACAGCCTCTAGAGGCAGTTATCCCAGGTGAAGTACAGACAGACTCCAAAAACAGAGCAAGCTGCCGTCTGCTATATTTATGCTGCTGCTGCTACTACTATCGCTACTATTACTGCCGCGAATTGCGCACGGGCTTGCCTAGTCATGTCATCCTAACCCAAGCGGCGCGAACAATTATAGCTCGGACAGCGGAAGGCGGATGTTGCCATTTTTCATTTCAAAACAGCGGGATTTTGTATCTGACCGTGTCAGCCAGCTACGGTAGCTTATTGGGCCCGTCTGCGACACGAATAGGCAAAGAACGGCGGACTGCTGTAGCTACTGTGTAGAGTGTGACAGGCCCGGGCAAAAGACGAGGGCAAGAGAGGACAAGAAACGGCGGCACGACATTGGGAGGAGGTGCTCGTAGTCTCCATCCATGGACAACCACATCATCGTCGGCCTCATTCCTCGTGGACTCGGGTTTGGCAGACAGGACGATCATCACTTGCCAGGACTAGCATCAACAGTATCGGTACCAAGGACGACAACGGGCCCAGGAACCGGAGGACCACCACCAGGACCACCACCACCACCTTCACCACCATCGGAGCCACCATTGCTCCCACTGGCTAGCGGGAACGATGATTACCGCAATTATCAGGGGCACAAATATAGCAATAAAAAATGGAACCAGCAGCTGGATCGACCAGTGACCGGCGCGCAGCCTGGCCCCAGAACCCTGTCCCAGGCCCTCGCCCATCCCCAATCCGATCTAGCAGAGGCACCCCGACCTGCCCGACCGCCCCAGCTTGATCCATCCCAATCTCCATTTCAATCTCAGTCTCACTGGCACCACCAGGCAGAGCTGGCCGAGCTGGCAGAGCACCAAGCTGAGTACCGAGTCCAAGCCCAGGCCCAAGCCCAGGCATTAGGAGTCCAACAGGGCCAGCAGCAGCACGACGGCGGCGGCCAACAACATGGTGCGGATCCTCTGGCATTGGCATCACAAATTCATCCTCACTCACGTCCTCACTCTTCCTCTGCCCACGCCGCTCCCCATCAAAATCAGCCCTACCACTATCGCCACGCATCTCAACCCCCTCGTCTGCCGCCATTAGCGGCGTCGCTGTCGTCCTTCTCTTTCATCCCCACCTCGTCCTTCGACCCTTTTCGCACTGACGAAGGGGACAGCTACTTTCTCTCGTTTGGTGCCTCGCCGTCCCCAGCCACACCATCCTCATCGAATGCCACGGCTAATTCTGCTGTTCCTCGCTTACCCGCCCAGACGGATGACATAGTCTCACCCATTTCTGAGACACGTTCATCGACACCTGCTTTTCGTAGTTTTGATCGCGCAAGCGAGCTTAATGCCCCCTCCCCTGCTGCTGCTCAATCATCCACGCTTTTCGCAACCATCAGTGCTCTCAAGCGTCAGCCTACCTCCAACTCATCAGCCCACGCCTCACTGCTTGATGATAAAGACTTTGAGCTCACCCTAGGCGTGACCGAGAGACCAGAACACCACGCCACGCCTACGTCTCGGTTCACTTCTGCTGCCATAACGAGTGCTGTCGCGCAGGATGTGGCGCACCTGACAGATGAGAGATCTGACGACTGGTTTAGATTCACAGCGCGGGAGTCCACTCTTTCCAAGCATACTGATTCATTGATCGGAGGGCAGCCAAATATGACAGTCGCCATGACAGCTGACGAGTCAGCAGCCCAGGAACAGCAGCAACAGCCGCAAAGCAGTCATTTCACATCTGCACCATCGTCTTCTTTCACCCCGCTGCCGCCCATCCGTCGAACATCGACGTTTGACGTACTGCGGAAGAAAGGCCTGGTGGACTACGATAGCGACACGGCACCGTCGCCCATTGAGAAAGACAGCCCTGCCATGCCTTCTGGGCCCGTAGATCTGGCACAGCAAGTTAGCAATGGCCAACTGTCTGCATCTCAGGGCGCATCTCGATCTTCCCCACACAATTCTGTGCAGGAGGAGCAGCAGCAGCAGCAACAACAACAGCAGCATCTAGATCTCAATGTCCCTAGTCAAAGTCAACCTGCTATGCCGCAGTATCCTCAAGGCGTCACTGCTGCCGGTCCTGCTGGTCACCCTGGCATGCTTCAGTACCCCGGCATGCAGATGCATCCGCACCAGATGGCCATGGGCCCCGGTGGTGCCGTCGGTCAACAGGTTCCTCATGGTCAAATGATGATCAACGGTCAAGGTCAAACCATCCTCTCACTACCTGGGGGCCGTCGTTGGACCGAACAGAAGTCGACGCTCGCAGAACCACTGAACCCTTCCAACCGTAATCGTCCAGCAAATAGCCCGCGGACGTACACTGCCTATGACAAAGAGACAGAGGGCGAGGGACCGCCATCGCATTTTACTGGTGGCTCATCACAGCCTGTACAGACACGTCCACGAAATGTGAGCAATTCGGCACCTCCAACTGCGGCAACCCGGTTTCCATCGCTGTTCCCCCACCCAGGTGCTGAACAGCCCGCATTCCCACGGAACCACGGTCAGTTGCCTACTGCACAGAATCCCCTGATGCGTCGCCAAAACCCTGGTCTTAGAGACAGCTTGGATGAGAAGTCATTATCTAACGAAATGGATGGTATGTATCTCTCTAGAATGTCGTCGGTGGCCCTCTTCTCCTGGATTGCAAGGAATGCCTGACTTTGAGACTTCAGTGCGCGTTGACCGGATATCAGTTGCAAGTACTACGACTGAAGATATCAATGATAAACCTAGGAGAGGCTCGGGCGCACTATTCAATTTGGGCCATAAGCGTAACTCTAGTAGTACCACTACCGCCCACCAGGCACCCGCCGATGTGCCATTGGAGAAAAAGAAGAATTTCTTTCAACAGGTTACGGGAATGGGCCATTCTCACCCCAAAAACAAGACGAATCTTGGTCCAGCAAGGACTACACCTCTCGACCAGTCCGACCAAGTATCCCTCCCGCCCCAGGGCGACCATGTGCAGAGTAAAAAGAAACTTTCCGAGCTCAAGGGGATGATTAAGGGAGTTGGAAATGCGAAAGAGGGCGCCAAGGATGACCAACCAGTTAGGGTTGAAACTGTTTACGAGTCTAGGGAATCGATGCAAAGCCCACCTCGCAACTTCACCGCGCCGCAGGGGATGCAAGGTGCCCCGAGGCAGCCAGTTCCTTTTGGACACGCACCGCAAGCCGGGTCATTTGGTTCCCCAGTACAACAAGCACAGATGTCTGGGCCTCAGGTGTCAATACAACCTCACCCATCACAGATGGGGCAGCCTGGAGCGACTAGCCCGCCTCCCTTCATGACCGTTGGTCGAGCCAGTACATCAGGTCCTCAACCGAGTTTGAACCACCCGGTGAAGGGCGACGATAGTGGGAAGAAGGGCTCTGCAGGTGGTTTCCTAGGCGGTTTGTTCAGCAAGCAAGGAAATAAAGCGAAGGATGCGAAACCCCAATCTCCCCAGCAAATGCCGCCGTCTGGTCCTCGGCCCCCGCAACCACCGATGCAAGCTGGGTATCTTCCGTTTCGCCCCGGGCAAATGCAGCTACCTGGGCAGCAACTCGGCCCACACCCGATGCTTGCCGGCCAGCCGCCCGTTCAACGCGGTCCTCCGGGTCAGTCTCCATCGCCAACACTATTCCATGACCCGACCCTGCCCTCTCCGTCTGTCCAGACAGCACAAGCAGTTGCCATCCGCCGCCCTTCCGAAATCACCGTTTCCTCTCAAAGTGGAGCCCAACAATCATCTAATCAGCGGCCTGGTATGGGCTCGCCACGAGCATCTTCAGGCGTGTTCAAGCAGCAAGCTAGTCCTGCCTCGATTGGACCGAGATCAGGCCAAATGGGACCACAGAATGAGGGAGAATCAACACAGACCTCACCCCAACTTTCTGATGATTCCCCACTTGAAGGCCCCGCCATTGGAAACCTAGGGGCGATTCCTCGTGCCTCGCCGAATCGGAAACCTGTTGGGGGTGGTAACCCTCGAGGAGATGTCCCGACTATGACATCAGCTATTTCACCCGCCGTAACGAGGTTAGCAGAATCGCCATCGTCATCCCCAGGACCAGGTCAGCAGCGAGCACCAAGCCAACTATCACATGTCCAGCAAAGTCCTCAGCTAGAGTCGTCAAGTGGGTTCAAGGATATGCGCCAGCCGTCACTCCCTTCACCAGGACCTTCTCCTGCACCCTCGCAATCTAATCAGTCGACTTCGTCTAGGTTGCAGGGAGATCAATTTTCTCGCGATTCCCCTGATCTACGGGAGCCAGGACAAGGCATCGGCGGGTTTCCAAACGGTCTCGGCCTGTCCGGCCCAATGAATTCGCCCGGGTATGGCGGTGCGCCAAATGGGTTGCCATGGGGCCCGAATGGTGTCCGACCGTCAGCACCTCCCCTGATTTCTCCTTCGGCTGCCGCACGCGCCCAGCCTTCCCATGATCCCAGTAGCCCCGTCCCCTCGATGGACCAAGGCAAATTATCCAAGTTTTTTGGTGCCTATGATGGCGGCAAACCCGCCGCGCAGCCACAGGCCAATAAGGAGAAAAGTGCCGCGTCCAAGTTCCTTGGCGCTTTTAAGAGAAGCTCCAAGCAAAATGAAACGATTCAACATCAAGAACGTCCTCAAACAAGCCCACGAACATCACAGCAAGGTGGCCCTGGCTCTGGGCCTGCAATGGGAACATTAGGCCCTAGTGGTATGCCAACAACTTCAGGTATCCCTCCAAGACAACCTCAAATGGCAGCACAACCTGGACAGGGCCGCGGTTCGCTCCACCCACAGATAGCAGCACAACAAGTCCAAGGTGGCAGGGGACAGCTCAGTCAAATACCTCCTCAAGGTATACCGACATTCGCACAGGCCGGACGAGGCCAGATCCCGCCGGGTATGATGGCACAAGGCGGACGCGGCCAAATGCCACCGCCAATGTTCGCTGGGGCTAGTCCTATGCCACCCCAGATGCAACGTCCTGCGACTACTGGGAAACAAGGAAACGAACGTCAATATGACCAAGTCCCTATTCCCAGGGGTTATGAAGCTGTACATGGCTACGGTCCCGGTGGCATGTTGGCTTTTTCGCCCTACAACGCCGGTCGTCCGGGCCAAGCACCTATTCAGTACGCGCCGTACGCGCAATACCCTCCAGCATTAGCGCCGGGGTTCCCGCAAGGTCAATGGGACCCCCGTATGATGCCGTTCTCACCAGCAGGTTCACCACCCGGCGCTGTTCTCCAGCCTGGAGCCCCTCGATTTCCACCTCAGGGCGTGCCTAATAGCATGCCATATCAGGTTCCCCCTCAACATCCGCAGCTTTCGAGCCCAACGAAAATTACTTCCCCTACTCCCCAGGCTCCCCAACCCCCTTCGAACCAAGGTCAACAGGCACCAGGTATCCCCCAATCATACCCGGTGCAACAACTCAGCCAGCCAGTACCGTCGGTGCACGGTCAAATGCCCACCCAGTTTGCCCAAGGCGTACAACTCCAACAAGGTCAACCACAGGGGCAAGGGCTTCAGCGAGAACCCAGCCCCGACTCAAAACCTCAGCCTTATAGCTGGTCGGGAACCCCCCAGAACACACAGAGTCCGGCAACTTCTGTTCAGCAATTAGATCCGCCAACACCCAATCTACTCCCCCAGACCAACGTACGAGCTGTTTCAAGCTCGGCCAGTCCGGCCAGCAATGGAATGTTGACTCCTCAGTCCCAACATACTGCTGCTACAGCTCCTAGCCAGCCTTCCCAATCGCAGCCAACGCAAGCTACTCTCGCCAGCCAAACACCACCCGTCAACCGTCCCGTCGATCCCTCCGGCAAGACTCCACCTCATGAACAGTCCCAAGCGGCCAGGGCGCCAACCACGAGTTCCAATTCCAGCACCAACGGGCTTCTCCGATCTCAGGACGCTGCTCGTTTGACAAGTCGTATGTCTGTCTCGAAACCAATAACGACGAATGTTAGCTCGGAGAAACCAGCAGACCGCACTTTGACCGTCAGCCCAGAGCCGTCTGGACCGCGCCACGGTCCTATACACCAAGTCTCAGAACAGAATCTCGGTGAGGGTGTAAATACCGACGTGCGAGATGACATCTACGATGCCACGCCACGATTAGACAGCTCCACGCCTCGGCAAATTTCTTCTCGGGGAGAAGATCAGGCACATGAGAATACCAAGTACGCTGCTTCGGATCACAAGGGCCACCACAGCGCTGCCATCAATGGAGCTATAGCTGGGGTTGGTCTTGGTGTTATTGTTGGCGCTGGTGCTTCTGCTGTCGTCTCTGCACCACCCGTCGTCACAGAGGACAATATGAGTTTCCTCGATGGGCCGGACTCGGAGCCAGATGAAAATAAACCGGAGGAAGACAAGGTTTCGCCGCCGCCGCAAATAGCTACTACAGTGCCTGAGCCCGAGGAGAAGATCCTTGTCGATCAACCTGTTGAACTGGCTGCTGTTAATGATGTCGATGATGGCATCCCGATGATGAGTGCCACGTCGTATCCTGGGCAAGAATGGAATCCATATGGTGCGGGCGAGTTTGGGGATTGGGAATGAGTCCCGTAATACTGGACATACGGATCACAGCAAAATGTCGAGTACCTGACATCTGCTAGCCGGTGGTATTCGCATATGAGTGTCTGTCAGTTCCAACTCAGTAGTGTGGGTTTTGCTTGGGCCGCCTCCTGGTATACCGTCGTCCAAGCTTGTTCACGATGCTTTCAATGCGTATCGTGCAGAAACCCTGAGGCGCAAAGTTACTTGCCTATTTATCTTGGATACTACCATGACGCTGGAATACTCCGTTAATCTCAACTACCTACCTACCTACCTACCTACCTACCTATCTATCTATGTATCTGTTCATCATCCACGCCACACGTTCAAGGAGGCGATCTGTACGACGGCGAGATATCTATTCAACGGCCACGATTATTCATTTATATACCAAACCATACTCACTATACTTCATACTCGATAGTATTTGATATCTACTTGTTCTACATACATACCTACATGCCTACCTATCTGATACGCACGCATAAGAGCGCTTGTATATACCCGCCGCTCTGCTTTTCGGACCTTTCCTTTCTTTTTGTCAGAACACGGTATGTCTTTTAGTTTACGGACTTATTACACACTCATCGAGCCTCATATACATACCCAGACTTTTTGGCAAAAGCGTTTCTTGGTTAAAGTCGAGAATTTCAGGCCCAAGAGACAGGCTGTGTGATGATTTAGATTGAAAAGATTTGAAGAAGTTTCTGGACAGCTTACTGGGTAGCGAGCACTGCAATTAATAGAAACGCGAACGACTGCTTTAACGTTGAGAAATGCAGATTACCTGGTTAGCGGCTGGGTTTATATGGTTCTTGATACGAAACGCAGGGAAGTGAGATAGATGTGTGTAGTGATGCTACAAGAATCCCACAATTCTTTAGAATCTTGTGCCCATTTTATTTAGTTGTAGTAAAGATGACGCAAATTCTAATTTCGCCGTGTTGCGGGTGTACTTGGTACCGTAGGTATCAAGCTACCTAGCCTCAATAAAGTACAAGTTCCCCTTCCTTCTTCCCTTCTCCTTCTACCTTCTTCTTCCAATCCTCCAAAAGACCCTTGAAGATGGGGACCACGATTTTATCCACGTTAGGCGGGACCTCGATGCCCGCGGGCAGTGGCTTTCGATTGGCTTCAGCGCCTGCGGCCCATAGCACCGGCGGAGAGGTTGCCGAGTCCGCGTGTTGCTCGTACAGCGTCTCAGCTTGCTGTTGCGTGAAGCCACGCCCGAATAATACCGCCCGTGCAGGCTGGCTATAGTTGCCTGACCCCACGCTGTTGGTGGGTGCGGCTGGGGGTGCTTCACCCTTGAGGAGGTAAGGCAGGTCGGCCTGTGCTGCTTCGTAGGTTTGGATGAAACGCACGACTAGGAGGTGTTAGTTGCAGTTACAAAAGAGAGAGAGAGAGAAAAGGGAAGGCTCGTACTGTCCCAGTCTGGTCGGAGAGCTTCCGCAACCGACCGGCCTATCTCGGTGTGGATGCCGATTAACACGATCGGAACAGGTGACGGGAGTGTGGACGACGACATGGTAGCCTGGAAACTAGGTGACAACGATGTGAATATCCTTTTGGATGGTAGGGTTGCACTGGTGCGGAGAATGCGGGCCGAGAGCATGTACTGTATATATTGAGCATTTGACTTTATAGAAGTATTTAGCGATAGACTTCTGACGACGATGCTATTTGCCGTGCCGTTGCGGTTTTATAGAAGAGCTGAGCTGAGGTGATATAGCCTCACATAGGTAATAACCTCCCGCGCCGTCTAGTGTGTCGCTCAGTCTCAGCTTTCCACCCCACTGTTACCCGACACTCGCTATCTTGTTCGTCCGTACTGCGGGATCATCAATACAGAATTACTAGCTGACATATATGCCCGTGAACCGTACGATTCCGCGTCGCTGTCCGACGCAGCGGCCGAATTGACTCGAGTGATCATTGGCTGGAGAATGCTGGCGTCATTGGCGTGTGGAAGGGTGTGTCCCCACCTTCGGTGCCGAAAGGCAATGCCATGCCGCCATCTACAGTACGTAGAAGGCGTGATGTGAAGACTACGTATGCGACTGGCATCAGATCAGCATCTGCCTATGGATGTCTGGGCCGACGGAGTGAACTGATCGCGACTCCTTGGAGTTCAGTTCACATTAGTATGTATGTGTGACACGGGACGCGTATGGGCTTTAATGTCGGGTGCTTGCCGCACTTGTCGAGGTCTACCGTACGAAGTAGACTCGCTGTTGTGAATCGCGGCGTGATTTCTGACTTGCGACATTCGTCCATTCTTATCACCCGCTCGCCATTTCAAATTTCGCTCCGAGACAAACGTTTTTAGGAGAAACAGCCTGCATACTCCCATGTTATCGATACTGTCAACTCTCATTCTACAGACGTTGAATGACGACGAGAGGCAAGCGACGCAGCGAGCACATGAGAGGGTTGAAAGAGGAGAATGCTGTGATTGAGACCAATCAAGATATCCCTCATGACCACAATGCAGCAATATACTTCTTTTGGCGTTCTCATAATCGGGACTTGACGACAATCATGTTGCTCGCCTTGCTCCCTAACTGGCATACCCTCTGTTACAATTGATATAATTTTGCTTTGGGCGTAGTGACTTTGCTTAATAGCTGGGACTCGCCGTGTACTCGGGCCATGAAAAATTAACAGCAAACAATTGCGCTTTGGTGGTGTCGCATCACAAACATCAAGAGTTCAGCTACAGTGCGTTTAAGACTCATGATAGTTAAGGAACTTGCCTACAGCACCATAATATTTTCAGTTAGCAATTAATCACCTCTCGTTATCATGCCGCCCATTCGAGTGACATAAGCCTCAAATGCTCACCTCAGGCATATCATCTTCAAACAAGGTTAACCGATCTCCTATACGTTTGCGCTTCTAGTGCGCTGGGTTACTTTTAGTACACCCATTCATCGCGAGTTTTCACAATATACACAGTACTGTGTATAGCAACTTTGAATGAAGCGGTAATGTTTCTCAAGGAATTTACTTTACCTTGGGTTGGATCTCAATGCAGCCTGATACCTGTAATTAAGGAATGACCCCTTACTTCCTGCAAATTTCATCACACCATGGCCAGTAATAGCCTTAACGGGATAAACAAGCCTTCGGATAGCGGCGCTGACTACGTAGTACATAGTAGGTAGGTAGTGAGGAACGTTCCTCTAATGCGACAAATACCGGGTCTAGACCCTTTTCATGCCACCCTGAGTTAGGTAGTGTAGAACGCATCAGAGACACGCATGTACCTATCCTCGGCAGTGCCTCCTTACTTGTATCATATACGACGAAGCGGCAAGGTCATACAGACTGGCGCTCTGGTATCAAACCGCTATTGTAGAGGTGGTAACATAATTCAAACCAGTGCCACTCCAAACGGTGCACATTTAGACACATTTTGTTGCTCATCGCTTCAAGTTTACCAGACCATGTGGGTCTGTCTTACTACCTAGGGTCAAAGTACGGTACTAACACAAAGACCCTTTGTACTTGTACCTGATAGTGATGCTAGTTAGCGAGGTCCGCCACGAGATGGCGAATCATAGGGTGATACTCTGGCGCCATAAATGGAATAGTAGCTCCTCTTCGTCCAGGCATATGTAGAGAGACTTAGACTTTATCAGGAGATGGTATGCTGTTATACCTACCGTGTTTCGAAGATTTCGCTTTCTAGAAACCCAGGCGAGCCCAGGGTGAAGCCCCTATGTTTATCGTGCATACATCCCCACATGGTCGTCAATATGACGGATCCAGCCGATACCGACTTTTTTTTCTTTCTTTCGGCGCTGCTTTGTTTACCATGTAGGTAGTGTTGAGCTTCATCCCGGCCGCCTCAACGCTCTTATCGCTGCTCTGTTATGTCTATGGATTCCACTATCTTTCTCAGTCCGGAATTAACGCCGTCGGACCGGCTCATTTTGGAGAACTTGGCCCACGACATCCGAGCCCATCACCAGTCTCCTAATGGAGCCGTGAACGCCGCTGTCAAGACCACCGGTTTACCCGGAAGCCAGCCGTCAAAGCCAGAGCATGGAGCGGCCAATGGAGGAGGTATGCTGGCCCAACACTTCTGAATTTCCTAGTTTTTAAAACATCTAATCTCACCATCATTCAGTCCTCGGTCGTGAGACATGTAAACTGTCTGAAGACCGAGACAGTCGCGATGTAGCTACACTCACCGGTCTAAACGACCCAGTAAGCCAGGACTTTGAACCGACTGTCTTTTCATCATGGGATATGAGGGATCTGAAAACGCGCTTACCTCCTAGGGTGTATCAAGACATACTGCTACCTTACGTATCATGGGCTCAGACGGTAGCAAGATACAAGACAGACGTGGTAATGGTCACGCATCTGATTATGTACTTCACCACGTCCCTCCCTAGCGCTATATGGTTATTCTACCGCTTCTCCTACCTGCATGGCATCGCCCATGTGCTCTTGCAGGGATGGTATATAGGTGCATATACGCTCCTGCGGCATCAACATATACATCAGAGAGGCGTCCTTGTCAAGCGTTCTTGGATGCAGCTCTTTGACCATGCATTTCCCTATGTCATGGATCCCCTGATGGGCCACACGTGGAACAGCTACTTCTACCACCACGTCAAGCACCACCACGTTGAGGGGAATGGCCCTGACGACCTCTCCTCCACCGTCCGCTATCAGCGAGACAACATTTGGCATTTCGCTCATTACGTCGGCCGATTTTATTTCTTTGTCTGGTTAGACCTGCCTCTTTACTTCGTGAGAAAGGGTAGGTGGACAACAGGTCTTCGCGCAGCTTTCTGGGAACTGCTCAACTACACGGCTATCGTGCTTCTTCTTCGACATAACTTCAAGGCGAGCCTCTTCACCCTTCTCATCCCGTTGCTCGTCATGCGTCTTGGTCTCATGGTGGGGAATTGGGGTCAACACGCATTCGTGGATGCCGACGAGCCTGACTCCGACTACCGCTCTAGCATCACACTGATAGATGTACCCGTAATTAGCCCGCTTCTCTTTCAATTATCTGTCTTAAAAAAACTAATGCATCGAATCTTAGAGCAATCGGTACTGTTATAATGACGGTTATCATACGTCGCATCATCTCAACCCTCTACGGCACTGGCGGGATCACCCAGTTCACTTCCTCCAGAGCAAGGAAATCTACGGTTGCGAGCATGCGCTTGTCTTTCACAATATTGATTACCTTATGATCACTGTTCGTCTCATGATGCGTGATTATGAACATCTCGCCCAATGCCTCGTGCCTATCGGTGACCAGATCGATATGACGATAGAGCAGCGTGTCGCTATGCTCAAACGTCACACGCGGAGATTCAGCGAAGAGGAGATCCGACAGAAATTCGGTGTAGCAAAGGGCCAGTGACCGAAACTAGATGCGGCAATGCAGTTGGATATTGAGTCTAGCACCATCATGTACTAACAAAGGTGCGGTATTGAGGTGTCACTCTATCTAACTACATAAATCATACTATCTTCACTGATAGAGTAATTACTAGATGATTAGAGAAAAAAGCCAGGATAGATAACCTAGTGATAGACTTAAATTTCAATATCAAGAGCTGAGAGTCCTCTTACCAGCACCAATAGGACGAACTCGTGTTTTCTCACATAATCTTGCCGGATTTCTTGATTAAATAAGACTCCGAGTCGCACGGTCGGCATGTGGACTCCGAGTGAGACATGGCCGTATCATTACTCAAGCCTTGCTACTTCGAATACAACTGAAAAAAAAACATTGATAATTTCAATATGGTCGCTGTTTGGCTTGGTCGCTCGGCGGGTCTGTAAAGTGTTCGGCAGTGCTGTACTGTTATGCCGGACAGCATTCTGCCTTGACTTTTCGACGTCATGCTGCTAGATGTCGTTCAGGGGCGTTTGTCGGCGATCTTGGGGTGGTGTATAGCAAACGGTACCTTTGTACAATGGACACTGTCCTTAGATATCCCCCCTACGGCGATGATTTTGGTCCTCTTCCAGACATTCTTGTCAACTCTAAAGTCTCCTTAAAGATCACGCAGTCCGAACGGCGCATTCACCCTTTGTTTAACTTTCGTCTTGAATGGCCGAACAGAGTGAGTATTACTTACATAACGATCGGTTCCGTTACTAATCATCTCCGTGGTTTTTATCGCGTCATCTGCTCTTCGTTTCGCCGCTCTCCTAGTAAGAAGAATTACCTACGGCTTGGTCCTACAGGCCTCGTCCTCTTGATAATTGACATCGTGACGTTTGATGAGGTATCAGCAGCAATATAGGTAAGCGAATCTGATGCATCCTCGTAGCATGAAGTCCCCATTTCTTCTCGCTTACTCTCTGTTCACGCCCGAGGACCAGAAGCAATAGTTAGTAATCAAATTCAGTGTATTCGGTTTGCGCATACGTTTGTCCCCTTGAGGGTCACTGATCCGAAGGCAAAATTACTTTTCTTGTCTCTCTTTCGCTGAGGGTTATGACATAGATAGTGCTACAGATTATCGACCTATAGGTTGCAACTACCCTATCGGTATTGGTAGCTTATCCTTGATGGTGGTCAGTATTTTCTTACACTGGGTACTAGCAAACACGATCTATGTTCTAGTATCAACGAGGGTTAAGTATAATATTCTTTTTCCACCTCTATCTACTTGTATGATCGATATCTAGCATTCAGTGATAGCCCATAGTACACATGTTGCCCTACACGGGGTAGGGTGACCCTTCGTCTCATTGTATCGCACACAACCTTACTTGCCTCTATCTATATGGTTTCGCACATAGTATCTAGAAAAGGTAACGTAGCATAGGTTATTATTACTCACATGATTATTACAACCCAATCCCAAGTGATCCTAATCTACCACCTGAGGCATTTCTTACCTTGATGACAGTGTCGATCGCGCATCATTCGATTGAGGTATTGTTCTTGTCGCACAGGAGGGACTTACAACTAATAGCTCCCACGAAGTACCCGGCCACAGGCAAGGAATTCATTGTCCTAACAAGCTAAGATAATCTACGAGCAAAATCGTGCAATTGGATACAGGCAGAGCTAATTCTAGTCTGCCTGGCTGTTACCGAAGGTGGAGTTTAGAGTGAAGTTGAAGAGGAATAAAGTACCCTATTCTACATGATATCATGTACTTTATAGTGTAGTATCAACCACAGGATATATATACATATATAGCTCTATATAACCACTCTCAGTAGATTCACATATAAATATGAACTTCATTCTATCTCGCGCTCTTTCAAGGAAGTTGTAAGAAGATGGGTAACAGTTTCTCGTAGTTAGGCGTACCCAGACCTGTTACTGGGTCCCAACCCGGGGTTGCGTTGAACCCACCCGTACCACAGCCAGGATTGTTACCAATGGTGATATCATTGAAAGCTTCGGGATGCTTGTAGAGGGTTGGGTTCAGGAAACCAATAGGGCCCTTGCCAATCGCGATGCGCGCCTCGTTCAACAACGTCACGATGCCGGCGAAGATCGGGGCGCTGGCGCTGGTTCCGCCGACACCGTACGTGGAACCATTCCAGACCGTAGCGACGTTTAACCCGATTGCCGCCACGTCGGGAAAGCCGCGCGCTTTGCCGGTGTCGTTGTACACATTGGGCCCATAGTTGGGGGCGTAGTTTTTCATGAAGTGGCGCACGGCAGAAGCCTGGTACGAGGGTACGGGGAAGTAATTCGAAAAACCACCGCCGGAATAATACGCGTTAGCTGGTCCCGAGCCAGGGACTGAGACTGCGCGTTCTCCGCTGTCGGTGTCGTTGCCGAGGAGCGTGGTGGCGCCCACTGTTGTGAACTGTCAGTGCTATACGGTCAAATCAATGAGGAGGAATGAAGGCGATGTGACTTACCAGTGGTAATGTAGGGGCAGTTACCGGGGAAAGAAGGCGAGTATCTAGTTCCATTGTTGTCGACAAACTGCTTCTCCGCGTTGAGGCATGAGTTGGGATAGCCCGCGTTGTACCGGTTGGCCACACCAGAGTCACCGCTCGCGTAGATCACGCTCACGCCTTGGAGCGCTAGCTTCATCCATTCATGGCACTGGCGAACCTGATAGAAATATGGTAGAGCTCCCTTGAGGACTTGCATGAGCATCCTCGACGTATCGGTGTGGGGATGACATTCTTACTTCAATTTGACCATAGCTCACAGATATGACGTTGGACTTGGGCGCTCCACCGCACTGTAGGGGGCCCTGGTAGCCCGCCTCATTTGCATTCGGGTCGGGGTAGGCCGGATCTTCAGAAACATGAGTGTTAGTTATACTCTCGAAGTTTATTCTTCAGAAATTGCACTACTCACCCACATATGGCTGATCGCCGCCCTCGTACGTGCAGTAACTCTCGTCAAGAGCATCGAGGAAGATGTTGAAAGTTCCAACGCTGTCGACGTTGATGCCGTCGCCGACTTGGTAATAGCGGACCTGTTGCGGATGCACAATAGCATATGCCGCTTGTACGTCTAAAGCTGCCTCGACACCCGATCCTTGGGAGATCGTAGTTAGGTTTGCCGTCAAGCCACCATCAATGGCGACGAATTCTGGTCGAGTGTCTGCGGAGATCTCAGGCGTCGTGAAATTCTTGAAGTACAGCGGCAAATCGGGCTCGTAGAGATAGTCTGCCCATTCCGCTATGCCAATCTTGTTACTCTCCGCAGCCGTTTTACCTACGGGAAACTTGTACAGCTTGCGCAGACATTCAATGGTGATTAGCTTTCCGCAGGGCAGAGAGCCCAAAGACGCGCCTCCTGGAATGATAGCCATTGCGTCACGTCCGTGGTTAGTGTTTGCGACGGGCTTGAGGCCATCTAATTGCACTGTGGGCATCACGAAGTCGATGTGCTTCTGGACATGCTCTGGTAAACTATACGTGTCGACGGCGAGTCGAAGCCCTCCATTTTTAATGTGCCGGTAGTGCCAGTACTCTGTTGAGAAAAGATTCTCCGCCTCTTCGACGGTACCATCAAATTGTACCCAGTTGTGGCCTATAGAAGGTGAGTTTATAGAGTACGAAATGAGCTCAGACTCAGTTGCTCACCTTTAGATAGTGAGATCCGCGGGCGTTCAATTCCTGAATCGACAAGCCATTTCACTACGGCGAATTTCGATTCAGAGGATGGAGAGAACTTGTTGGCCACCTCCTTGGCGGTCCAATGCTTGCCTGAGTGAGCACGATTAGCGGTATTTACGATGTGATGTTTGATGGGTAACCGGGTATCTGAATTAGCATACCAAAGTTTGGTGAGTTGGGGTCAGAAACGTCATGAATGTACTTCTCTGCGTTTTCTAGATTGCGCTGACGAAGGCCAATGCGGATTGGTAGCACTTGGTTTGGGGCGGCGCGATCGCGCTTTTCCCAGAAATGCGGCTCGCCATCCCGCTTTTCGTGCAGCACGTGCTTATTCGCTGATGGAGCTGCCAAAGCTGTTACGGCAGAGGAAGTAAACGCTATGACGAACGTCGAGAAACGCATGTTGGAGAAGCTGACTTCAGCAAGTCTGGGAAGCCAAGACAGCCAAGAGATAGCCAAGATAGCTAAGGAAACACCATCAGAGCTCTAGTGTTGGGACCCAAAAGCTTGATTTTATACTCACAGCGCAACGCGGGGAAAGCATTGATTGATCAAATACTTGCTTTGACAATCTCTATCTAGTGTAGTGTATATGATGCCACATGGGCTGTGAAAAGCTCTCGTATCACCGAGCTAACTGTTCTGACCTTCCTATACGAGTATAAACAAATTGATAGCCTATTGGATCAAGGCAAGGGATAGAGTACCTATATTCAGGCACTACGGTGTGTGTTTACATAGTGCTATGTCTGACGTGAGATCATATATCAGCTGGGGCCTAGTAAAACAGAGATTACGGCTGCCTACTGGGGCGTGTCCTGAAAAGTTCTCTTATCATCCCGAAAGATCGCAAGGAACTTGGAAGTAGCACAATGTCGGCCCTAGTAAGTTGTAGCATGGCCGCCTCTCAGATAGATCAAGCTGTACGATCAGAAGAAAACGGCATGCGAAATTCCGAGGGAAGCATTGGTATGAAAATCCTCCTTGGATGACGTATATGTTCTTTCGATATGCGTAGGTTAGCGATGAGCAAGACGTCCTGATCAGCTTATCGACACGTTTGTACTCGTACCCCAACTGTATTGTGTCACTGTGTACGCGGCAGCTGGGTGCTGCTTGTCTCTGATCGGCACCAGCATGCAGATCTCAATAAATTCAGAGGAGTTCGAAGTTGGACAACTTGGCCAATTCAACGAAGTGTTAATTATTACGGTCGTTATTCCGCCGATGAGTCTGGGCTCCTACATCTATTATATGCGCGGCCTGTACCTGCGTAACCCCATCTTGAAGGAAATGACACCCGGATATGCATCAAAACACACGAATAGGTATTTCCAAATGAACCACACTTCATTTGAACGCAATGTCTGACGTGAGTGCGTAGAGTGGGGTATCTCCTGCAACGTACTGCTGCTTGCTCGTGGCGTTTCAAGCCGGTAGACCGCCAATTGAGCAAGGACTCACATATCAACGAGATGCTCAATAGAAATTGTTGTGAGTGGGCAACCGCCTCCATGGCGCCTATCATGGCTGAATAGCTGAAGCGAGCCGCGGCGGCTGAAAGAATGTCACATCGAGGTGCAGATAAACAATACAACGCTATACCTGGTTTCATTTAGCTAAGGTCCATCTCTATCGATCTAGATACTTCGAATGGCTCATGATGAAGGCAGTATTGTGAAACTAGTATATATGCCGATTTTCAATACGAACAGGCACGAAATTCAACCAAGCTTGATATCAACATCTTCTGGCGCTGCTCTCTCCCAAATATGCTTCCAGATTACACCTAATGCCTGTCTGCATGCGGTGTCTCCATCCCACCGAATCCATAACACGAAATAAAAGTCAAAGGTGGTCATGCCACGCAGTTCTTCACGGCCGACGAAATACCCGAAGGGGCAAACTGGGTAAACACCCTCGGAATAAAGTCCTGCAAGATCTCCGTTTTTCAAAGGGGACGAGCCCATTGCAATACGGATTACTTCGCATTTCTGCCCAATTGGAAGGGCGTCATTTTGGTGCAGGTTCGCTCGGATAGAGCCGGCCCATTCAGAAGACGTCGTATACACAGGAAGATCAACGATTTCGTAGCTTCCATCCTTACAGTCACCATATCGTTGCGACGGAATGTCTTCTGGTGTTCCAAATACGAAAAAGGCCTTCTGTACAGTAGCATACAGGTACCGTGCGGACAGATCAAGAGGGCTGACATTGCGGTACCTTTGAAATGGGGGGATAGGGTACCGAAACTTCCTGATAGACCCGATGTGATTGAGGTTCTGCCCGCGGTACGTGTAATATGCGTGGTAGCCGGACTCGGGACCACCGTCATGCTTCCGCCATTCAGGCGGCGTAGGAGCGCCGCCCTCGTGGAAAAGTTTACGTACCTGAAAGTATGTATAGCCAATATGGCTACCATCTCTCCTGTCCTGAGACTTAAACCATTCTGTTACTGGGGATATTGTGACTTCATACGGCGCTGGTGGGAGCTCCATGTCTGTGTTACAGGTCCACATTTGAAGGTCTAGAGCCCCTGACCATCCGAGCCATGACCATGTGGGCAAAAAGCGCGTGTCGGGTTGATTGAACCGAGGCCGAAGTCCCCTTTTGGGCTGCCAAAGCAAGCAGATTGTGAAGTAAAATTCGGGAATACCGCCATAGAAGCCAGCAGAAAATCCCATGCACATCTGCAGCAACAAACCTCCAAAAGCGATTGCAACGTCAGAATCATATGTGAGCTTTCGTACATTGTATTGCTCGACCATACTGGCATAGTGCTTTAGTGATGGCCAGTCTAAAGCAAACACTTTTCCAGCGTCGGAATGGTGGTCATCTTTTGCTCGTATGAGGGACTGCGATATGCCTGGAGGAAGTGACACAGCCTCGGTCCACCTTGCTGAGGCACATACCCAGTTGACGAATTTGTTAACATACAATAATCTGCGAGAGAAAACGTGTTCTTGGAAAGTCCAAGCTCGGCTGGACCATACCGTGTTGGATGGAAGACTGTCGCCAAGTGACCATATGGTTCCTCTGATGAGAGGCTTGGAGGGAAAGGGTATAATATGCTTCTGCCTCTCCTTCACCCCGTGGCCCAGCCCCGAGAATCCGTGATTAACATCGCTGCCCTCGGCAGCTACAATGGTAAAGTCTGCTGCGGCGTAGATCCAACCCATTCCCTGAAGATGCTGCTGTTTAATCTCATCATTATCTTGCATAATACACACGCGATCGACCCACAGGTATCTATACCCAGTAAGAGCACATAATCTCATCGCGTCGCGAATCGTTTGGGGTACGACTTGTGAGCCTGACGAAGACAGACTACCTGGTTGTCTCAAGCTGTCTATGTTACTCTCCAGGCACTGGAGAGTGTCGACTACTCCCCACACATAACTGAGTGCAGCGAATGGTACTTCTGTTGTAGGACTGGCGATGCATTCCAGCTCGACATCGATAAAGTTGTGAATAACATCGGCTTTACAGCGCCAAGCCTGTGGCACTAAGCATCTATTCCCGTGGAAATGATTGCAGTGGTCTAGCCACCCACGGATCAAACAGGGGTCGCACTGTTTTGGATCAAATAGGCGTGGTCTTCCAGCGAGCCATGCATCTGAGTCTTCAGGAACATCTTGGTCCGTCGAGAACAGCGAGAGTACTCCTAACTGGCTCATAAGCTGGCGCCTTTGGCTGGCGTCTGTTGACTCAAAAGGTAGCGACCCAAAAGCTATGCAGAGAACAGGATTGCTGTCCATTAAATGGGCGCTGAAGTCATAGTCGCCAGCGCACATGGGGGCTTGGCTTTCGGAGAAGCTAGCGCAGTCTTCTTCGGCGCAAGAGACCAACGCGAGACATGATTGACATGTCGAGCTTCTCGCAAGCAGATCGGATTTTTTACCCAAGTAGACGTCTTCAGCACCTTTCGGCTCACGTCCTGAATGCACCCTTGATGCGTGAGCACGAAGCGTAGCGTCGACCGCACAGCACAATGTACAAAAGTCGCTCTGGCCCGGCTCACACCTAGGCAGTGTCAGAACCCCGCCCATTTAGCAAAGCGCCTACAGATTGGAAGAGCCGGGGGATCAATTGGTGAGCTTCCACCGCGAATTTGAAGATGAAGAGGGACCCAAATATTGTGCCCAATACCTGAGCTTTCATCTACCATACGAGCATGGGCGTCATCTGTGAAATGGTTGATGACACTTGGCCTCCAGGTTGTGGTCCAGTTGAAGCCTTGACATCGCCAAGCCGCCTTACATACAAGTATCACCATACCACACGCAGCGCTAGTGGCACAGCACAGTTGCTCTCTTCATTAGGTGGATTCCCTACGTTCCTGGAATCACCTGTATGATGACTACAGTTGAAGAAGAATGTGGCAAAGGAATCCTACGAGAGGTTCGAAGCATCGACATCTTATTCACTATCACAGCTGTTAATTCATCTTTAAGGAATTGACTTAACTATTAATCGCTTATGTGGTATTTAGCGGACACTATGCCAGGTTTCTTGTTGAACTTACTAGTTCTCAACACTCGGAGGTGCATCAATAACCTCGAGCCTTTTATTTCGAGCACATCTATCACTACTTTGAGGACGCGTCGAACTCAGATCCTCAGCTCTGTTGCCATGACGTGTCAGGTTTATACTCGCCGCCTCTTGGTTTCATCCTAAATTCGTGTATTTTCTTTGAGGCTCCCACGGTTGGTGCACGCTCTCCATTCCTGTATCGCCGTGTCGTTCGGATGTAGGAGATTGTCCTTGACAAAATGGAGAAGCTGTCTTATCCCCAAGGAAAAGAACCCTTGGACTTTCAACTTGTGGCGTGCAGATGGTCTATCTACCCAATACACCGTGCCGTCTATCGGGCAGATGTTTAGGGCAGTAGCAGGAAGCTTAATTGCGCAATAGTGTGACAAAAGGCCTCAAGAAAGGTACAACCCACCCAGTAGCTACCATACCCCGGTTGAACAATGATGCTAATCGCCCAACTAATCATTAAAGCAATCGAACTGCGGGCCAGCCAGACCGTGGTGTAGATTTCAAGTACTCGAACTTTAGGTTATACGGCAGCTTACCACTCCGGCCACTTCATACCAATGAGAGCAGTTCCCTGGATGTGTTGCTAGCCTATGAAACCCATTGCGCGCATCGCAGGCTTATTAATGTCTTACTTTCGGCGAACATTGCCAACTGAAACACTCCTCTGGTAGGCTTTGCAGAGCTACAGATGGTAGCCTTACATGTCCGACTGGCGAGATATCAATCGTTTCAAGAACATATCCTGCTATTAATTCTATTTTATATGGGGATTTCATTTCCTTTTCTCTCATGCGCTGAGTTGGTATCTAAAATGTAGTCATAGTTTCCCTCAAGATTTCTTAAATCTAAATTTCCCCATGGTAGACTTCAATAGGTTTGATGAGGATTTCTTCTTCCTTATGGTGAGATCTTCAGTCGACGGGCTCAAAGTGTTAACAGCCAGATTCGTCGGACTTCTCGACCGTGCTGCAAGATCTGGAGTCGAAGCGCCCATGATGCCATTGATATTTGATGTCGGCCATTGCTGATATGGGGCCGCATCGTCGGCTGGTGTGTAGAGCGTCCCAACCAGCCGCATGCTCGGCATCTGGGGGATATGACGCGGAGATGAAGCGTAGTCTGGGTGCGTTTGCTGGGGTAGACCGTAATCGCCCTCCAATTCTGCCACGGCGGCGGCCGGCTTGCCAGATATGGAGGTTCCATGGAGCTCTGCTGCACGAGTTCGAATTATGGCGGGGTTGGAATCTAGCTCAGCCACGGGCCGTCCAACTGGAGTGATACCCAGAAACTTCATGTTCGCTTCGGGATCAAGTGGCTTGTATGGCGGTGAAAGCCTTGTGTTTTCACTTTGCCATGCTGGAGTCGACCTTACATTTTCACCATTCCAGTCCCGCCATGCCTCTGATACGGGGGGTGGGGTGGGAGTGTTGGGCTTGTCCAGAGATGGCAGCCGAGAAGGTGTCTGAATCTGATTCGAGCTTACTCTGCTTGGAAGCTGAGACTGAGACTCCTTATCATATCTGTTCATATAGATGATATCCTGCAGGCCGGAACGGAGTGTGGCAAATTTGAACCCAATACCTACTTTCCTCAAGGGGATCATATTGTCGACCTGGTCATGTACATTTTGTTGTAGTAAAATCGGCGTTCCATCTAGCTTCTTTGTCATCGCCGTCGTGTAATACGCCGCTGCGTCTTCTAGTTGTTTCACCGAGACGTACTTCTTCTGATAGCGAAAGGATCTCTCGAGGATGAGAATCATATCACATGCGCACTTGAGCAGCATTCGTGCTGTGGGGGGCGTCGAGAGAATGCATCCGGCGATGCCTGCGATAACGCCAATACCACCTGACGGTATCGCTGCGCCCAAGGTGATCGCGCTAATGGACGCAAACTGAGTGAGCGACACGCGCATGAAGCTCTTGAGGTTCTTCATGACCACTTGGGACATGATCTCCTCGACTGCCTCGGGAGTTACCTTTGGAAACCCAAAACACTGGATGACATGCTCGCATAGGATTCGAGAAACCGTGGGCGTGCCGATTAGTCCCGACGCCGGGAGTGGAACCATCGCCGTGCGAATCGCGTGCGCGCCGAGCCGCATAACCTCTGTTATGGCTTGGTCAATCTTCTGCTCCACGTCGACCACTTGGGCTGCTACACAAAAAACACGCACGCGTTCATCGGCGATGAGGTCGACGGTATCACCGATCAGCTTGCGGATACCCGCGTCGTCATCTGGCGAGGTGGTTAGCACCGGGATGTCAGCAGCGTTTGGTCGCTACAGATATTTACCTTTTGATATGCAGGAGTATCCATCCGCTTTATAATGGTCGAGGTTTGACAGCTGATCGCGGAGCAACAAGAACTGCTTCTCTGCATGCTCGTTGGCTTCCTCTGTAGCCAAACGGTTTGCTTCTTTGTAGTCTCCCGTCTTCTCCATGTACTCTTCCAGAAGTTCCATCTTGCGAAACGCTATAAGCCTGTCTTTCTTGGTCCCCACCACAAATACGGGAACATCGCTAGAGTATTGAGCTATGATTTCGAACGTACGCCTATCTGCCTCCTCGATGCGACTAACGTCTGAATTGACGCAGAACCTACATATCTGTTAGCAGTAGAATCTGGTGGCAGACACGCAGAGTAGTCTCCTCACCATATCACATGTAGAGCCTCTGCCGGGTTTTTCTGAAAGGCGCGATGACGCAGAAATTTCGCGATCTCCTCGAGTTCTGCGTCACTACCAGCTTGCCAACCGCGTGAATCATGGATGAGCAAGCCAGGGTGGTTCGGATTCTCGAAAGCCTGGTTGATGTCATGCACGCCTTGGCTATACGTCGTCGACTCCTCTGTCATCTCGACCCCAAATACCTTGTTGATCAGAGTGGATTTGCCGACACCTGTCTTTCCACAAACCAGGATCCTGAAGGCCTTCACACCAGTGTCTTGTAAAGCGAGCCCCGCGAGCCACGGGTGAGGCTGGTCCTGGTCGTCAATATATTCAAGAAAGCCAGAGAGCTCCTTCTTCCTCGCCTTAAATATCCCCTGATCATAATACCGAGCGTTCCGGTCAAGCACTGCATACATCGATGGGTGAATAATGCTACCACATGGACTTTTTGACGACCACCCCAGGAGGAGATTGCTATCCCTGCTGAAAACCTTTCGATAATTTTTCTGACTGCCGCTCCCAAGTTTGGATGGGATAGAATGATTAGGCCCGGACTTTGAGTCAAGCTGAACACTCTGTAGGTCAAACATGGTGGCTTCAATACCATTGACATATTTGATGCGCCAATGGGCCTTCTCCTCAGCCTCCAAGTCAGGTAAACGACCAGCAAACTGTGGAAATATCAACGACAAGGTGGCAGCGCTGTTCTGATCCTGTCTCAAGAGTAGACCAGCTTTTATGCTCTCCAGGAGCATCCACTGAAGCGGGAAGAGAGATAGTCCGTCGTGCTCGGAGCCGCCGCATATATCTAAGTGGGCTCCCATAAACCAAGCCTGAGTGAACGACCGACCTTTGATCTCTGTCTCTGCAGGTGTTGGCCATACGCATGGCGTTGTGTGAGTGTCGCTAAAAGCGAGGGCGTGACGGAAGTTCTGCACTGAGTCGACGAAGGATGATTCGTATTCGTATTTCTCAACCTCAGTACGTAGGGCATCGAAGACACCCAAGAACTGTATCTTCGGGGGTTCATAGCAGTGTGCTTGGAGGTACGCCGTCAACTTACCGCCACTCAGGGCGTCATTCCGCTTCCGTGCACCCTCAAGCGCTATAGCCGTCTGATACAGTTGATCAAAGTCATCCATGGACTTCGGGGTCCCGAGAAAGTGCAACAGCGACGCGACGACCTGGACTATGTACCCGCCACGGCCGGACCCGTACAGGAAGAGCTCAGGCTGCGGACCGCTGAGCCGTTGGCATATATCCTGGATGATATGTTTGACTTGCTGGTCAATGGAGCCGGCCGTGCGCGTTTGCAGGCGCGCGAACGTGCCGGTAGCCTTGACAGCCTGGTGATAGCGCACTGTTTGGCTCACGGAGCGGCCGTTGCAGTCTATTGATTTGGACCCCGTCGCTGCCAGGCCGTGCAGCCTGAAAAGATTGCTTGCATTACCATGGCCTTTTGCCGTCAGTGCATTCTAACCAAGCAAAACAAGAAGAGCACAACGATGGAAGACATCGCGAGCTGGAGATGATCAGAATGAGTAGGCGAATACTCACCTAGCGTTCCATCTTCGGCGTAGTCGGAGTCGTCGACACACACAATGAGCCGAGTCGCGGCGGTTTGGGCCATGCTAGGCTGGAACTGTGGATACTGGTCGGAAAGAATCTTTAGAAAGCCCGGTGTATCTATGTCTCACATCTGTCTCTGTCGCTTGCATTCGCAGAGCAAAATGCCGGAAATGAATTACAGCACAGAGTTGAACGAGAGGAAATCGCGACGGCAGCCCGTGCGACGAAATGTGCGTCACAGCTGTCGGCTGACATTGGTGAGCAGAGGCGAGAGCAGAATGCTACCAGCATCGTATAAATCAACTATATTTAGTGCTGACCGTGGCCCACACCGGCGTCATTACCTAACTGAGCATTGCCAATTATTACCGATTGTGTCTTAGGAACGCCTGTGGCCGGGTAGGATCTTGGCGTCGTGTTGATGTTGAAACCACGAGTCTGCACGAGCAGAGGCACGAGCTCTCCCCGAGCTAGCCCCTTGAACATAAGTGCTATACTTAGATGCCTTGGCAGCAACCCAGTTGGCGGTGGTCAGAAACTGGTCGACCGTCCGCTCAGGGGCTCTGCAGGGGCTAGCCCTTCTCGTTGACGAGGCGCAGATACAGGCTCTGCGCGGGGTACGCAGCAGACAGCAGCCAGATGCGGCTCATCTACCTGGAAAACTCCGTCCGCCTCCATGTCTTTATGATATGAAGTGTCCGACAAATCATTGAATGGTAACGTAAGTATTATATGCAAACCGATCATCGTGAAACACAGGTACCATACTTCTGTTCCACGGCCAAAAGTGTGAAAATTGGAGTAAGACAGTACCAAGGCGCGTAATGTATCACACGTTGCATATTGACTGTGATTGCGGCTGTGTCGGTTTCTGCTCAGCTAATAACGCCTCTCGTTGAGCTGTAATACAGCCAGGACACTCTTGGTCGATAGCTAGGCAGTATGGAAGCTAAATGAACTGTGGACAGAACAGCCTCACTTCAAAGAACTATCCCGATCCGCGTCAATAATCTCATCGGCTTTCTCAGCCGAATCGCACGCGGCAGCTTGCAGATAACCAATGACGGCAGCTGGAAACCACTGGTGCGTCTATTACTCGTAAGTTGCCAACTCCTTTGACTCTCAAGTCTTGATCTACAACGTTGCCCATTGTGAAGGCACCAATATGATGCTACCTAGCACGCCCTACGCCACAATATCCGTTAATTGAGATGGGCAGCGGGTGATTAAATCTTCACTGTATTTGAACCTACCCTAATCCAGCGTGGCCGCACTCGTCGATGGATTCATTCGCGGGAAAGCCCTACATCGGAACCTGGGGCTTTAGAGCAGTGTACGTGCAGCTGTTCAGAATACAATAATAATTTGTTAGGTCTGCTGAGGTCCTTGTAGGCCACCAGATTCCTTGGATAGTATACGCAACTGGTGCAACTTTTTCTACTCTTCTAAAGACCGAGATATTTCTCTCATTGCCAACAAAGTCTCTATCGCATCATATCTTCGTATATCTTATTAAGGTGAATTTGTAAGGTGAGCGCTCATAGCCGAAGGCTAACTGTGTTTTCGGCCGTATGCATATGTGACAGGCTTCTACTTCTCCATTTAGGGTCTTACGTCAGATGGTGGTGGCAATGTCTGATATGCATCTTCACAGCCCTGCGTACCACCTATCTGTGTACCTCCATTCCTAGGTAATTTGCGTTGATGAGAGGCGGATCATTGCAGCTGGGCGACGCGAGTTTAATTCAAAAGTCACGGGCCTTGTTAAACGTTAGGATAACAGCAGAGGTGATCTGCGATCCATCAGGAGCGCCGGCGGATAGGATGCCGTACTAAATGAAGGTCGGTGGGTGTGCTAAAATGAGATGTGTCTCTAGATCTGGCGCGACGCCTTAGTCCGCTGCAATAGCCTCAGCGAGACCTTCCATTGCCACATCACCGGACAGATAGAAGCCGGGGGGTTGCCAAGAAATACAGCGGCTGGTTAAGAACAGGCTTTTACAGTTGATTGCCCGTATGGCTGTCGGGACTTTTACGAACACTTCATGAATTGGACGGCATGCCCAATGCCAGAAAGCAACAACATATATGCCAAGTGGTGAGCCTCAGCGACGAAAATGATCATCTCAGTATAAGATAATATATCTAGCGCAATGCGACAATTAGAATATAAAAAGTCCAACCCAGTTGAGCCCGTTTCAAATAACACCACATAGATCTCATTGTATGCAACTCTCAAAGCCTCTACAATAGTATGGAAACGTGATAACAGGTACCAAGAAGTCTGGAAATCTATGTGACAGTATCACAAAGTGACTCGGACTACACCATCTAAAGACGGTGTGTTTAGTTTATACCTGCCCACGTTGAGACTAATCACGATGATGAGTTGAGGGTTATTTACCTCCAATTCAAGTGGCCTGTATATGCGTATTTACAACCATCAGCGTATGTTCCAACTTTGTTGTGGCTAATTATCTGATGGGCAAGGTTGTAACAGCTGTGCTTCTACGGGCTCGAAACGTTGAATAGACGAATGTATCATATCTGCTGCTTGATTGAGTGCCGCCTGCATTGACTCAACCCTAACGGATAACAATGGAATCAAGGTATCTACTTGGGACTGATCCTGTTGAGTCAAATCATAGTATATCATTAGTTTCAGAAGTGAAGAAGATTTGCCGTTCAACTCACTACTACCTTCTTGAGTGACAGGACATCATTCATTCTGATACTGTTAGATGTTGGACCCTCAGAAGTAGTGGGCAGATTTGCACGCATATGATCATGCTAGCCTCATGCCAGATGGTTAGCATCTCGACACTATCAATTATTACACCAGGAAGTCAGACGCCGACGGCGTACCTATCGGGAATTGTCAGCGATAGCTGTGGCTCGTCATTTAAAGGCTGAACATACTCATCCAAGGCTAGACAGGACCTAGCAGCGCCTGATCCCTCACAACACTTCATATAGTCTTCGGCTGATGGAAAGGTTCCTGCCGTCCCGTACATATGCTCCACTTCGCTCATTTGAATATAAAACCGCAACTCTTGTAGAAAGATTTTCAGTTGGCCTTGCACGTTCACCAGCTTAGCCAACCCCCTTTTTAGAGCAATTCACCCGTGTCACGGCGGGCTTTTCTGCGGCGTCGGCTTGATGGAATAGGGCCGCTGCCGTAGTCTGAACTCATCAAGTCCGTTGCCGCCTCATACTCGACCTCTTTGCATAGTTGAAAGTCTTCGTTACTGAGCGCCGGAATCTACGTGCCGATCCCTAAAGATAGCATCATATCTAGAACTTCCTGGTTTGAGCTGGAATACCATCCTAGCAAAAGTTTTCTATAGTATGGCAAAAGAACTTACTACTGAGCATCTTGAAGATACATCACAGGCTTAAGAGGTTGTTAACCACTGGCAAGGACAGTCTCCACGTTATCCATTTCAACGTGGTCTGACTCAGAGCCTGACGAGCTACACATCCCGTTCAGTTAGTGACTATTTCCATAACCGCGTCTTTTCCGCCATTTCTATCCTGGGTGTCGCCAATATCGACGGTGGAAAGACTTCTTACCCACGCAGCAATAGTAGGCATAGGAGCCACTGTTGGAGTACAGCCAGAAATAACTGTGCACGTCAGAGCATCCGCAATGCCTCCAATAAGCGTACAAGCAGAGTAATTAGAGGCCCAGGTCTCTTCCGCTGTTGTGACGGTCTCAAAAGCGCTGTTTGCCGGGATGATCGTGTATGCGCAGCTTTCTGACGGAGCAGTTAACGCAAGCAATGGACTCAATGTGATCGAGTCATTACATAGACAGAAAGCTTGAGTTTTGTCTCGATCCGGGTCTTGATTATGTAGCTCGCAAGATAATGATGGCGCTGGAGTAATCATACTGGACTGAGGTGATGTAGTAGACGCAAGGGCCGACGAAGCTGTTTCTGATGACGAAATTGGCGTGGGCATGTCAGATGTGAACGGCGGATAAGGGCACGCCTCCATGTCTCGTCGCCTCACCATAATTGGAGAGGGATTATTGAAATTGATATTAGAAAGTGGGAACCGTTTTGAATCATCTCCTTGCCACCAATCTGCCGTTTGTTGGTAGTTGTTGTCGATGTCTACGCGGGTGATAGCCGTGATAGCAGGGTTTGCCAGGAGTGTCGGAAGCCCAATCCCCCTCCAGATGTTAAGAGAGATGTCAGACGTAGGTAGAGTCAAGCAACGTATATTCAGCTCACCGCTAAATCGTTTACGAGATAGAGCTTAGAGCACTCATTGCTGCCTTGACTTGATCCCTCGTGCGCACTGCAGGGGCCGTGAGGCCCACTCCCGTCCGAGAAGAGATGACCGGATTTTGGAATATCAGACCGTCTTGGGCACAATCATCGCCCTGAAAGGCGGCCTATGAATTGATCCACTATATACTCGGCATCATAGCGGCAAGGAAAGATATCAAATAGAGCATGATAGTAACCAGCCCTCCAAGATGCGCCACGGAGAACGCTTATTAGTTCCAAATACTCAGGATAGGAGCCAGCTCTCTCCCAATCTATGAGGGCTACAATTCTTCCATCTCGAATAAGTATATTTGAGGGGTGAAGGTCGCCATGTGTTAAAATAATCTTGTGGTCTTGTCGCAGCTGGCTTCTGATCATAGTCTTGAGGACCTGGGGGCATGTCCCAACTAAAACTTCTAATAAGAACTCATTCCACTCTGCCTCGCAGCGGAACGGTCCGCCATCTTCTCCGAAAAGGCGGGTATCGACAACGGGTTTTCTTCCAAGCCCACCGATATATGACCCTTCTACGGCTCGCAGCTGATTGATATAATCACGTAATTGAAATGATATCATTCCGCTCAGTGTCAGATAAGTCATTCCACGCATCATGTAGAGGAATCCCTTCGATATAGTCCATCGTAATTGATGTGGGTGTGACGGAATGTACACGTGGAACTGGTATTGTTGTGTTTTCACGGACGAAGTTCATTGCCTCGGCCTCGGACTCATTGATACTATTAGGAACACTGGTCTTGATCACTTGGTCTCCGTATCGAACGACATTGCAACCGTACAGCTGATGCAATAGTATCCCTTAGGGTTTGTTAGCCTCCGAGCGTCTTGAGCGAAAGATAAACGAACCTCCGTCACTCTGAATATGTGGAGGATCCCTGCTCGTAATGCGGGTCGGGCGCGGGGGCGCTCCAGCAGTGCGACGCTCTTGACGAATAGGATCTGCGCGAGAGAGTTGCGTGTTGATCGCACAAACCAAGTCGGTCATAAAAACTCATTGTTAGTAGTGGTGGAAGGGAACTTCGCTGAGTCGGCAGCTCACAGCTTTCAAATCGTTGTTGGTTCTGATTGGGGTCCATTCGCCAACAAGCGTACTTATATCACGTCTCTTGGCAAGAGTGACGCTAAATCTGTTGCATACCCCACACTAAATCTTCTGTATTGAAATGGTCAACAGGTTAAAGGACACCGTTAAACATGTGAGTCTGATAACAGTATATGAACATATTCTCTCCTGAGTGCGATACTAGTTCATTGAACATGAAGGCAATTTAATTCCTCTTATCCTTTTCACTTTATGGGACACCTTTCCCATTTTCTTCTCAACTTCCTTATCAGCCCATTTCTACACAACCTTGATGATCTCCTCGTCCTCCGTCTTCTTTGCCTCTTCGATACATTCTTCAACTCTGAGTTTCCTATTCGTAGCCTCGCTTGAGAACAGTTCTCTTACAATATCCGCGTCGCCACGTCGAATGCCCAGAATACCATGGCTGCCGCTCACAGTTTTAGTCTTCGACAGTATCCTGCTCACAATCTCCACCGGCTGGCCACCCCTTATAGCCGCATACAAGGCTCCACCCCCCGGCCCGCAGCCGTCGTTAACGTCAGCATTGTTGTCCAGAAGAATATGGAGTATGGGCACAGCCTGGGCTGGAGGTAGTGCGCACGCGTCGGTTAAAAAGCTGCGCATGCCGTGATCTACCGAGAAGCTGGCGAATGTGTGATCGTGGGCGCAGAGTTCTTGCAGGATGTCAGAGTCTGGGGCTTCGAGAACAGTATGAACGACCCCGTGGCCGTGGGTTAGTAATATGGCAGGGCATGTTTGAAGTATTAGCTTGACGACAGCTAGTTGCCGTGCCGCGACTGCCTTTTCGAGAAGCGTGTGTATAGACAGTGAGATAGTATTCAACTTGGCAGGTCCGTCTGCTGTAGCTGTTTGGTCGAAGGGAAGATTGCCTGTGTTGTTTCCGCCTTGGACACCATGCTTTTTTAACAGCTGCTCTAGGGCTCTAATATCTCCAGATGAACATGCATTAAGCATAGATTGTTCTTCCTGAGCGTTGATTTGAAAGTAATGCGCTCGAGTGGCCATGCTGGCAAAGACGCCGAATATCTTAGTAAACTAGGACGAAGTGGAAGTTGGCTGTAAAATGGTTACTTGAGACTCAGGAAGCGGGCCTTTCATTGTTGGTAGAGGCTTTGAAATGGTGTTGTCGGTATGTTGATATCAAGCAAAAACGAGATGAATGATAGTGTGGTAGAAAGAATTCCTAAAATCCGTCATGCGACTAGCTTTTGGTTTCTTGTTTTAGGTAGGTAGGGGCGCAGGTGTTGGTGGCTATGTCGCTACCAATGATACCTCGCAGAACAAAATGCGTTGGTTGAGGTCTCGCTGAGGCTGTGCATTAAGGCAAGTGGAGAGTATATCCTCCTATTCTAGTACATCCCACCGAAGCCCTTATTGGAGCATCTACAACTAGGTTTATATGAATACTAACTATTAAGTTCCAACTGTGAACTGCGAAGTGTCTTATTGTGTCTTTTCGTACATTGAGACACCTAAGTCTGAAGACTTCAAGTCTCAAATGTCATCCGGCGCTTGCGCAACAATGGTCATCATAGTCTCGAAAGCTGAGTCAACCTCCTCTTGAGTAATTAGACCGCGTCGAGCGCGCCTTGCCATTGCATCATCAACGAAATTCTGACAGTTCCAATCATTGGTGCTATTGTCGATATAGGTTCCTCTGATAGCATCTCGCAAGCGTATATCGGACTGTCCGGAGGAGGTAATCGTTGTCACCCACACACTGTTCTCGAACCGCGTACTATGTTTGACATTACGTTCAACCTCTTGGAACACAAAAGATCTGGGAGATCCTCTAACATGCAAAAGCTTATACCCTCAGACCGTTTTGTCATCTCTCATGTACGTGATTAATAGTCTAGTGTGTCTGAACTGCGGCGCATCAATGGGAGAACCCTGGAAGATGATAACTTCCAGTACCAGCGAATGTTGGGTAGCTTCTGTAAGGCCAGAGTCGTCAGTAGATGGGGCCTATCCGGAGGAACTATATTGCTCTGCAGAGTGCTTGGATGAAGATTTCCGCTTCTCATATTTATTGCTGCTCTTGGTGTAACCCATTGTTGTTATGTTTCGCAATGAAGTTCAAGGGGAATACTTTTATCCGTTGGTCTCAATATCTGTTTGAAAAGAGAGGAATCAAATTTTCTAGTCTCCTGGTGTGTTCTAGAAGTGGTTGGGAGCTTGAAAGTCTCGCCATCTTATAATTCACGATGCAGCAGTAGTGCAAGGAGGCCAGACCTGGCTTAACCTCCCTTTCTACCTGTGTACGTGGCGAGACATCGACAGGGGTCACTTCTGCGGAGTATTATGTCTTGTGATATCGTGAGGCCATAAAAGCATTGGCTAATATATGAAACGTTGGTTTTATCTAGTGGGTAGTCGCCAGGTTCAACTCTCTACTCAAGTAAAGCGTTGATGACCATTTCCCGCGCGCTAGCAGTCTTGGCGTCCCTTGGCTTCTTACCCGCGGGGTACGCGCGCGCGCTATACCGCTTAACCCCTCAACTGCCGATGTCTTCAGAGTACAACAAGGCTACTGTCGACGAGGATAATTCAGAGTATAGTTTAGCGGTTCCTGCCATTCGGCCATCTCTAGACTGCACTGAATTGCTATTATCAGCGATCAGAATCAATGAGACATTGGAAAAGGGAACAATTCGTGGGTATTATCTGTGAAGATTGCGGTCATGGCGCAACTTCCGGCCAGTTGTTATTTTTCTGACGCCTTTAACTTTGAGGCCATTGAGTACACAGTGAGAGTGAGTCCAGATCAACTTAGTCTAATACGTCGTATTCAATGGATCCTAGACAAGTATAGACTAGACAACCCCTCTTCAAAACCCCGAACAAATGCTATTAGTATTACATACAATGTGTCAATACCTCACAATAGGCACATGGATTGTTCGTTTATTGGCATTATATCTGGTATATATATAAGAAAACAGAGTCTCAGACACAATCCAATATGATAGCTCTTGTCTGCACCTAGCATTTACAACAAGTCGAAGCAAATGTCACGTACACGCATGATGCATCTTCGTCTCTTCAACCTAACCTCCGTAAAAATCTTCATCTCAATTCGCGTCTGCCTACCAATATTACGGACACACGGTATGGAACTACATAGCTCTCATTAGATATTGTCGGGACATTTATATCTCTCTATTACACAGCTCCGCTGGAAGTGAGCAGCCATTTCGACGAATTTTTTAATCGTCTAGTCTGGGGCAATAAAGGTATTGGCTATCAAAGTCTACTCAGCAGCAAGAACATTAATACCCTGATGCACGCGGCGAACGATCTTTATCAAAGACTGGTGGTTTATGTTATTGATCGAGAATACCGTTCCAGCATAGGTGATAGCAACAGTACCCTACATATGCCTGACAGTAGGGTAGCTGAAGGAACGGTGACCAGGACCACCTATCGATTGAAAGTTCACAAAGAACCCAAGACTATACTGCAGGCGCTCTTAGGCACCATGGTGTTCTTCGGCGGCCTTGCTTGGTGGTGTGTGGATTTACAGGTACTACCTAGGAATCCATATCCAATCGCGAGTAGCATGGCACTATTCGCCGGATCGCGTCTTATCAGCACACCAAATCAGGCTTTAAGCAGTAAAGGGCATCAGCAGTTGCTCGACGAAAACGGAGGGGAGGCCTCTATCATTGTAAAAGGGCGGAGACTTCGCTTGGGTTGGTGGGACGATGCAGACACGGAAGGCGATGAAGCTTACAGAAGCACCTCCACCTCCCAACCTCCATTAATCGAGATAGAGAAGAGGTTCGGCATCGATATCGCGAACGAGAGAAGATTGATTAATTAGCGTCGGCGTATGCCTTATCAAAAACACACAGGATTCAAGTCCGCTCGTTGGACAAGAACTCAAGAATAGCCGAGAAGAGTCACTAGCGGAGCTCGATGTCACACACGGGGACGCTTGACCTCCCCCAAAGCAGCTAGCTACCCAAGCCGAAGAACCTTCCTGTATATTATGTAGGTTGATATATCTCAATATATGGTACAATAATACGATAGATGGGGCATCTGCCTATCTCCCAGACTAGTATATAAGACTCCATCTCAACCAACTGGCGAAGATATGCTATATTAGATTTAACACCAAATCTCAATCGCTACATTGCGCATCTCTTACCATGGCTGTACCTCTGCGTACGATCTTTACCGAGGCTCCTATACCCCTTGCCAGATTCTTTGATCCTCCAGGTGCTAGTTCCCGCAGTATTTCACAAAAGTCATGGGCTTCTACCTATTCAGAGATTTCCATGCCGTTGTTTCAATTCTTCGACCTCGACCAGATCCAAGGCTTGTTGGGTCCAGAGGATGAACTGGACCGACTACTCCTCGCCAAGACGGCATATCCACACAACCCGGCCGCAGAAGCCCTTCAGAGCGAAGCAGATAAGCAAAAACCCTGCCTCACGACCACCCCCTATCACAACCACCCCCCCTGCCTACTAATTACCCAACTTCTGAAGCGATTTTCTTAACGAATACGTTGTTCACGATGCTTTTTTTGGTATTTTTAATTAGATCTATTATTTTTAACCTTAATAACCTTTTTTATATTACTATCCTTATATTTTAAAATATATTAATTAATAGCTTCGTTAATATATATTAAATAATTATATAATTTATATTTTACCTTTTATATATATATTATATAAATAAAGTTATTATTAGGATCTATTTTAATTAATTTTTATTTAACCTTAATATTTTTTTAAAGTTTACCTTTTAATATTTTAATTTTTATTTATAAAAATGTAATAATTTTAACCTTTTTATTAAAGGCCTTATTAACCTTTATAAAAAATAGCTTTTATAATAAATTATTAAATGAAGGGAAAGTTTAAGCTAATTTTTATATATTAACCTATAATTATTAATTTTTAAAGGGTATTTTAATTATAATTTTTAAAGCTATTTTTAATAGATTAGGTATAATAGGTTATTTTTTAACTATAAATATTAATATTATTACTTTTATAATACCCTTTTTTTCAATTATTATATATTTTAAAAATAATAATACCTATTAATTTTTTAAATATATTTTAATTATTTTTTATACTTTTTTTAATATATTTAACTTTATTATATTTTTATATATAACTTTATATATTATTAATATATTTCTTTTTAAAGGCTTTATATTTAAATAGCTTATAAATATTTTTTATAATGTATTTTTTAGCTTTTTCTTTAATAAATTAAAAATTTTAATATTTAATAACTATAATATATAATTATAATAAAGTTTATAAAATAAAAGCTAAATCTTATTTAAAAAATAAATTTAAAGAAATTTATTATTAATATATAATTTATTATTATTATTATATACCTACTATACTACTATTAGGGTTAGGGTTAGGGTTAGGGTTAGGGTTAGGGTTAGGGTTAGGGTTAGGGTTAGGGTTAGGGTTAGGGTTAGGGTTAGGGTTAGGGTT